GTCAAAAGATGTGTTCGACTGAGGGATTCTATCAAAGAAAAAGCGACGACGAGTGGTGACTGCTTGAGTTCATGACGATGCCTCTTCTCACACCTCTCGACTTGCAAAGGCTGCTGTGCGACAATGTGGGTTCAAAGAGCTTCCTCACAGTCCATACTCGCCAGACCTGGCACCGAGTGATTTCCACCAGTTTCCTGAACTGAAAGAACACCTTCGTGGAAAGCGCTATTACAACGATGACCTCAAAGGTGCCGTGAATGGGTTTTTCAGGGTGGCTTCAGAAAACGTCTTCCTGACTGGAATTGAAAAGCTTCAGTATCGATATGAGAAGATTATTGAAAAGCAGGGAGATTATGTTGAAAAATATAACTGACAACACTTTCACAGTTGTTGGTTTTGTTTGTTAGGCTTTGAACATGTTGACCATCACTCGTATCGCACGAACTCGAGAACATTTGCCTCCTCTCTCTCTAAATGGACAGACAATTAAATTCATTGAGCTGAGATTGGAGACGTGGAGTGGCGTATATGGAAAATAAGATACTAGACAGACAGACAGGCAGACAGAGAGATAAATAGACAGACAAATAAATTCATTGAGCTGAGATTGGAGATGGGAAGTGGAATAAATGGAAAATAAGATACTAGACAGACAGACAGACAGACAGATAGGCAGACAGAGAGATAAATAGACAGACAAATAAATTCATTGAGCTGAGATTGGAGATGGGAAGTGGAATAAGTGGAAAATAAGATACTAGACAGACAGACAGGCAGGCAGACAGAGAGATAAATAGACAAATAAATTCATTGAGCTGAGATTGGAGATGGGAAGTGGAATACATGGAAAATAAGATACTAGACAGACAGACAGACAGACAGACAGAGAGATAAATAGACAGACAAATAAATTCATTGAGCTGAGATTGGAGATGGGTAGTGGAATAAATGGAAAATAAGATACTAAACAGACAGACAGGCAGACAGGCAGACAGAGAGATAAATAGACAGACAAATAAATTCATTGAGCTGAGATTGGAGATAGGAAGTGGAATAAGTGGAAAATAAGATACTAGACAGACAGACAGACAGGCAGGCAGAGAGATAAATAGACAGACAAATAAATTCATTGAGCTGAGATTGGAGATGGGTAGTGGAATAAATGGAAAATAAGATACTAAACAGACAGACAGGCAGACAGGCAGACAGAGAGATAAATAGACAGACAAATAAATTCATTGAGCTGAGATTGGAGATGGGAAGTGGAATAAATGGAAAATAAGATACCAGACAGACAGACAGATAGGCAGACAGAGAGATAAATAGACAGACAAATAAATTCATTGAGCTGAGATTGGAGATGGGGAGTGGAATAGACGGGAAAATTAGATACTAAACAGACAGACAGACAAATAGACAGATAGATAAATAGACAGACAAATAAATTCATTGAGCGAGCTGATATTTGGATCTTCCAGCGTACATGCATGGACTAGGACAGAGCATCAACTGTATTGCCATGGATACAGCAGAGTCTAATTTGACCTGGAATGAATTTCATATTTCAATGACAAAGAACATCATTGTCACTCTGGCTAATGATTTATTCAATTGTTACAACTGTCGTGGTTTCACGTTTACAGAGTCGGAATAATCAGCGTTAGTTTCACCCAAAGAGATTTAGCTGTCAGAAATGGATGGACGGCGAGTTGCGGCTGACAGAAATTAAAGTGGAGTTTAGAAAAAACAGCAATCCCCCCAGGAGTATTATCTTACGCATTGGATAACACCGATTAAGAGAATATGTTTTCCAAAAAGCAGTGTGTCTTGGGAATATTTTTACGTGGCTTGTTAAATTGTATAATAATGTTCAGTGTGTTGAAAAGCTGTACAAATCTAATCTGATCTGTGCAAAGAAACCAAAGAAAGATGTTTGACGCAGGTCGCAACACTAGAGAAAGTAAATGCCTTTTCAATGGCCTTCATGTATCGGTATTGAATATGTTCATAATAATTCACATTTTGTTGATGCTATTCTGTGTTTAGGAGTTAATGTATGAAGTGCATATATAACCTTCTGGGGGGGTGCGTAAGTCTAGGTTCATTGACCGCCTTTCTGTGGTATATCCTATTTTATGTCCGCTTCATTCATTTCACATTTATTTTACATCAGTGTAAGGGAGATAACTTATTTTTTAGCCCTGAAACTTTTCCACAAGAAATATAGTATGTCCGATTCACAAATCAAGAAACCTGGTTATCACAGATAATTTCAGGGGCATATCTCAAATTGACTCACGATGCTAAGTTCTTACATATATTCTGGATAAAAGACTACAGTCCTGGTGTGACATTATAATACAACACATGATCTCAAGCTGTTTCTAAACCTGGAATATACTCAAATATTGACCACGTTTTTTACATTACAGGCAGTGACACAAAAATACCTTTCTAAACACTAAGGGTACATTTTATAGCATCTTCGCTGACTTTTTATAAGCATACTCCTTATAAAATGGTTCTTAGGGAGTAAGTGAGTTTGGTTTAACGCCGCTTTTAACAGTATTCCAGTTATATCACGGCGTGTCAGCTTAATGTGGGAGGAAAGCCCGAAGTGATGCAGGTCTCAGACGTTTACCACTTCGGTGAAACCCACGAGCACGGGTATGGTGCTGTCAAACCTAGAAACATAATTGGGGCGAACCGGGATTCGAACCCACAATAATAGGTTTCTAGCGTGCCCAAGGGACGCAACTCTGCCCCGCGAATCGCGGCGCCTTAGACGACTGGGCCTCCCGTGCCCCCCTCTTAGGGAGTGTGGCAGACTCCCTTTACCATATATTTACATGACAAGAGCACTAAAATACTGGACTCGATTAATTCATCTCATCAATAATAGACAACAATATCAGGCTTACATCTATTGATGATGCTGGAAAACACAAATGGGTCACTTTAATTATTTTGTATTTTATATTACATAGGATTTGGAACAGTCTGGATTCAGCTGAATATGGGAAATACTGGCATGTTAATCACCAAAGGCTCTCCGACAATTTATATCAAGGCAGACACACATCCTTGGAATGTTTATCAAAGTGCAACTATGTATAAAAAGATATACATCATCTACTCAATACTCAATACTGAATTATATTTAACAATAAACACACCTCGATATATTAAGTGGTATTTATCAAAATTTAGGTGTAATAATTTTAGAGATTTTATGTTGAAATTGGAAGACACAATAATATTCCTCATGATGAGAATGTTGTCTGAAGAAAAAAAAAAAGTTTGTAGAAGATCAGTACCATGTGCTGATGAGATGTGAACACTCATCTGGCAAAACAATATACACATCCATATTATACAGATTATCCAATACTGAAACATTTATCCTACTCGTCACATCCGCTGAAAGACTTGCTATATACAACATTGGACTAAATTTATTTCCAACTAAAACCTTTTCAAAAAGAGGTGAGAAAATTTGATGTATTATATATACCTTTGTATGCGGGATATTATTTTCAAAAATATTCATATTATTGTATTGTGGGCCGATGCCTTTATTACCGAAAATAATGTCTGTCCGTATGAAGTGCATATATTATAAGTCGTAGAAGTATCACTCGGGGTACGACCCGTGAAGATCCGGGGTTGAATTGGTCTTCATGATCAGCAACCCATGCTTGCCGTAAAAGACGACTATGCTTGTAGTAAGAGGCGACTAACGGAATCGGGTGGTCAGGCTCACTGACTTGGTTGATACATGCCATCGTATCCCAATCGAATGGATTGATGCTCATGATGTCAGTCACTGGCTTGTCTGGTCCAGATTCCTTTATTTACAGACCGTCGTCATATAGCTGGAATATTGCTGAGTGCGGCATTAAAAAAAAACAAAAAAAACACTCGGGGTACATCATAAGTTGTAGCAGGATCACGAGCAGTACATGGGGATTTATGCGTCCCGTGTCAAGTTTTATACTGCGAGTCGGAGGCGAGTAGTATGAAATCTAAGGAGAGACTCATTCAACAACATGTACCCCGAGTACGCATTTACCGACATGTTTTAATATGACACTGTTAATGAATTAAAACAAATTCAAAATAGATAGAAAACAGCTGTTCAATTGAGTTAAGGTTGACTTGTGCTATGTCACATGACTTTTATTGACTCGGAAAAAGGGTGGGGTATAAGGGATTTATTCAACCTCTCAGAAATCCACGTGCAACCTGTCTTGCTCGTGACGGGGTATAAGGGATTTATTCTCCAGCTGAGAAATTTATTACCCTCCCAGGCGGGTAACATAGTATAGTATGAAGATCACGTGGACCAATGAGATCTCATCATCCTGACATGGAGGTATGATAAAATTAAGTTTCTCCCTTTCTATCTAAGCATATTTGATGTTCGCTTTAATCATTTCATATTCGACCGCCTCCGTGGTCTAATGGTAGAGCGTCCGCCCGGAGAGCGGAAGGTCCGGGGTTCGATCCCCGGCCGCGTCATACCAAAAGACGTTAAAAGATGGTACTTGTTGTTACCCTGTCTGGCGCTCGGCATTAAGGGGCTTAAACAAGGACTGGTCGGCTCGGAGTCAGTGTACTGTGTCTGAGTGGGGTATTCATGTTAAACTATAAATCGGCAGCCACGCACACACACACATACACGTGCATGCACGTCGCTATATAAGTGCAATAATCTTGGACGCGACGTTACACCCCATTTCACCTCCCCTCATTTTATATTTACTTTAGGGGCGGTCGGGTAGCCTAGTGGTTAAAGCGTTCGCTCGTCACGCCGACGACCCTGGTTCGATTCCCGACAATGGGTACAATGTGTGAAGCCCATTTCCGATGTCCCCCGCCGTGATATTGCTGTAATATTGCTAAAAGCGGCGTAAAACAATACTCACTCACTCATATTCACTTTACATCAGTGTAAGGGAGATAACTTAGGTATTAAGCCTGCAACTCAGACAAACAAATGCTGCTTCAGGGAATTTATTTGATTAATGAAGGACATGTGACACATAGTACAGACACGTTACACCATCTAATGTCGGTGTAAACACAGATACTGTCTTCTCCTATGTTACACATGAATCTATCAAAATAGAATAAACCCTCTTTTTACACTCACAGGCAAGTTGTAAATTGAGCTCCAAGGGATACAAGACTGGTATTACAAACTGTCGACATACATGTACAGGAATGTGGTATTCAACAACAATAAATATTATTCATTCTTTAACGTTCCTTTATAATTATATCATGATATATCACCATTATTCCGACAACAGCAAAAAGCCAGAGGGATGATGTAAATTCAGTGGGATGGTGTCAATCTAGAGGGATGGTGTAAATCTAGAGGGGTGGTGTAAATATAGATAAATGGTGTAAATCTAGAGGGATGGGGTAAATCTAGAGGGGTGGTGTAAATCTAGAGGGATGGTGTAAATATAGATAAATGGTGTAAATCTAGAGGGGTGGGGTAAATCTAGAGGGGTGGTGTAAATATAGATAAATGGTGTAAAATCTAGAGGGGTGGGGTAAATCTAGAGGGATGGTCTATATTCAGTGGGATGGTGTCAGTCTAGAGGGGTGGTGTAAATATAGATAAATGGTGTAAATCTAGAGGGAAGGGGTAAATCCTTAGGAATGATGTAACTCTAGAGTAATGGTGCAAATCTAGAGGGGTGGGGTAAATACTAATGGGTACCCGGCAGGTAGCAGAGGTAAGTAAATCCCCACTTGCCCCTGGTATGGCATCCTTACTTGGTTTCTGGCAACCAATAGTCTACATTTTTGTATCCTTGTCTAATAGTCTGATTTATTGTTCTCTAACTATAGTTTTAATTAAATCAGTGACATATTACTATTGGTTACTATTTTGACAAGTAGTTTTTCAATAATATTTATGTAAATTTGTTCAAGCAACAATATGGCTGAAATATTGCCGACATGACCTGTTGATGGTTCACATTGCGTGTTGATGTTGAGGATTCACATAACATGCCGTGAGGCAGAGTTCACATGGTGTGGCGTGTCGCTGAGTTCACATGGTGTGTTGTGTCGCTGAGTTCACATGGTGTGTTTTGTCGCTGAGTTCACATGGTGTGGCGTGTCGCTGAGTTCACATGGTGTGTTGTGTCGCCGAGTTCACATGGTATGGCGTGTCGCTGAGTTCACATGGCGTGGCGTGTCGCTGAGTTCACATGGTGTGGCGTGTCGCTGATTCACATGGTGTGGCGTGTCGCTGAGTTCACATGGTGTGGCGTGTCGCTGAGTTCACATGGTGTGGCGTGTCGCTGAGTTCACATGGTGTGGCGTGTTGCTGAGTTCACATGGTGTGGCGTGTCGCTGAGTTCACATGGTGTGTTGTGTCGCTGAGTTCACATGGTGTGGCGTGTCGCTGAGTTCACATGGTGTGTCGTGGCACTGAGTTCACATGGTGTGTCGTGGTGCTGAGTTCGCATGGTGTGTCGTGGCGCTTTGTTCACAAGGCGTGTTGTGGCGATGGGTTCAAATTGCGTGTTGTAGTGATGAATTCACATGGCGTGTTGTAGCGATGAGTTCACATGGTGTGGCGTGTCGCTGAGTTCACATGGTGTGTCGTGGGGCTTTGTTCACATGGTGTGTCGTGATGCTTTGTTCACATGGTGTGTCGTGGCGATGGGTTCAAATGGCGTGTTGTAGTGATGAATTCACATGGTGTGTCGTGGCGCTGATTTCACATGGCGTGTCGTGATGCTTTGTTCACATGGTGTGTCGTGGGGCTTTGTTCACATGGTGTGTCGTGGCGCTGTGTTCACATGGTGTGTCGTGGTGCTTTGTTCACATGGTGTGTCGTGGTGCTTTGTTCACATGGTGTGTCGTAGGGCTTTGTTCACATTGTGTGTTGTGGTGCTGAGTTCACATGGCGTGCGTGGCGCTGAGTTCACATGGCGTGTCGTGATGCTTTGTTCACATGGTGTGTCGTGGTGCTTTGTTCACATGGCGTGTCGTGATGCTTTGTTCACATGGTGTGTCGTGGTGCTTTGTTCACATGGTGTGTCGTGGGGCTTTGTTCACATTGTGTGTTGTGGTGCTGAGTTCACATGTTGTGTTGTGGTGCTGAGTTCACATGGTGTGTCGTGGCGCTGAGTTCACATGGTGTGTCGTGGCGTTGATCTCACATGGCGTATTTCTTCGTCCATTCTCTGACAGTCTGCTCATATTTGGCCCGGTCAGTTTTGAACAGGTGAGCTATGTGTGGGACCAAGGGGTCATCTGGGTTAATGTCATCCACCAGCAGGCAGCGCACACACATTAAGACTGAAATAATCAAGTATTTAATTTATAACATCCCTGTCAATTCCTATCACAAAAGACGAGGACCACTAGACCAGCATTTTATTACAATGTAAATCGCAACGGGCGTTGATATTACCTAACTGTTTTCCTGTTCGTTTTTTACTTTACTTGCCCAAAGCTTAAGAGCACAACACCCATCCATAAAAATTGTCATGGTGATTTAATTCCATACGATTCTATATAAACCAACAGTTTGAATCAATGTCTCGAAAACGATTGCATCAGTTAAATACTTTTGGCTACAGTGAGTGCTGGGCTCCAGGCTTCTCTCAGAATGTCCAGGTTCAGACATCCTGCACTGCTGATGTTCGGATGGTAGACACGAGTCTTGAAACACACCTAAAGAAAGATAAACAGTGAAACCTCGTTAAACCGGACCTCCTCAATTGAGAAATTCCACTATCAACACTCACTCCAGCTGCTGGGGTCGGCACGACATATATGCTGTAAAAAAGGGCAGAATGCGTGCACTGAAAAATGTAAATTAACAGATAAATCATTGATACGAAAATCGATAATAGAATATTACAAATCCCGAGGGGGTCTCAATCGGTATCTTACCTTTGGGGGTTTAAATGGGTAGTCAGTTGAGAATGTCACGTCCAGCATGAATGTCCCACCTTCATACGATGTACCCGCCTGAAATTAGAGTAGACTCGGATTATTTCAATATATCTTAGCGTTGCTCGTACTATCAATCACTGGTTTGCCTGCTCCAGATTGACTTATTCACAGTACGTCGTAATATAGCTGGAATATTGCTTACTGCTGTGTAAAACAACATTCACTTCACTTCCTCCTCGATATATCGTTATTGACTATGTGAAATTATCATCCCGCTAGAATCCTTATATGCTCCATGTCCTAATGTCTTTACACCGCTTGTCTCGAACAACAGATTACTCGATATTGGCTTATTGAGTGTCCTATACTAGTGTGTCCAGAACACCTTCCCGGGGAGCGGAAGGTGGGAGATTCAATCCCCGGTCGCGTCATACCAGAAGACGATAAAAGATGCAACTTGTTGTTACCATGCCTGGCACTCGGCATTAAGGGGATAAAGCCAGGATTGGTCTCGGAGTCAGCTTAATCTGTCTGAAGGTATTCATGTGGCACTGCGGCAAACACACACACACGCACAAACGAACGCACGCACGTACACACACACGTGCATGCACGTCCCTATAAAAGTGAAATAAGCATAAATGCGATGCTAAATCCCTTTTACCCTCACCCTACTTATATCGGCTCGAAGTCAGTATAACGAGTCTGAGTGGGGTATCCATGCTAAACTTCAGAACACACACACGCATGCATGCACGCACGCACGCACGCATGCATCACAGTGCACGTCGCTAAATACGTGAAATAATCCTGAACGCGATGCTTAACCCCTTTTCACCTCCCCTACTTATATCGTTTGGTGGCATGTGGATTTGGCGTGTGGCAAGTGGATTGGTAAATATCGATATTTACTACAACAGGATCTAAATATAATACTTTACAGTGCTTATATCACATGGCGGTTATCAAAATATCAACTATAATTGTTTAAGGACTTTAGCCTAAGAAATTGAGTTTGTTTTATGTATTAGATTCCATGTATAAACTTACAGAAAAATTAATTTGGGTCATAAATACATACCGGGCCCAGTATAATCGCTTCCCAGTGAAAACCTGCAACAAACGAAATCCTACATGGTAACAGCAATTACAATACCATTGTTGCTTCTAATGAAATAAACTAACATATATATATATATATATACTCTTAAAAAACACAACGCAAAGCCAGATTTGTGCGAGGTAGGAAAATACATTTATACGAGAAACCGTACAAGGTATTGAGCCAAAATGTAGTGGAGAGAACACTTGGTGATTGTAGTCTTCTCAGTTATCGGTACATAGTTAAAGTCCAAGGTGAAGGTCAACTACCATCAATAACGCGTATGTCCCCTGTTGGAATCGATAGCGGCCTGACATCTCAAGCCCATGGATGAGACGAGTATGCGAATCACATCTTTGGGAATGGTCGCCCACTCGGCATGCAACGCAAAAGCCAATTGCTGCAACGTCTGGGGTTCTGGAGGGCCAGGGGAGAACATCAACGTTGTTGTTATGTAGACAATCTCTTGTGATCCGTGCTGTATGCGGTCGACGTTGTCCTGCTGGAATACACCGTTGCCGTTGCCTGCAATTGGGAGGACGTGTGGTAGGAGAATTTCATTGATGTGTTGAGCCGTAAGAGTGCCCTGAATATGGATCAAACCTGTCCTGCCATGGTGAGAGATATCCGCCCACATCATAACGCTACCCCCACAAAACCTGTCCACTTCCTGTACGCAGTTTCCGGCGTAACGTTCTCCTCGACGTCTGTAGACCTGTGCTCTTCCATCCCCTCGACGGAGGAGAAATCTTCATTCGTCGCTGAACCAGACATCTCTTCATCACAGTTGAGGCCATACCCTGTGTTGATGACACCAATGCAGTCGTTGTTGATGATGTGATGTTGTCCACTCAATATGACGCGTCGAACAGGATGTCTTGCTCGTAGACCTGCTGCTGGTCTGGTCGGAGATTCTGCGCAGTCCGGGTATTTGGGATGCGGTTGAGGTGACTGTGGTCGTCCTTCACGTAGGTGGCGCAATCAGATGTAGCGATCTTGGGCGGGGGTGGTTCCTCTTGGTCGTCCCGACCTTGGCCGATCACGTGTTGACCAATGCTGTTGAAACAGATCCCATAGCCTTGTGATGGTGCTGGGCGCTACATAGAAAACCCTGGCTTCAGCTGATCGAGATCCCCCTGCCTGCAAGCGGCCTATGACGTTGTTTCTTTGCACTTCTGTTAATCTTGGCATGTTGTTGAACTGTCACTGTTCGATTGACGCAGATGACAGGCAATCAAAAACCCTGCTCTTTAATGACACTATAACACATTAAACCTCTTCATTTTGCACCTCTTGGTCCGCTAGTTTTGTTTTTATGACCAAAAATATCCGTATTGCGTTTCTTTTTTATTGAAGAGTATAGTTCGGTCGCTTAAAGGAAAGGATGCATTCTAGTTTATTGGTGGCTAAAAATGAAACAAACAAGAAATGGCAATTCGATGATGATGTATATAATACAGGTATCATGGGCGATATTACATGCATCATATCAATGAGTGTCTCACAACGGGTGACGTACAAGACGTCTCAAGGAACATGGAGGGTCGCAATTCCACAGTACACAGTAATGATTTGTTTATTTGTTTGTGGGTTGTTTAACGCCGCACTCTGCAATATTCCAGCTATATGACGGTGGTCTGTAAATAATCAAGTCTGGACCAGACAAGCCAGTGATTGACATCATGAGCATCGATCTATGCAATTGAGATACGGTGACATGCATCAACCAAGTCAGCGATCCTGACCACCCGATCCCGTTAGTCGCCTCTTACGACAAGCATTGTCGCCTTTTACGGCAGACATGGTTTGCTGAAGACCTATTCTACCCCGGATTCTACCGGTGACACAGTAATGAACGGAGAGAAGTGTGAATTTGCCAGTGTATATTTTCTTTTCCCCGGCAGTTCATTTATAAATATTATTAACTCGAAACAGGTAAGAAAGAACCAAATATCAACAAGCGGATGGGTGTCGTATTGTATGTGTTGGTCCCAATGGTGGCCACTTCGGGCTTTCCTTCTGCATATTGATATGACACGTGATATAACTGAAATAATGTTTAAAGCGACGTTAAACCCATCTCCATACCCCACTAGGGCGGTCGGGTAGCCTAGTGGTTAAAGCGTTCGCTCGTCACGCCGAAGACCCGGGTTCGATTCCCGACATGGGTATTATGTGTGAAGCCCATTTTTGGTGTCCCCCGCCGTGATATCGCTGGAATATTGCTAAAAGCAGCGTAAAACCACACTCACTCACTCACTCACTCACTCACTCACTCACTCACTCACTCGCTCGCTCGCTCGCTCAATGATCGTGATTAAGAAATGGGCGTTCGGTAAAACGAAGTTCCACAATAAGTGATTGACAAATAGGGATAGATGTACAGTGTTTCATTTACCACCGAGAAAAAACCTCAAACTGGCGTCAGTAAATTATCTTCAGTGCAAATTTGTATTTAAAATGTTCTTTAGTAAATGATAAAATGGTTAAAAACTAAAGATGTCATCTCCGAAAGGCCCGACAGCAATTCCCTCCATAGGGTGTTCCAAAGTGTCTTGCCATTCCTGTATATGTGTAGTATTGATTAATACATGCATCAATTACAGCGATATTATTGTTAGATAGATAATATTATTGTTATTATTATTATATGACAAATTGTACAAGTAATAACAATCTTGTTAAACTCTAGCGTGATATATGCACGTACACTATCCGATAGCGAGTGTATATAGTAGACATACCTACGATTTCATAACAGAAGTTCACAAGCTTTCAATGCGGAAGTGAATATCATTGTTCAGTGAAATCGCCAGCTGATTAAAACGACCAGTAATTGACCCAGTTCAGAAGCAATCAAAACAACGAATTTCTGTGTATCAGATGCTACTAATGCTACTCTCGGGGATAAGCGTACCTTGAATATTCGCTTCACAGCCATGTTTCCGTGGTGCAATTGTAGAAACTGCTTTGGTCCGTCATGTTCTATTTTTGTATCGAGGAATGTTTACCAAGTTACCTCCCCTACATCACAGAGCGTGAAAGGAAATGTATGAAGCGGGCGTAACCTGTAGCTGACTTGACGTTTGTAAACAGTTTTCTTATGGGGTGTGACCACTAACATATTAATACAAAGTCAGGTGGATTTTTTTCTCAGATAAATTAAGTGTGAACAATCTTACAGAAAGTGCTGTAACTGTTCCTTTCCTGGAGTATTTTTAAAAAGTATATACTTTCTATGTCGTTGTGCAATATTGTTCACCGTTCCAATCTCAATAGACTGTCACACACGCTATTAATGTGACGTGTCATTGAACATCAGCGATGTTAGATGTGTGTGCCCTTTGTCCATTACGTTGAAAGCTTGTTTTGTTACCCCACCTCAATTCGGGCAAATGTCATGCCAATATCGGATGCTGTATGACTGTCATTTTAAATGTTTCGTTGAGATTTTGATATTTTCAATACATGCATCATGCATCTATCTTTTGTGGTTTTTAAACTATGGTAAAGCTTCCTTGGGCCGTCAGTTTGTATGTATATATTAACACGACTGTTTTTTCGTTGTTCTGGTTGACAAGCAACAGGAACCAGGAACTATGATTCCATGAACTTCCCAAGAGTGCATGGTTCTGAAAAATGATCCCTTCCATGTTCCGTATCAAATAAAGAAGTTCATTGAAAGTTAAACATGTCACTCAAAGAGTATGAGATCTATTACAACACAATCAATTACCTTGTCACATGATAGCTCAGTTCTCCCAAATTGTACATAAAAACATAGTTCACAAAATGTTCTTAATATTTGCTGACCCAAGCAACACAATCAAACTACAACTGATATATATCACATCAGTTTGACGCGGGATCAGCGTTTCATAACAGTCCTCTAATTTGAGAATACCGCGATATATACACTGAGACCTTGTTACTCCAAACCCCGACAGTATCGGACCCCAGTGTCCGGGATGTTGGTGTTCGGAACGTCTACACACACATTGGAACAGTTCTCCATTCCGGAGTCTTACGTTGAGAACGACATACATTTTTTTTCATGCGTCGTGATGTAACTTGGTAAACATTCCGCGATACAAAATTGGAACATGACGTGCCAAAGCAGTATCCACAATTCCACCGGAAACATGGCTGTGGAACGAATATACAAGGTACACTTATACCCGAGAGAAGCATTAGTAGCATCTGATACACAGACATTCGTTGTTTTGATTGCTTCTAAACAAGGTCAATCACTGGACGTTATAATCAGCTGGCGATTTCACTGAACGATGATACTCACTTTCGCATTGAAAGCTTTTGAACTTGTGATATGAATCGTAGGTATATTCACTATATTCACTCGTTATCGGATAGTGTACGAGCATATGTCACGCCAGGGGTGAATTGAAATAAGATTATTTCTTATACAGTTTGTCATCAATGAACAGTATGGTCGATTTGAGAGAATCAGATATTATTAGACACAGAAAGTTTGTGTGTATGTGTGGCCAAAAGGCCAATAGTACATCATGCATACAATAACATTGTACAAGTTACAGCGCAAACTTGACATTGTAGTTTCAGAACACGTAGAACGGGTTAACAAACATGAATTTCATAATAGATTTATTTTGGCTTCTTAGCCCTCATGAGAAATATGCGGTATGATAACACGGGTAACTTACATGACATTTTCATTTTCTAAAATACTGTTGTATGTAATCATTTCTTAAACTTGTGTATTCTGGATATTCGTCCTCGTTTGGGTTGGTTGGGTTGGACAAGGTGTATTTTCAATTGCCGGTTGTTGGTTTTTTTAATCTAACTGATCTAGTCTGTTTGTTTATTGGTTGTTTAACGCCGCACTCAGCAATTTTCCAGCTATATGACGGCGGTCTGTAAATAATCGAATCTTGACCAGACAATCCAGGGACTGACATCATAAACGATACGATGGCATGCATCAACTAAGTCACGGGTTCTAACTGCTCTAATGCTCAAAGTATGTACATTGCATCTAAATTACGTCAAGACTCGACGGCGATGAACTGCTTTTATTGACGTAAGGTAGGTCTCAGATGCAATAGAACTTTTGAATTCAGAATAATAATGTACACAATTTGTTTCTCGAACACTCAAGAACCATTTTTGTTGATACATACCTTTAAACCTTTGTTCAAAAATATTCAGAACACTCTTTCTTATGTCACCTACATCTTGCGCGAGCCAGACATGCCCGTATTTAAATAATAGTATTCTTACAGAAGAAACCCAGTTTACGTTTCCCTGCATCATCTAGTCTGCATCAGAATATTTGTTAGATAGCATATAAAGTCACTATTCTAAAACCTATACCAGTAGGTCCCAGGGTAGCAGAGTTGTGTGTATCGGTCACATACACAGAACCGGATATTGTATAGGTATTGTGACCAGGCGTTGTGTGATGTCACTTATAAACAAGATACAGTCCGACCAATCATCATGTATACGGGTGAACCCTTAGGCGATGTGTTGTCGAAGGAAGATCTGAACGTCTTAAGAAATTTCCCTAGCTGCCGTCTTGTGTCTCTTACCGCCTGGGTGTAGTCGAGGGAGACTGACACATCACCGATTTTACTACGTTTGACTGCCGTCACTACTTTCACGAATTCTCTATCTTTGAAAGAAGAAAATGTAACAATTATCGGCGGTGGGTGCCGTTTAGTGGGCAGCCTGTGTGCTCGTTCTTTCGGAATGCGATCAGCTCGGCTTTCCTCGATGTCGAGGTTATGTTTTAGGAATTCTCTGTGACATATTTTGTGACATATTACTACTGGTTACTATTTTGACGACAAGTAGTTTTTCAATAACATTTATGTAAATTTGTTCAAGCCACAATATGGCTGAAATATTGCCGACATGACCTGTTGATGGTTCACATGGCGTGTTGATGTTGAGGATTCACATAACATGCCGTGAGGCAGAGTTCACATGGTGTGGCGTGTCGCTGAGTTCGCATGGTGTGTTCTAGCGATGAATTCACCCGTTGTGTCATGATGCTTTGTTCACATGGTGTGTTGTGTCGCTGAGTTCACATGGTGTGTTGTGTCGCTGAGTTCACATGGTGTGTCCTGGCGCTTAGTTCACATAGTGTGTTCTAGGGATGAGTTCATCCATTGTGTCATGATGCTTTGTTCACATGGTGTGTTGTGTCGCTGAGTTCACATGGTGTGTTGTGTCGCTGAGTTCACATAGTGTGTCCTGGCGCTTAGTTCACATAGTGTGTTCTAGGGATGAGTTCATCCATTGTGTCATGATGCTTTGTTCACATGGTGTGTTGTGGCACTTTGTTCACGTGGTGTGTTGCGGCATTTTGGTCACATGGTGAGTCATGGCGCTTTGATCACATGGTGCGTCGTGGCGCTTTCTTCACAAGGCGTGTTGTGGCGATGGGTTCAAATGGCGGGTTGTTGCGATGGGTTCAAATGGCGTGTTGTAGCGATGGGATCACATGGCGTGTGTGGCACTTTGTTCACATGGTGTGTAGTGGTGCTGAGTTCACATGATGTGTCGTGACGCTTTGTTCGCATTGTGTTGTGGCGCTTTGTTCACTTGGTGAGTCGTGGTGCTTTGTTCACATGGTGTGTCATGGCGCTTTATTCACATGGTGTGTCATGGCGCTTTGTTCACATGGTGTGTCACGGCGCTTTATTCACATGGTGTGTCACGGCGCTTTGTTCACATGGTGTGTCACGGCGCTTTGTTCACATGGTGTGTCATGGCGCTTTATTCACATGGTGTGTCGTGACGCTTTGTTCACATGGTGTGTCACGGCGCTTTGTTCACATGGTGTGTAGTGGTGCTGAGTTCACATGATGTGTCGTGACGCTTTGTTCGCATTGTGTTGTGGCGCTTTGTTCACTTGGTGAGTCGTGGTGCTTTGTTCACATGGTGTGTCATGGCGCTTTATTCACATGGTGTGTCATGGCGCTTTGTTCACATGGTGTGTCACGGCGCTTTGTTCACATGGTGTGTCGTGGCGCTTTGTTTGCATTGTGTCATGGTGCTTTGTTCACATGGTGTGTCGTGACGCTTTATTCACATGGTGTGTCATGGTGCTTTGTTCACATGGTGTGTCAAGGCGTTTTGTTCACATGGTGTGTCGTGGTGCTGAGTTCACATGGTGTGTCGTGGCGCCTTTTTTACATGGTGAGTCGTGGCGCTTAGTTCACATGGTGTGTAGTGATGCTTTGTTCACATGGTGTGTCATGGTGCTGAGTTCACATGGTGTGTCGTGGTGCTTTGCTCACGTGGTGTGTCGTGGTGCTTTGTTCACATGGTGTCGTGGCGCTTTGTTCACATGGTGGGTCGTGGTGCTTTGTTCACATGGTGTGTCGTGGTGCATTGCTCACATGGTGTGTCGTGGTGCTTTGTTCGCATGGTGTGTCATTGTGCTTTGTTCACATGGTGTGTCGTGGTGCTTTGTTCGCACGGTGAATCGTGGTGCTTTGTTCACATGGCGTGTTGTGGCAATGGGTTCAAATCGCGTGTTATAGTGATGAATTCACATGGCGTGTTGTAGTGATGGGATTACATGGCGTGTGTGGCGCTTAGTTCACATGGCGTGTCGTGGTGCTTTGTTCACATGGTGTGTCGTGGTGCTTTGTTCACATGGTGTGTCGTGGCGCTTTGTTCACATGGTGTGTAGTGGTGCTGAGTTCACATGGTGTGTAGTGGTGCTGAGTTCACATGGTGAGTCGTGGTGCGTTGTTCACATGGTGTGTTGTGGCGCTTTGTTCACATGGTGTGTCGTGGCGCTTTGTTCACATGGTGTGTCGTGGCGCTTTGTTCACATGGTGTGTTGTTGTGCTTTGTTCGCATGGTGAGTCGTGGTGCTTTGTTCACATGGTGTGTCGTGGCGCTTTGTTCACATGGTGTGTATTAGTGCTGAGTTCACATGGTGAGTCGTGGTGCATTGCTCACATGGTGTGTAGTGGTGCTTTGCTCGCATGGTGAGTCGTGGTGCTTTGTTCATATGGTGTGTCGTGGTGCATTGTTCACATGGTGTGTAGTGGTGCTGAGTTCACATGGTGAGTCGTGGTGCTTTGCTCACATGGTGTGTAGTGGTGCTGAGTTCACATGGTGAGTCGTGGAGCGTTGTTCACATGGTGTGTAGTGGTGCTTTGTTCACATGGTGAGTCGTGGTGCTTTGTTCGCATGGTGTGTCGTGACGCTTTGTTCACATGGTGTGTCGTGGCGCTTTGTTCACATGATGTGTCATGGCGCTTTGTTCACACGGTGTGTCGTGGCGATGATCTCACATGGCGTGTTGTAGAGATAAGTTCACATGGTGTGTTGTGGCGCTTTGTTCACATGGTCTGTTGTGGCGATGATCTCACATGGCGTATTTCTTCGTCCATTCTCTGACAGTCTGCTCATATTTGGCCCGGTCAGTTTTGAACAGGCGAGCTATGTCTGGTTCCAAGGGGTCATCTGGGTTAATGCCATCCACCAGCATGTAGCGCACACACATTAAGACTGAAATAATCAAGTATTTAATTTATAACATCCCTGTCAGTTCCTATCACAAAATACGAGGATCACTAGACCAGCATTTTGTTACAATGTAAATGGCAACGGGCGTTGATATTACCTAATTGTTTTCCTGTTCGCTTTTTACTTTACTTGCCCAAGGCTTAAGAGCACAACACCCACCCATAAAATTGTCATGGTGATTTAATTCCATACGATTCTATGTTGTAAAAATATAGATAGAAGACCAACAGTTTTAATCACTGTCTCGAAAACGATTGCATCAGTTAAATACTTTTGGCTACAGTGAGTGCTGGGCTCCAGGCTTCTCTCAGAATGTCCAGGTTCAGACATCCTGCACTGCTGATGTTCGGATGGTAGACACGAGTCTTGAAACACACCTAAAGAAAGATAAACAGTGAGACCTCGTTAAACCGGACCTCCTCAATTGAGAAATTCCACTATCAACACTCACTCCAGCTGCTGGGGTCGGCACGACATATATGCCGTTAAAAAGGGCAGAATGCGTGCACTGAAAATGTAAATTAACAGATAAATCATTGATACGAAAATCGATAATAGAATATTACAAATCCCGAGGGGGTCTCAATCGGTATCTTACCTTTGGGGGTTTAAATGGGTAGTTAATTGGGAATGTCACTTCCAGCTTGAACGTCCCACCTTCATACGATGTTCCAGCCTGAAATTAGAGTACAACCTCGTTTACTCGGACTCGGATTATTTCAATATATCTTAGCGTTGCTCGTACTATCAATGACTGGTTTGCCTGCTCCAGATTCGCTTATTCACAGTACGTCGTAATATAGCTTGAATATTGCTTACTGCGGTGTAAAACAACATTCACTTCACTTCCTCCTCGATATATCGTTATTGACTATGTGAAATTATCATCCCGCTAGAATCCTTATATGCTCCATGGCCTAATGTCTTTACACCGCTTGTCTCGAACAACAGATTACTCGATATTGGCTTATTGAGTGTCCTATACTAGTGTGACCAGAACACCTTCCTCGGGAGCGGAAGGTCGGAGGTTCAATCCCCGGTCGCGTCATACCAGAAGACGATTAAAGATGCAACTTGTTGTTACCATGCCTGGCACTCGGCATTAAGGGGATAAAGCCAGGATTGGTCTCGGAGTCAGCTTAATCTCTCTGAAGGTATTCATGTGGCACTGCGGCAAACACACACACGCACAAACGAGCGCACACACGTACACACACACGTGCATGCACGTCCCTATAAAAGTGAAATAAGCATAAACGCGATGCTAAATCCCTTTTACCCTCACCCAACTTATATCGGCTCGAAGTCAGTATAACGAGTCTGAGTGGGGTATCCATGCTAAACTACAGAACACACACACGCATGCATGCATGCACGCACGCACGCATGCATCACAGTGCACGTCGCTAAATACGTGAAATAATCCTGAACGCGATGCTAAACCCCATTTCACCTCCCTACTTATATCGTTTGGTGGCATGTGGATTTGGCGTGTGGCAAGTGGATTTGTAAATATCGATATTTACTACAACAGGATCTAAATATAATACTTTACAGTGCTTATATCACATGGCGGTTATCAAAATATCAACTATAATTGTTTAAGGACTTTAGCCTAAGAAATTGAGTTTGTTTTATGTATTAGATTTCATGTATAAACTTAAAGAAAAATTAATTTGGGTCATAAATACATACCGGGCCCAGTATAATCGCTTCCCAGTGAAAACCTGCAACAAACGAAATCCTACATGGTAACAGCAATTACAATACCATTGTTGCTTCTAATGAAATAAACTAACATATATATATACTCTTAAAAAACACAACGCAAAGCCAGATTTGTGCGAGGTAGGAAAATACATTTATACGAGAAACCGTACAAGGTATTGAGCCAAAATGTAGTGGAGAGAACACTTGGTGATTGTAGTCTTCTCAGTTATCGGTACATAGTTAAAGTCCAAGGTGAAGGTCAACTACCATCAATAACGCGTATGTCCCCTGTTGGAATCGATAGCGGCCTGACATCTCAAGCCCATGGATGAGACGAGTATGCGAATCACATCTTTGGGAATGGTCGCCCACTCGGCATGCAACGCAAAAGCCAACTGCTGCAACGTCTGGGGTTCTGGAGGGCCAGGGGAGAACATCAACGTTGTTGTTATGTAGACAATCTCTTGTGATCCGTGCTGTATGCGGTCGACGTTGTCCTGCTGGAATACACCGTTGCCGTTGCCTGCAATTGGGAGGACGTGTGGTAGGAGAATTTCATTGATGTGTTGAACCGTAAGAGTGCCCTGAATATGGATCAAACCTGTCCTGCCATGGTGAGAGATATCCGCCCACATCATAACGCTACCCCCACAAAACCTGTCCACTTCCTGTACGCAGTTTCCGGCGTAACGTTCTCCTCGACGTCTGTAGACCTGTGCTCTTCCATCCCCTCGACGGAGGAGAAATCTTCATTCGTCGCTGAACCAGACATCTCTTCATCACAGTTGAGGCCATACCCTGTGTTGATGACACCAATGCAGTCGTTGTTGATGATGTGATGTTGTCCACTCAATATGACGCGTCGAACAGGATGTCTTGCTCGTAGACCTGCTGCTGGTCTGGTCGGAGATTATGCGCAGTCCGGGTATTTGGGATGCGGTTGAGGTGGCTGTGGTCGTCCTTTCACGTAGGTGGCGCAATCAGATGTAGCGATCTTGGGCGGGGGTGGTTACCCTTGGTCGTCCCGACCTTGGCCGATCACGTGTTGACCAATGCTGTTGAAACAGATCCCATAGCCTTGTGATGGTGCTGGGCGCTACATAGAAAACCCTGGCTTCAGCTGATCGGGATCCCCCTGCCTGCAAGCGGCCTATGACGTTGTTTCTTTGCACTTCTGTTAATCTTGGCATGTTGTTGAACTGTCACTGTTCGATTGACGCAGATGACAGGCAATCAAAAACCCTGCTCTTTAATGACACTATAACACATTAAACCTCTTCATTTTGCACCTCTTGGTCCGCTAGTTTTGCTTTTATGACCAAAAATATCCGTATTGCGTTTCTTTTTTATTGAAGAGTATAGTTCGGTCGCTTAAAGGAAAGGATGCATTCTAGTTTATTGGTGGCTAAAAATGAAACAAACAAGAAATGGCAATTCGATGATGATGTATATAATACAGGTATCATGGGCGATATTACATGCATCATATCAATGAGTGTCTCACAACGGGTGACGTACAAGACGTCTCAAGGAACATGGAGGGTCGCAATTCCACAGTACACAGTATTCCAGCTATATGACGGCGGTCTGTAAATCATCAAGTCTGGACCAGACAAGCCAGTGATTGACATCATGAGCATCGATCTATGCAATTGAGATACGGTGACATGCATCAACCAAGTCAGCGATCCTGACCACCCGATCCCGTTAGTCGCCTCTTACAACAAGCATTGTCACCTTTTACGGCAGACATGGTTTGCTGCAGACCTATTCTACCCCGGATTCTACCGGTGACACAGTAATGAACGGAGAGAAGTGTGAATTTGCCAGTGTATATTTTCTTTTCCCCGGCAGTTCATTTATAAATATTATTAACTCGAAACAGGTAAGAAAGAACTAAATATCAACAAGCGGATGGGTGTCGTATTTTATGTGTTGGTGTCAATGGTCGCCACTTCGGGCTTTCCTTCTGCATATTGATATGACACGTGATATAACTGAAATAATGTTTAAAGCGACGTTAAACCCATCTCAATACCCCACTAGGGCGGTCGGGTAGCCTAGTGGTTAAAGCGCTCGCTCGTCACGCCGAAGACCCGGGTTCGATTCCCGACATGGGTACAATGTGTGAAGCCCATTTCTGGTGTCCCCCTGCCTTGATATCGCTGGAATATTGCTAAAAGCAGCCTAAAACCACACTCACTCACTCACTCACTCACTCAATACCCCACTCGCTACATGATCGTTATTAAGAAATGGGCGTTCGGTAAAACGAAGTTCCACAATAAGTGATTGACAAATAGGGATAGATGTACAGTGTTTCATTTACCACCGAGAAAAAACCTCAAACTGGCGTCAGTAAATTATCTTCAGTGCAAATTTGTATTTAAAATGTTCTTTAGTAAATGATAAAATGGTTAAAAACTAAAGATGTCATCACCCACAGTCATCTCCGAAAGGCCCGACAGCAATTCCCTCCATAGGGTGTTCCAAAGTGTCTTGCCATTCCTGTATATGTGTAGTATTGATTAATACATGCATCAATTACAGCGATATTATTGTTAGATAGATAATATTATTGTTATTATTATTATATGACAAATTGTACAAGTAATAACAATCTTGTTAAACTCTAGCGTGATATATGCACGTACACTATCCGATAGCGAGTGTATATAGTGGACATACCTACGATTTCATAACAGAAGTTCACAAGCTTTCAATGCGGAAGTGAATATCATTGTTCAGTGAAATCGCCAGCTGATTAAAACGACCAGTAATTGACCCAGTTCAGAAGCAATCAAAACAACGAATTTCTGTGTATCAGATGCTACTAATGCTACTCTCGGGGATAAGCGTACCTTGAATATTCGCTTCAAAGCCATGTTTCCGTGGTGCAATTGTAAAAACTGCTTTGGTCCGTCATGTTCTATTTTTGTATCGAGGAATGTTTACCAAGTTACCTCCCCTACATCACACAGCGTGAAAAGAAATATATATGAAGCGGGCGTAACCTGTAGCTGACTTGACGTTTGTAAACAGTTTTCTGATGGGGTGTGACCACTAACATATTAATACAAAGTCAGGTTGATTTTTTTTCTCAGATAAATTAAGCGTGAACAATCTTACAGAAAGTGCAGTAACTGTTCCTTGCCTGGAGTATTTTTAAAAAGTATATATTTTCTATGTCGTTGTGCAATATTATTCACCGTTCCAATTTCAATAGACTGTCCAATACGGTGGCCCATAAGGAACATGGAGTCTGTTTTTCAATATTTTGATGTTTCACTTACTTTTATCGTAACCTTTTGCAAATTAACATAATTTGTCATACGAATATGTGATAAATCAGGTATAAAAACAACCGAAAACATAGAAAATGTACTTTCAAGTAGCTATTGAGTCGCTGAAATGTGAAGCGAAAATGTCAAAAACTAAAATGGAAATGTCAAAAACCAAAACGAAAATGTCAAAAACAAAAGCGAAAATGTCAAAACTAAAATGAAACCACAGAAAACTATTTCCACTGCGGTGATAATATTATCACCGCGGTGGAAATAGTTTTCTGTATTTTCATTTTAGTTTTTGTTTTTTTACATTTTCATTTTAGTTTTGGATATTTTCGTTTCACTTTTCAGCGATTCAATATCTTCTTTACACATGATTTATCACATATTTGTAAGACAAATCGTGTTAATTTGCAAAAGGTAACGCTAAAAGTAAGTGATATATCAAAATATGGAATACGGGCCACCGTAGTCCAAGGCTACCATTTTTGTAAGCAATGAATAATGAATTGTATGCAATGAACGTTGTAATTTATACAGTACAGATCACCGGTTAATACAGAACGTGTCATACTCCATGAAATACTCTGGAATTAAGAACTGTCCCATCGTGTGTGTAGACGTTCCGAACTCTAACATCCCGGACAGATAGGTTCGATACTCTGTGTGTGTGTATATGTATGTTTGTTTTATTTGTTTGTTTGTGTGTTGTTTAACGCCGCACTCAGCAATATTCCAGCTATATGACGGCGGTCTGTAAATAATCAAGTCTGGACCAGACAAGCCAGTGATTGACATCATGAGCATCGATCTATGCAATTGAGATACGATGACATGCCTCAAACCAAGTCAGCCATCCTGACCACCAGATCCCGTTAGTCGCCTCTTACGACAAGCATAGTCGCCTTTTACGGCAAGCATGAGTTGCTGAAGACCTATTCTACCCCGGAATTTTCACGGCGATGAATGGTGTGATGATGCTTCGACATAATTCAACATGTTTAACGTTGCAGGATTTCACAGTTTTTGCAGACATTCTGATTACACCGTTCGTGGAACCATTTTTTTCGAGTTCCCGTCGGTTATCTTACAGAAAAACGTCAAAAGAGATCGTGTTACTTCAGTGACCAAGTGTGTCGATTGTGATTGAATGACTTTGTTTGTTCGGGTGACATTCTTCGTCCGATTGTCCTACCATGTCTACAACAGCTGTCACGTGGTGTCCTTTATCAACATGACAACGCCAGACCCCCATATAGCCCGAATAGTACATAACTTCCTTGCCGCCAACAACGTCAACGTCTTACCGTGGCCTGCACGCTCCCCAGACATGTCCACCATAGAACACCTCTGAGATGTCATGGATCGTCGTGTTTGAAGCGACCAACCGATAAGAACTGACGTCTTTAGACAACTTACTTTCTGTGATTCTGGGAGTTTTTGCGATCATATCTTCAGCAACCCATGCTTGCCGTAAAAAGCGACCATGCTTGTCGTAAGTGGCGACTGTTGGGATCGGGTGGTCAGGCTCGTTGACTTTGTTGATGCATGTCATCGTATCCCAATTGCGTGGATCGATGCTCATGACGTCAATCACTGAATTGTCTGGTCCATACTCGATTATTTACAGACCGGCGTCATATAACTGGGATATTGCTGAGTGCGGTGTTAAACAACAAACAAAAGTATTTAGGGATTTAAGTTGTTCCTGTATTTGCTGGAGAATTGGTCCGAATCTTGTGCTGCTATCGTCCCATGCTTGTCAATCTCTCTCAAGGCCCACACCTGACGCGGACAGCGACTCTTGACTCTGACTTGTCCGGCGTTGAGTCCGACATTACTACTCAATAAAAGTAGGTGCGCCGTAATCAATACAATTTGAAGCCATCGTATGAACACAAGGACAAAAAATCAGATGACACGCTACGACACAGGAATTATAAAATAGACGTCAACAATCTTGAGCAACTGTATAATGAGCTTTACAAACTGGTGATTTCTGGTGATAACCCCGGCTTAAGGCGCTTGTACGTCTTCCCAGATGGACGTGAGTTTTAAGGTGCTATTCATTGTCTGCATTTCTGTCTTTTGTAGGTATTTACACAGTGGATACTTTGACAAAACATAATATTTTGCAGTGATCGTAAGTGCTGACTTAGCTTTCAGCGGTAAAGGAGGAATTTCGCCATCACGCGCATCTTCCTAAGTACTCATAACGGGACGACCGCTGATAGCCATCTGTAATATAAATTAATTTTGTGCTTAAAAGTGATTTTAATGATGAAATTAAACGTGATATTTCTATCGATTTGGGGGAATTCAAAAGGTTTTTTCGGTTGGTTTCTCTTCGGGGGTGTTAATTATAAACATAGTCATGTCATAGTACAGTTCACTTTAATATTAATTGTTCTGATAACAGTTTACAGGTCAAAATATGACAGTACAGATACCAAAACAGGACAACCGAATTCAGATGCACGTTTTTCAGTTTCCTTTAGTAATATGAATCTGTAATTCAAACAAGATGTGTGCTGGCGTTTTGCATTCAGTATACCTGAGTGAGTGAGTGAGTTGGGTTTAACGCCGCTTTTAACAGTATTCTAGTTATATCGCTTCGTGACAGCTTAATGTGGGAGGAAAGCCCGAAGTGATGCAGGTCTCAGACGGTTACCACTTCGGTGAAACCCGAAGCACGGGTATGGTGCTGACAAACCTAGAAACATAATTGGGGCGAACCGTGGATTCGAACCCACAATAATAGGTTTCTGGCATGCCCAGGGGACGCAACTCTGCACAGCGAATCGCGGTGCCTTAGACGACTGTGCCACCTGTGCTCCCCTGTATACCTGAAATAGTCCCTTTGATTAATAATGTCGACAGTATACTTTTCCAGTTGACCGAAAAAAACGAAATTGTTCAACTTGAGATTCACAAATATAGATGTAATAATTATGCAAAATGTTTACACAAATGTAATATGGTCCCTCCCCTTTGTATAAATCAATTTAAATTATTTTAATTGCTCTTTCAAGCAAAAAAAGAAAAATTGCCGACTTACTCCAATACCTAGGTGTGAACCTTTCAGTACGTACAAAGATGAGACGGCGTGAAATGTGTTTTTGAAATTGGATCGAATTTAGTTCATTACGATTTATGTTAGGTCATATTCATCACATTTGTTTCACTGACATCTCTTACTCCAGAATTATTACTTCTTGAACGACATATATTTTGTATTAAATTGTACAAAGTATATTTATAAAATGCCAATCATAAAACATGATCTCTGATCAAACCTACTACACTAAATAAGCCTATATGGCAATACGTGTCTATCTTTATTCGGTTCTCCAAACGGCACGAGAAAGAGAGTAAAATCCAGATTCTCATTGTCAATCCAACCGAAAAATTGTGTGGAAAGTTTTCTCTGATTTCACTACTATGTCTGATTCGTGTTTATTTTGATTCGTCTTTTAACTGTACAGGCAAACAATATTGGAGTGGTCTCCCTTTGTTGATAAAGTCGAGTGGATCTATTTGTTGAGAAAATTGGGAGAGATGACGTATCAGTTGACTTGTCTCGCACTTTTTGCGTTTTCTCTTTATACGATTGCATGTGCCAATAAATATACCAAGGAAGTGAATAAGAATTGGCACGAAGATGAGAACAATCCGTTCAAAAGTCTGAAAGTTAACCAACTTTGGGAGAAGGCCAAGAAGGTGAGTGTTGGAAATGTAAGCTCGAGGCCCATAGGTCCGGGTCATTGCCAAGATATGGATTGTTCTACAAGTCTGGTTCTTATCTATGTAGTATAATAGACTATAGTGTACAACGTTACACGCAGTTGATATAAATGTTTCTCAAGTATGTACATGTACCTTGTAGTAAATTGACTTTGACATCACTGTGCTTTTTAAAGATAATAACTTTTTTGATGTTTTCCATGGATAGGCCTGTGGCTTTCTTAGATGATGATGTCTGTTTTGCCCAGTTTTACTGGTAACTTTACACATAATTGATCTGTATAGTTATAGTATGCAGCATGTACAGTAAAAGATATATTTTAGGTTCTGTGTAAGAAATAATAAACATTACATACTTGTGGGTTTAATTGTGCTCGTTTGTAATTCAAATTTGGCATTCAGCGATTCCATACCATATACTTTCAGCCCACATCGTGGGGGAGGGGCTCCCAGTGCATACATCAGCTTTTAAACACTTAACAGGGTTTTGGGGGAAGAGCAGCTTTTTGCGCTTAATATAAAAAAAAATAAAAACATGAATGTAGTTTTTCTTTGTTAGTCAAAAGTATTGAATTAATTGTTATTCTTGTTGAAAAACATATCACAATATGTTGCCTTCATTATTTTTGTGTGTTAAAGGAGGTAGAATCTATATCATGTATATGTTTACCATGTTTACACAAAAAATGTACACCATTTTTTTATGTTTATACCTTCTTAAAAGCATAATCATATGTAAGTCAATTGTTATATATAAAAAGTCAACAATAATAACTTTAGAGATTCAGCCAATCAGGAACTAGTAGACCGCTAGTGGGCATGGCCTACTATTTTTTGTTTCATGGGACCTTAAATGAGTAAATATTCATTTCAATTTATTTATATCATTGTATGTAATGGGGTTTTTTATGCACCTCCCTGCACCCTCTGTCTGTTTCCTCTTAGCCCTGGTGCTCTGTTTCCGGTGTGTTCAATGTAGGTATAGATACTCATCAGTAATGTGAGACAGAATATGTGTAAGAATATGAGACATTGTATTCAGAATAACAGACTAGTGGCCATGTCTATCCCTGAAACTGTTTACTTCATGAAATCATTGCTCCATATTTGCTAGGACTGCAAATTGCAGTCTATGTTTGCTATCTCTTGTTGAAATGATAATACTTGTTGATAAGCTATTAAAATAGATTCTTGCAGCATGAAAACAATTAAATTCCCCATAAGATATCAGCCAATGTCATGAATGTCTTATGAAATAAGATACACATTTACGTTGTTTAACATTGAAACAGGAATCTTGCACTGTGTCCTGTTTGTCATGTTAATTGACAGGGTTTTACTGTAAATTGTATGAGGATCATGAGGCGTACATGGGGGTTTTATTCACCCCTTGTTATGACATAGACATATATATTTTATTTATGTGTCACATGTTGTATGTGTACACATTAGACATAAACAACTTGCGTAAATACATACAACATGAGGCCATTAAAGGTCGATGAGACACAATGGACAATCAAAAACATTATTTATATAAAAGAATTATAAGTTATAGGATTGCAAAACCTGATAAAAATGAATTACAGTTTTAAGTAAGGAAAAGTTGCCTGCGTGCAAACATTTTTTAAATAAGTGCGGCAAGAGGTTTTATATACGTGTTACAGTTCATTAAGAACACTGACTGGTCCACAGAAGAGAATGAAATAAATATGGGATCAGACTTTATAATTCTCGACCATAAATCATATCTTAAGTCAGAATAAAATGGACAGTTAATGAGAAAATGTATCTCATCTTCTACAGCTTTATTATTACATAATTTACATATTCTATCCTGTAAAGGTGTGATAGGTTTAGCAAATCTACTAATTTCAACTTGTAAGGGGTTTAGGTTTAATACCATTCACCAACGAGGGATGCATAAAACCCCATGTATCCTGAGTGATCCTGCTCCAACCAATTTATCTTTACAACATGTTTTAATCTGCTATTGTGAAAGAATGAAAACAAATTCATAAATCAAGTAAGGATAAGATTTATGGATGAACATCTTCTTTATTACAATAACAGCTGTTGGATTGAGCTATGTCGCAAAGAAATAATATTTCGCTTTGCTTCAAGGTTAAATATCTATTTGTAGTGACTTAGTCGTGAATCAAAGTGAAATATTCTGGAAAAAAAGGAGAAAATTGTGATTGCACATTGTGTGAATGACGTGTCAATCTAAATAAGTTACCTCAGGAATGACGTCTCTGAAATTGTCAGCAATGAAAGTACACTCCATTGAAATTGAAATTGAAAGAATTAAAACCAGGTAAATTTTATATGATTTTTATATGTTCAAAGTTGGGACTGGCAAAAATTGGGTGGGACTGGTCATTTTTAGGTCACTATGCGACGCTTATCTCTATTCATCTCACTTCATGTTCAGTGGTACCAAGTTTAGTTCATTAGAACCAAGTTTAGTTCATTAGAACCAAGCTTTGTTCATTAGAACCAAGCTTAGTTCATTAGAACCAAGTTTAGTTCATCAGTACCAAGTTTAGTTCATTAGTGTCCATGTTGTTTTCAGCGGCTGTCGGGACCCCGTCTAGCTGACATGTACGCAGATCTGCGTGTCCAGGACAAGTACGAGATGGAGTTGAAGAAGTACCTGCTGGATGATCTGGACAAGGATGGGATGAAGGAGGCGGAGACCAGGCTCCGATTCAGGAGTGAGTACACAGGACATTAGCCCACAATAAGCCAGCCTGATTTCACAAGGTTAACTTAAACATGTTAAATATTTAAATAAACACATCATTTAAGATTTACGTTTTAGTTCTTCAAAATGTCTTTGTAACTGTGTGAAGTGTTAGTTAACATGGTTGGGTGAGTGAGTGGGATTTTACACGACTTTTAGCAATATCATGGTGGGGAACACCAGAAGGGTCTATCCTCACACATTGTATCCAAGTTGGAATTGAACCCAGGCCTTTGGCATGTTAGACGAACGCTTTAACCATTGTCGTATATTTTATCATATACAATTTAGGGATGTAACAAACAGGTTTATAACGAGATGACAGACACAGCTAAAACACTTTGTGGTCCCATGTTTACTCTGTCAACGATAGTGTTTATGTTTATTACGAACTGTTAATCTCTGAGCTGGTCACACGTCACTCATCAGCCAATCAAAACATCCACAGCCACACGCGTCTGTTCAAAACGCCAGCAAACAACTGAGGGCAATTGTTTAATTAACTGGATTAAAAACTGACACGTTGTCCTTAATTTACACCATCAGTTACTAGAAACACAGTGATTAGGCTATAGCCTTTAGTTGATATACTCTCTCAATAAAATGTGATGACTAGTGTGAGAAGATTCAGTTTTGATAAAATTACCACGGTAGACACAGTCGAAATGCTTCTAACAAACTAAAATAAGTGGTCTCTTTGAGTTTGTTATACCGTAGTTTACTGTAGTATGTGTACATATGAAAAGGAAATATTGATTATATGTCTGGACTTGACAATCTGCTGGATTTGCCAAGAAATGATGTGAATGAATCAATAAAGTATGCTGTCGTTAATATTTATGTCAGCAAATGCGCAGTCACTGATCATGTGTTGTAAGTCCAGTATCACAATGCACTGATGGATCAATGGATTGTTTTTGCACTACCATGACTATGACTTGGAAGTCTCATCCTTTGACAGAATTACGGTGTAAACAGCTGAAAGGGGCCACACTCCCAATAGGATCTTTTGTTTGTTGTTTCAAGTATATTTAAGGTACCGTATTCAACATAATAAGTGCCCACGGCGATATTTGCTAATATATTGACTAGTGAACAATCCCAATTAGCACCCCTTCGGATTGATCAATGTACACAAGACTTATTTATTCGCGTACAATACGCACTCGTGTGTTATATGCACCCTTAATTATAGGCAATTAAATTCTGGAAAAATATATATGTCGTATATAAACATTTCAGGCTGTCAGCATAAACCATGAAATTTATCTTTCAACTTTGTTGTTTTTCACCAAAATAATATTCTAATAAGAGTCCCCTATTTCTTATTTTGAGAGCGCCCTGGGCGCTTATTACGTGGAATACGGTATTTAAGAACAGAGATGACAACTGCAGTGATTATGTTTGAGTGCAAGCTGATGCACACTGAGCTGGTTAGTATCTTAGATTGTATCATCAATGTGCTCCCTGCTTCCCACAGCTATTGTGAAGAATTATGGCTTGCTGGAGCAGTTCAAGCATGTTGATCCTGAGATGTCCAATGACATTCCCACTGGGAGTGACTTAGACAAGACAATGGAGTTGGGTGACAAGAAGCTGCAGAAGATCTGGAAGAAAGCCTTGCTGTCCGGGTTCAGTGGTATGTCTGTGCTAGATTGTAGAAGGCAGGGATAGACTGTGGTAGGCAGGGAGAGACTGGTGGGCAGGGATAGACTATGATGGGCAGGGATAGACTGTGGTGGGCAGGGAGAGACTGGTGGGCAGGGATAGACTATGATGGGCAGGGATAGACTGTGATGGGCAGGGATGGACTGTGGTGGGCAGGCATGGACTGTGGTGGGCAGGGATGGGCTGTGGTGGGCAGGCATGGACTGTGGTGGGCAGGGACGGACTGTGGTGGGCAGGGATAGACTGTGTAGGGCAGGGATAGAGTGTGGTGGGCAGGGATAGACTGTGGAAGGCAGGGATAGACTATGATGGGCAGGGATAGACTGTGGTGGGCAGGGATAGACTATGATGGGCAGGGATAGACTGTGGAAGGCAGGGATAGAGTGTGTCGGGCAGGGATAGAGTGTGGTGGGCAGGGATAGACTATGATCGGCAGGGATAGAGTGTGGAAGGCAGGGATAGAGTGTGGAAGGCAGGGATAGAGTGTGGTGGGCAGGGATAGACTATGATGGGCAGGGATAGACTGTGGAAGGCAGGGATAGACTGTGGTGGGCAGGGATAGACTATGATGAGCAGGGATAGACTATGATGGGCAGGGATAAACTGTGATGGGCAGGGATAAACTGTGGTGGGCAGGGAGAGACTGTGGTGGGCAGGGAGAGACTGGAAGGCAGGGATAGACTGTGGTGGGCAGGGATAAACTGTGGTGGGCAGGGATAGACTGTGGTGGGCAGGGAGAGACTGTGGTGGGCAGGGATAGACTGTGGTGGGCAGGGAGAGACTGTGGTGGGCAGGGATAGACTGTGGAAGGCAGGGGTGGACTGTGGTGGGCAGGGATAGACTGTGGTGGGCAGGGATAGACTATGATGGGCAGGGATAAACTGTGATGGGCAGGGATAAGCTGTGGTGGGCAGGGATGGACTGTGATGGGCAGGGAGAGACTGTGGTGGGCAGGGGTGGACTGTGATGGGCAGGGATAGACTGTGGTGGGCAGGGATAGACTGTGATGGGCAGGGAGAGACTGTGGTGGGCAGGGAGAGACTGTGGTGGGCAGGGAGAGACTGTGGTGGGCAGGGATAGACTGTGGTGGGCAGGGATAGACTGTGATGGGCAGGGATGGACTGTGATGGGCAGGGAGAGACTGTGATGGGCAGGGATAGACTATGATGGGCAGGGATAGACTGTGGTGGGCAGGGATAGACTGTGATGGGCAGGGATAGACTGTGGAAGGCGGGGATAGACTGTGGTGGGCAGGGATAGACTGTGGTGGGCAGGGATAGACTATGATGGGCAGGGAGAGATTGTGGAAGGCAGGGAGAGATTGTGGTGGGCAGGGAGAGACTGTGGTGGGCAGGGATAGACTGTGGTGGGCAGGGATAAACTGTGGTGGGCAGGGATAGACTGTGGTGGGCAGGGAGAGACTGTGGTGGGCAGGGATAGACTGTGGAAGGCAGGGGTGGACTGTGGTGGGCAGGGATAGACTGTGGTGGGCAGGGATAGACTATGATGGGCAGGGATAGACTATGATGGGCAGGGATAAACTGTGATGGGCAGGGATAAGCTGTGGTGGGCAGGGATGGACTGTGATGGGCAGGGAGAGACTGTGGTGGGCAGGGGTGGACTGTGATGGGCAGGGATAGACTGTGGTGGGCAGGGATAGACTGTGGTGGGCAGGGAGAGACTGTGGTGGGAAGGGAGAGACTGTGGTGGGCAGGGAGAGACTGTGGTGGGCAGGGATAGACTGGTGGGCAGGGATAGACTGTGATGGGCAGGAATAGACTGTGATGGGCAGGGATGGACTGTGATGGGCAGGGAGAGACTGGTGGGCAGGGATAGACTATGATGGGCAGGGATAGACTGTGGAAGGCAGGGATAGACTGTGGTGGGCAGGGATAGACTGTGATGGGCAGGGATAGACTGTGGAAGGCAGGGATAGACTGTGGTGGGCAGGGATAGACTGTGGTGGGCAGGGATAGACTATGATGGGCAGGGAGAGATTGTGGAAGGCAGGGAGAGATTGTGGTGGGCAGGGAGAGACTGTGGTGGGCAGGGATAGACTGTGGTGGGCAGGGATAGACTGTGGTGGGCAGGGATAGACTATGATGGGCAGGGATAGACTGTGGTGGGCAGGGATAGACTGTGGTGGGCAGGGAGAGACTGTGGTGGGCAGGGAGAGACTGTGGTGGGCAGGGAGAGACTGTGGTGGGCAGGGATAGACTGTGATGGGCAGGGATAAACTGTGGTGGGCAGGGAGAGATTGTGGAAGGCAGGGATAGACTGTGGTGGGCAGGGATAGACTATGGTGGGCAGGGATAGACTATGATGGGCAGGGAGAGATTGTGGAAGGCAGGGATAGACTGTGGAAGGCAGGGATAGACTGTGGAAGGCAGGGATAGACTGTGGAAGGCAGGGATAGACTGTGGTGGGCAGGGAGAGACTGTGGTGGGCAGGGAGAGACTATGATGGGCAGGGATAGACTATGATGGGCAGGGAGAGACTGTGGAAGGCAGGGATAGACTGTGGAAGGCAGGGATAGACTGTGGAAGGCAGGGATAGACTGTGGTGGGCAGGGATAGACTGTGGAAGGCAGGGATAGACTGTGGTGGGCAGGGAGAGACTGTGGTGGGCAGGGATAGACTATGATGGGCAGGGATAGACTGTGGAAGGCGGGGATAGACTGTGATGGGCAGGGAAACCGCTTGTCTAATACAGCTTGTGAGAGGCAGTATTTGCAATCTCAGTTGATTTGTGGCACTAGCATTATTGTGTGTGCTTCTTTAAATAGATACTTCCAAAATGCATCAAGATTGTATTTGCAGTATTTTAATGTAAGAGTATATTTAGTATTTTAATGAAACACAGATGACATACATGTCATAATATAATATAATATTATATAATTTACTCAGCAGAACAACTAGAATGTGTATACCATGCTTCCTTCATAGTTATTACCTCTATATTGCATTGGGAAATATGTTCATGTTTTCCCTGATTTATGACTGTTGTTCAGATGAAGAGCTGGACAAATTAAAGATGGAGTTTTGGCACCAACAGATGAAGATCGACGAATACAATTCAGTGAGAGATGAAATGACTGGTGTGGATGGTAGGTGTTTCTCTCCCTTGATTACACTCCATGCAGGAGTTACTCCCCTTTCCTCTCTGTTCAAGAAGCTCCTCACAGCGCGTTCGCAGAGCTCTCTACACTGTTGCTGCCACCAGTGAAACCTCCCCACTGTGATAGGTGGCCATAACCATGCTTGGAGTTGAACTCCTGGCTGATATGTTTACAAACAAGTAATGACTGTCGTGATGCCGTATACTCTTACCACAGCTAAATTATTTTCTTTGTTTGTCAATTTGAATTTCTATTTCATTTTAACTATCATATCATATCATGTAATATTGGTATAGTGAAAATGTAAGGGGGAAGTTGGGTGATTTTATGTTCGTCTGCAATCTCAAACCAATCTGATGAAACTAACAAAAACTAAAATTCATCTGGGAAATAAGTTGAAAACTTTTTCAAAACTTTAGTATGTTGGCATTCCCAAAGACACAAACAAAAGTATAAACATTACAATATTTGAAGTTAGAGGGTAAATTTCATGATTCTTGTAATGGCCGCTCCCACACTGATGGCAGCGATATTAACAAGACTGTAACGAAGGTGTCACACCTTGTCTGTTCAGAAGCTTGCTTTAAAAGAAAATTAATGGGTCAACGTTGTTTTGGAACTACCCATTTCTATGTTGAGGTAACACATGGTCGCTGGCTGAGAACAGGTCCATCAGGGTTACCATGGTTACAAGGATGAGTTCAGAGGGGACAATCTATTTGAAAGCAATTGGGAATAAACATGTATTCTTTTATTACTTTGTTTTTCATGTTTGTTGTTTCAATGCTTGGTAATACAGATTTATGTATGAAAAGACTGAGTCATGGCTGAGGGCCGTTCAGGTATAGAAATAGTGCCCAACAGTCTGTTCCTATCATACGCATCAAAAATTGGACTGGATCATTGGATTCAGTGACTTGTTTGATTATTTGCCAGCATAGCCCCATGGCATGGCACGTGGCTCATTGTCTCAAGCACATGTTTGTGTGACCTAGACTAGGCTCTGTACAGGCTGCCTTGATGCAGCTTGAGTAATTCTGACTGTGGCGTAAAATAATAACCAAGTATTCAAACATAAGAAACCTATAGAATTGTAAATTTGGCAAAACGAAAATTATTATGTTGGGTAGACAATTCCGTAAAGGAAAATAAAATTTAATTCTCAAGTGTCTCCTTCTCTGCAAATAGGAAGATTAGATGTGTGTGTTCCTCTCCACCTCATGCACACAGACACATGATTAACTATATGCATTCCCTGGCCTGCACACAGACACATGATTCCCTGTATGTCACTCCCTGGCCTGAACACAGACCCATGATTCCTTGTATGTTCCTCTCCACCTCATGCACACAGACACATGATTCCCTATATGTCACTCCCTGGCCTGAACACAGACCCATGATTCCCTGTATGTTCCTCTCCACCTCATGCACACAGACACATGATTCCCTGTATGTCACTCCCTGGCCTGAACACAGACCCATGATTCCCTGTATGTTCCTCTCCACCTCATGCACACAGACACATGATTCCCTGTATGTCACTCCCTGGCCTGAACACAGACCCATGATTCCCTGTATGTTCCTCTCCACCTCATGCACACAGACACATGATTCCCTATATGTCCCTCTCCGCCTCATGCACACAGACACATGATTCCCTATATGTCACTCTCCACCTCATGCACACAGACCCATGATTCCCTGTATGTCCCTCTCCACCTCATGCACACAGACACATGATTCCCTGTATGTCCCTCTCCACCTCATGCACACAGACACATGATTCCCTGTATGTCCCTCTCCACCTCATGCACACAGACACATGATTCCCTATATGTCCCTCTCCACCTCATGCACACAGACACATGATTCCCTGTATGTCCCTCTCCACCTCATGCACACAGACCCATGATTCCCTGTATGTTCCTCTCCACCTCATGCACACAGACACATGATTCCCTATATGTCACTCTCCACCTCATGCACACAGACACATGATTCCCTATATGTCCCTCTCCACCTCATGCACACAGACACATGATTCCCTATATGTCACTCTCCACCTCATGCACACAGACCCATGATTCCCTGTATGTCCCTCTCCACCTCATGCACACAGACACATGATTCCCTATATGTCCCTCTCCACCTCATGCACACAGACACATGATTCCCTGTATGTCCCTCTCCACCTCATGCACACAGACCCATGATTCCCTGTATGTTCCTCTCCACCTCATGCACACAGACACATGATTCCCTATATGTCACTCTCCACCTCATGCACACAGACACATGATTCCCTATATGTCACTCTCCACCTCATGCACACAGACACATGATTCCCTGTATGTCCCTCTCCACCTCATGCACACAGACACATGATTCCCTATATGTCACTCCCTGGCCTGAACACAGACCCATGATTCCCTGTATGTTCCTCTCCACCTCATGCACACAGACACATGATTCCCTGTATGTTCCTCCCTTGCAGACATAGACAGCAACACCCTGGGGCGCGTGAAGACTGATGGCTTGGACTCCAAAGAGAAACACAAGGACCTGAAGATGAGACACAAGCAGGTAAAGGACGGCTACTTAAAGCTGGAGAGTCTGTCCACCAATAAGGATCTGGAGTTTGAGGACCCACGGGTCTACCAGCTCTGGGCAGTGGCCAAGAAAGCCAACATGTCTGAGGATGAACTCACATCTTTCAAGGTAAGGGATGAGCACAACGGTAATGAGGATGTCGTTGGTATAGTTTGATAATCAGTTGTTATATTAGTTAATAAGATAGGGGGAAATAAAACTGAACACGCTGATCTGAAGAATTGGATAAAAAATTGTGTCATATGATATGAGAGAGTGAGTATTGTTTTGTGCCGTTTTTAGCAATATTACAGCATGGAACACCAGAAATTGGCTTCACACATTGTGCCCATGTTGGGAATCGAACCCAGGCCTTCTGTATGATGAGTGAAGACTTTAACCACTAGACTACCGCACCGCCTATTGGATAATTAATTGGTTTATTAACAGTATTGTTTTGAGTAAGGTTATTAAAGTAATAAATTCCATTCTAAGCATATGTGAAATAATAATTTCACCAACTCTATCACTGTAGACATCATGACACTGTAGAAGACAAGACTTCTTCACTGCCTGTGGACATCGGACAGATTATTAGAGTCATGTTATGTCAGGGTAACCGGTGATGTCACAATGGTCAGCAAAGGCTTGTGATGCAATTTCATTGCAGTGATGTCTCCCAATTGACATATCCTGTGGAAGCCAGTTTGGGATGATAAATTAATGTCGGTATCCGCCAGAATCCTTATCAGCACGACTCTGTTTTGGGCAGATTCGACTGTATTTTAATTGTATAGTATTGTATAGGGCCTCATCGCCTGCTTGGCCTCATCACCTGCTTGGCTTGATCTTTTCTTGTAATTCTTTGTTTCAGAGTGAATTGAAACATTTTGAACATAGAATCAGCAAGCATGAATATATGAAAGACCAAGTATTGATGTCAAAATATGAACTGCGTGGGGAGGTCAAAGATGGGCAATATCCCGATAAACATAAAAAGTTGGAAGAGAAGGCTCAGGACTATGGCAGAAAGGTAGGTCCTCTTTGAGCACAACATCTCATAACGATCCTTGTATGGCAGAAAGGTAGGTCCTCCTTGAGCACAACATCTCATAACGATCCTTGTATGGCAGAAAGGTAGGTCCTCTTTGAGCACAACATCTCATAACGATCCTTGTATGGCAGAAAGGTAGGTCCTCCTTGAGCACAACATCTCATAACAATCCTTGTATGGCAGAAAGGTAGGTCCTCCTTGAGCACAACATCTCATAACGATCCTTGTATGGCAGAAAGGTAGGTCCTCTTTGAGCACAACATCTCATAACGATCCTTGTATGGCAGAAAGGTAGGTCCTCCTTGAGCACAACATCTCATAACGATCCTTGTATGGCAGAAAGGTAGGTCCTCCTTGAGCACAACTTCTCATAACGATCCTTGTATGGCAGAAAGGTAGGTCCTCCTTGAGCACAACATCTCATAACGATCCTTGTATGGCAGAAAGGTAGGTCCTCCTTGAGCACAACTTCTCATAACGATCCTTGTATGGCAGAAAGGTAGGTCCTCCTTGAGCACAACATCTCATAACGATCCTTGTATGGCAGAAAGGTAGGTCCTCCTTGAGCACAACATCTCATAACGATCCTTGTATGGCAGAAAGGTAGGTCCTCCTTGAGCACAACATCTCATAACGATCCTTGTATGGCAGAAAGGTAGGTCCTCTTTGAGCACAACATCTCATAACGATCCTTGTATGGCAGAAAGGTAGGTCCTCTTTGAGCACAACATCTCATAACGATCCTTGTATGGCAGAAAGGTAGGTCCTCCTTGAGCACAACATCTCATAACGATCCTTGTATGGCAGAAAGGTAGGTCCTCTTTGAGCACAACATCTCATAACGATCCTTGTATGGCAGAAAGGTAGGTCCTCTTTGAGCACAACATCTCATAACGATCCTTGTATGGCAGAAAGGTAGGTCCTCCTTGAGCACAACATCTCATAACGATCCTTGTATGGCAGAAAGGTAGGTCCTCCTTGAGCACAACATCTCATAACGATCCTTGTATGGCAGAAAGGTAGGTCCTCCTTGAGCACAACATCTCATAACGATCCTTGTATGGCAGAAAGGTAGGTCCTCCTTGAGCACAACATCTCATAACGATCCTTGTCATTGCTGCGGCATCCGGCAGGTACATACTGAGAACTGTGGGGGGTGTTTTTATCCCCAGTGTGAGAATGTTTCAGCAACAAGTTTTCAAAAATATTCAAAATTAATTGCATGTGGTTGAATGTTTGTCCTAAAATGTAATAATACTTAAGTTGATAAATGACTGTTTTCTCATGAACTTTTACATGTTTTGTGATGTGACCAATCTCATTAAAATCAGACCTCGGTTCTCGCTACCGCTAAACAAAGATCTGAGGACATCCCATTAGGAGTCACTTCAGAACGACCTTTCATCCAACCAATCAGAGCATCGCTTACCAGATTATGAAAGTGACAGTCGGAATGTGATTTCTGATCATCCAACCTCGAAAACTTTAAAACAGGGTATTCCGAACGATAGTTACGGGCTTAACGACTGGATCCATACAATCTAGACCATCTATTAGCCATTCCAGAATGTTCTTTTGTTCAGGTTTCAAATTTGTAATCGAGAATTTGTCAAAATATTCATTCTGATTGGTCATTTCATTGGTCGGTCAAAGTTTGCGCAAGGTCGTTCTGGGATGGGATGTCCTCAGATCTTTGTTTAGCGGTAGCGAGAACTAAGATCTGATTTTAATGAGATTGTGATGTGACAAGCCCATGAAGATACTCGGTAGAATAGGTCCCAGAGTCACGTTCCACAAAGCTCTCTCAGTGCTGTTATCGTAAGTTTATGTTAAACTATGTGGTTACGATCATCTTAGCACTAAGATCGATTTGTGAAATGGGGCCCTATACACGATGCTTTTAAGGGCCAGCGAGTGCGGGTGGGATGTTTCCAAGGTCTGGCTAATCATGTCATTGTGACCTGATAGTGTTGATGCTCATGCTATCAACCATTAGTTTTCCTGCTCAGTTTTGATAATTTACTGGCTGCAGCATTGACATATCAGTAGTTGTAATTTTAGGTAGCATAGGTAAAACCAGATACCTTCCATCTTATTGTTAGGGAATATGCACAAGCTCCTTGAAACAAATGCTGTCATAAATGTCGTTTTCAGATTGCAGATTTAATGACAAACTCCATGTGTATATGTTGAAATGTGTCCCGGTAGATGACACTGATGATTTGCTGCACACCATCATGGAACTTCTATTTTCAAATAATATTTATATGTTGATGTCCTATTTTATGATGTTTATGAATTACCTTGATATTTAATTTTGAAGTTTAATCATATTAAACCATACAAATGCAAGCAGTTATTTATTTCCATATTTTGTGCATCATTGCCCTAATTAAAAAATAAGCATTCTACCTCATGCTGCTGTATTAGAGGCATCAAAGAAGCATGGTGGATGGTAGCTGATATTCTGTAGATGTACCCTAATTTTAGACAGGCTTGGAACAATATTCATTGTCTCACTTATGCTGTGAAAGAACTGTGATTACCACTGTGTTTGTAAGATGTTTTCATCACTTTATTTTCAGGTGAAGAAAATCCATGCTGATTTGAAAAAACAAGTTGATAAAGCTTTTGCCAGACATACAGAGTTATAGTGAATCCAAGTCAAGAAATCATAGTTTCAATATTATGAATAGTTATGTAGGTCTGAATGTGAAATCTCTTTCTTCAAGTCTTTTGTTGATAACAGGCATTTAGTTCATGGAGGGTAGAAACAGCTCGGATGTAAGAATCTTCTCAATTTTATGTGTTGTCAAACTTATTTGGTCATCAAGGTATAATTCCTATTGTTGATTGGTAGATCTGATTGACATTTATACAGATCTTCAAGTAAACACTGATTTTAGGACAAATTAAATAAAGGCTATCAGATATTGAAATATTCAATTTTGTCATTTTGTTAAATGACAAGGTTGGATAAGGGACATTTGGGGCTGACTAGAAATGTTTAAAGTTGTTGAAAACTTTGAAGTATTGATTGAGAGTAATCAGACATGTTTAAATAGCTGCAATCTAGTCTTTTATAGATGAAATATATAAATATGGCTGATATAAGTCATAAGTATGAGCGAGCGAATTTTTTTATCCTATGTTTTAATCTTCATCTCCCATGTAAATCAGCTTGGGTCAAGTACTTGCACACATTCATATATTTGAAAATGCTTCTTGAAAAAATCTTTTAACTCATTTTATGCTTATCTGTTTACTGTTGTCCTAAGACGGGCGGTCTGGTAGCCTAGTGGTTAAAGCGTTCACTCGTCACACCAAAGACCCAGGTTCGATTCCAGACATGAGTACAATGTGTGAAGCCCATTTCTGGTGTCCCCCGCCATGATGTTGCTGGAAAATTGCTAAAAGCGGCGTAAAACCATACTCATTCCCTCACCCTAAGACCCATACATCCAGTTGTTGAAATGATCAAAGACAGATCTCATTCACGTGAAAGCATCTGATTACTTTCATACTAATTTCTAAGCTTTTGCTCATTTTCTTAATGATGCTGATGACAAACCTCCTACTTTTCAAGTCAGCAGACTTCCCAGTCTTGACATGGGGGAGTTAACTCCTGTCAGCTTATAGACTTCAGCTGGAATTCAGTTGACCCAAATGAGTGGCAGTTCTCATGCACCTTTATTTAATCTTATAGCAGATGTTATGTCATTGTTCATTTTCTTTAATATTCTTTCCTTGATATTGGAACTATTTTCTGGCAGATATTCCCTCCTCTTCTTCAAATAATAAACTTCATATCACCTCACTATTCACCAGCATAACCATAAGCATGATAAGTGTTGGGCTCAAATAGTCCTCGGTGTGGACCATATTCAAATACATGTACAACGTTTCAGTTAAAAAACCTTTAACATTTTGTTGTTTAGATAGATAGCAGAAATATTTGGCTTGCAGAAATATTTGGCTTACATCAAGCGATAGCTTGGCATTAGACTGATTTATACAAGGATTTACACATGTGGTGATATATGATGACATAGCCCCACTTCACTGCTGTGTAACTGTCTCTGGGAGAATATAGATCACAACAACCTTTGATGTGTGTGTGTCAGTGTGGCTATGTCATATATGCAATATATATAACTCCTGTCGTCAACAACAAAGCTTGTTTGAGTAGATAGCCATTTCTTAGCTAGGGAGATTTCTTAGCCGTGAATCTGACAGGTTGTTAAGTTCTGATTTATGCATTCTTCACAATGTTCACTGTTGCTTTGCCTGAGGCTGTCCTTGGCTGTCATGGGTTGTCGGGCAAGCACACTGACAGATTGTTTCGTGTTGTGTACACACAGGAGATGGAAATCAATGAGGATGGTGTACATCTGTTACGTTGTTGAATGTGGAGGTGGGATAAGTGTGATGTCTACATGTGATGTGTACTTGTCATGGTGATAGACACAGTGAGACTTAAACATGGTGTCTGAATGAAATCACATATTAACCTTGTTAACATGATTTATCAAAAATGTCATGATGATGATGTCATTTCACGAAACTGATGTAATGGAAGAGAGATAGTTACATAACGGCATGGAGCAATTAATATCTGAAAAATGTTTTACTCTACTGAAAAGGAATACCATGTTTCAATTAATGCGTGTCTGATTAATGTTTATAATGCACACCCCAATTTTTCAGAACCTTCACACATACACTCATGCACACTAGGGTTGGCAAAAGAGATCGTGGATGGGTAGAAATATTAACGATTATTCATGTGAACATTGTGTCAGTGATCATATCTTACATAAACTATTATGATGAAATAAGTTTCAGATTTACCAAAACGTGCTTGTTGACAATAATGTCAATTGCTGAAGATGGAAAGTAACTGTTTTTGTTATATCTTAAATGTGCACAAAGTAATCTCTGCATAAATGTGCCACCACTCACAAGGGGAGTGAAATATGTTGATTTCTTTCGGAATTTATTTTACGTATTTGCTCAAAGTTAATTCTCTGATATTTATCGATAATTAATCAATATTTAGTTAACGATTATTGATCTCTAAGATCTGTATCAATAGCTAGCACTAATTCTCTCGCACATACACACACACACACACACACACACACACACACACAAATCCTTGATCCTACTTTGAATAACTTCAGAAAAGTTGTTCCCATGATTCCATTATCTATTCAGAATTAGATATTGTCACCTTAATTATCCCGGGGGCACGGGTGGCCCAGTCGTCTAAGGCGCCGCGATTCGCTGTGCAGAGTTGCGTCCCTTGGTTACGCCAGAAACCTATGATTGTGGGTTCGAATCCCGGTTCACCCCGATAATGTTTCTAGGATCGGGTGGTTCGGCCTCCATCACCCTCCAACAAGCGGCGGGTTGAACCAGCGTACAGCACAATGTGCCAGGTAGAAGATTTCAATTTATTCGTGACCAAAGCGCATGCAACAGGGTGGTTGAAATATTAAGTTCCAAGGTGCCGTTGTACAAAGCGATCTCAGCTGATCGTAACTCCCATACCTTAACATAGACTTACGACAGTCGAGGCGCTAAGGTTGTTTTGAACAACGGCACCCAGGTCTCTAAATACCCAGGTTTGGAAGCTTGTTCAAAGAAAATAATTCTGGTGCTTATTAGAGGATATACGTGTATAGGACAGTTAATATTGGTGCTGTTGGAGAGAGATGCTAAGAGCGGAGTGTGTTCCGTGTATTTAGTGCAGCCTAGATGATGATGATGATGATGGTGATGATGATCTAGCTAAGGCTGATGAGTTTGTATGCGTGGTAGTGTAGAGTGCTCCTGATGGCGTTACCGTGCAATATGTAGGTAGGTTTCTTACATTCCATATATTTGACAAGGCATGACTTTCCTGAAATAAAACCTGAAAAATGATGTTACTTATTTCTTTTTCATGTATTTTAGAAATACTTGAGTTCACAAAGGACCGTGTTGGCATAGTGAAAAGAACACATGTACCATGATCGAAAACAGGTTGATACAGAGTGAGTTGGGTTTTACCTGGCTTTTGATAATAATCCAGCAATATCACGGCAGGGGACACCAGAATCTGTCACACATTGTACCCATGTGGGGAATCGAACCTGGGCCTTCGGCGTGACGAATAACGCTCTAACCACTAGGCTCCCCCATCTCTCTGTTGGTATAGAAAATATAAGGAAAACACACAGCTCAAAAGATTCATGTTTTATTACAATTGTGTTAAGGTACTTCCATTTTAATAACTGATTCATATAAAGCAATGAGCACTGTACAGTGAGTTTTGACTAAACATGTTTGTAACAGGAGTTATCCTTTCCATACATACATTAAATCAGAGTAGCGCGTCGTAATGCAGTAGCAGTTGCGAGCACTAATTTAAGATCTGATTTTAATGAATTGGGATATGTTTATGTGCAACACGATCTACTTCCTTTTTCGTTAATAGATAGAAATCTCAGATACTTGACTGTACATCTAAGCTCAGGTCGGTAGGAGCTTTTGTTGATGAGACTGACTACAGTAATGTTAGAATGATCGTGGGCTTCGTTTAAAACGTACTGGTGCCATCTCAGTACCCACACTGTAACATCAAGGTTTCATCTTCTGATGAATGACCACCTCCGTGGTCAAGTGGATAGAGGCTCTGCCTTGAGGCTGGAAAGTCGGTTGTCTCATCGTTCCAAAATACGTTAAAAGATGGTACTTGGCATTAAAGGCCTGAAACGAGGACTGGCAGGCCGGAGTCTGTAAATGCTGTGTTTGAGTGGGGTATCCATGTTCAATTGCGGCATGGGGGAGCACTATAAAGTCGGGGTTAGTACAAGCGCCCGCCCGCCCGCCCACGCACGCACACACGCACACACAGAGGAAGTAAAAATATTCAGAAAATTATTTATGCTGACATTCCCGAATAGTCCTTTATTACATTTACACTGACATTCGCGATTATCCTCAAATACTAAAATACAAAAGCATTTTAATCGCATGAGAGGGTTGTGTTTTGCGCCGCCCACTGTTTCGGTTATATCAGGGCTTAATGGCAGCTTGCAATCCCGAAGTGATGCAAGTCTAATACCCCGCTCACATAAACAGTAATACATATATGAGTATATTTGCATGGGGGGTAAAGCGATTCATGTATGTAAAAGTAGAGATACTTTGCATTCACTTGTTATATTAGTGTCATGAGCAACTCCGTGTTTTGCTCCCCTTAAAGCAAGATAACCGATCATGTTTTCACGCAGGATGCTGCTGCACTTAAACATAGCGTAATACACTGCTATACTTGGATCGGATGCCGTCACTTTACACGCTCAGGCAACATCATTGCTGTTCACCTGGCCAAATTTGCACACCATGTAAAGTTACTTATGTGTAAATACAGTAAACTACGGTTATAACGAACTCAAAGGGACCTTTAATTTTAGTTCGTTATAACCGTAGTTCGTTATAAGCATATATACAGCATAACTACAGCAAATAGTTGGGACAAAAAAAAGTAAGTTCGTTATATCCGTCAGTTCGTTATAAGCGTGTTCGTTATAACCGTAGTTTACTGTATACTTTTTCATTACCTCTTTTGCTAATGTAAATATTCTCTTTGAGCCACGTTACACACGTGAGTAAATGTGTTCACATGACTCATTTGCTTACTGTAAGTAAATTTACTTTTGTGTGTATAAATACTCGTGTACGCATCAGTGTCCACGTGAACAGGGTAGACACGTTGATCACTTGGTAACCAACTAACACGGATATGGTGCCGGCAAACCAATGATTATCAGGACGAATCTGGGAATCGAACTCACGATCACACGGGACGTAACTCACCACCGAGAATGTGTAGTACTTTGGCCAACATAGCCACCCCTGCTACCCTTTATTTACGTTTATTTCGTAACTTGTACTGATCAAATCCCGTCTTAGACACAATCAATACAGATGTCTGATTCATGTGTGCATTCCAGTAGAAATCTGATCTCTGCCAAGAGACCAGGGCTATAAATAAGACATTGGTACTGCTACTTCCCAACTATTCCTCGTTAACTCGTTGCTGAACGTACGCGTTACTTCCCTGGAAGCTATTATGACAAGGTTCTACTCCGAGGTGTGTAATGTTTTGTAGATGCTGTATCTGGTGACGAGCACCACCGGTACATCTTGGTGACAGATGCTGAAGCAATTTCTAGCTCCGTCTGAGTCATTGCCCTCAGGAGAACGTCGAGACAGGCCCAACAGTCGACGTGTGATACTTCCAGCTGCTTGCATAGTGCCATGCAAACATGGAGACTGCAGTTGTAGTCTTCGGTTCCATCTCGCTGGTAAACACGTAAGCTGTAAGCCCGGAGTAGCTTACGAATCTGATATCCGCAGGGCGATGACTCGAGCTGAGAGAATGAATGTTGCAGCCGTCTGGCCCAGGTATGGTCTCTGGGATGCCGTTCCGCCAAGCAACCGCTGCGGTATAACAGTTATGGGCGTTACATAGATAACCATAACTAAAACATAACATTTTTTTTACCCTCCCAAGCTGAAGGTGGTGAGCTACAACTTTACCAGAACCCTCAGTGCAACCAGCTGGGAACAATTCACCAGAGCCCTCATTGCAACTAGCCAGGAACACTGTACCAGAACCCTCAGTGCAACCAGCTGGGAACAATTCATCAGAACCCTCAGTGCAACTGGCCGGGAACACTGTACCAGAACCCTCAGTGCAACTAGCCGGGAAAACTATGCCAGAACACAACAAGCCGGGAACACTGTACCGGAACCCTCAGAACAACTAGCCGGGAACACTGTACCAGAACCCTCAGTACAACTAGCCGGGAACACTGTACTAGAACCCTTAGTTCAACTAGCCGGGAACACTGTACCGAACCCTCCGTGCATCTAGCCGGGAACACTATGCCAGAACACAACTAGCCGGGAACACTGTTCCGGAACCCTCAGTACAACTAGCCGGTAAAACTGTACCAGAACCCTCAGTTCAACTAGCCGGGAACACTGTACCAGAACCCTCAGTACAACTAGCCGGGAACACTGTACCAGAACCCTCAGTGCAACTAGCCGGGAACACTATGCCAGAACACAACAAGCCGGGAACACTGTACCGGAACCCTCAGTACAACTAGCCAGGAACACTATGCCAGAACACAACTAGCTGGGAACACTGTACCGGAACCCTCAGTTCAACTAGCCGGGAACACTGTACCGGAACCCTCAGTTCAACTAGCCGGGAACACTGTACCAGAACCCTCAGTACAACTAGCCTGGAACACTGTACCGGAACCCTCAGTGCATCTAGCCGGGAACACTGTACCGGAACCCTCAGTGCATCTAGTCGGGAACACTGTACCGGAACCCTCAGTGCATCTAGCCGGGAACACTGTACCGGAACCCTCAGTACAACTAGCCGGGAACACTATGCCAGAACCCTCAGTGCAACTAGCCGGGAACACTGTACCGGAACCCTCCGTGCATCTAGCCGGGAACACTATGCCAGAACCCCCAGTGCATCTGAGTAGTGACCTGTGCCCTGTGTTCGAATCAAAAGATAAACCCAGACACCTCCTTCATCGTCACTATGGTAACCCCGTGTTGACACAGTTCCTCATATCTTGTATTATGAATATTTAATTTCTTCACATTTATCGTCTTGAACATTAAGGAGATTGTGCCCTTTTACATTCAATATCAGCCTTTACATTTCTTCACATTTCTCGTCTAGAGTATTTCTATAGTAAGGAAATTGTGCCCAAATACATATTATTTCTACCTTTACAGTTTGTATTGTTAGACTGTGTGAGCCGTTAAAGTCACACTTCAATAAGCTGTTCCTATATATTGATACGTTGTTCAAATACTTCTACAACGTACTGTGGACACATGAACACACACTAATCCACAGCATGAGGATCAGAGTCTTGTAGACACAGAGGTCCCACCCTTCTCTCCGAGGCTGGTGTCCGCGCCGGGGTTAGACGCGCCCTTGTCTACCCCCTGGCCATCGAGGGACCAACCCAGCGCTGCCGCCTCCTTCTCTTTCTCGTCCTGTAGGTGGGGGTTCACTTCAGATCTAGTGGACGGTCGTCTGGTAATGTCTGCCTCTCCCTGGAACAGACATTAGGAATCAGACCTGACTTCCGGTCAACATTACAGACAGTTTTAAGGATTAGACCTGACTTCCGGTGAACATAAAAGGCTGGTTAAAGAATTAAGACCTGACTTCCGGTGGTCATTACAGACAGACGGGGGGATTAAGACCTGACTACCGGTGATCATGTCAGACAGACGGGAGGATTAAGACCTGACTTCCGGTGAGAAGTACTGACAGATTAAAGGATTAAGACCTGACTACCGATTAATATTACAGACGGACGGAAGGATTAAGACCTGACTTCCGGTGAACATTACAGACAGGCTGGAGGATTAAGACCTGACTTCCAATGAAAATTACAGACAGAATACAGACATGAGGATTACAGAGAAGCTGAATCTGAACGAGCTTGTGCATACAGTCGGCAACATATTAAAGTATAGTGAGGTCAAGAGGTTTCGTTCTCTAGAATCCTTTCTCAAAGAAATCACATTTGTTTATGTATACCTTCATTTTGAAACTGGTGTTGTGCTATTAGCATATATTTGTCAGGATTAAGGTAAGGGTTTGTCGCTATATTGAACTTAAAGTACACAGCAAAATACGTGTTAAATTCAAAATGTTAGGCTTTCGGTTATATCTGCCAAAAAAATATATATATTTTTTAAATGTCGAGTAGGTTGAAGAAATAGAAATAAAAACTAAAATTACTTACTTTCGTATTTTTTAAAACAGATTTAGCAAGAATATAAATTCTGACGTAATCAAAATACGGATTTGCTTATTAGTAAAACAAGTAATGAAAACAGTTACTCAACTTACCAATTTATCATATCGGACTCCAAATCTGAGCGGTTTGAGGATCTTCTCTGGGAGGTAGGGGCACACTATATCGAAGAATGGGCACATCAACCGTGGATCTAAAGTTTCTGGTTTCGTTGCGCCTGAAAGAGAGGTGCATATACACATTATTCATAACAGCTATAGTGGAAACAGCAGGGTACCCATGTTGTCATATTGTTATGATGTTTCGTATGTGGTCAGTGTAAGTGTGTGAAAGGTGTGCATTAAGTAACAAACAAGAAATCACATCCATGTCACCTTGGCAGCAGCACGTGTGGCCCTTGTACAGGGTTTGTGGTGAACAGAATATATAGAGGTTATCGCGCGAGTGTGTTTGAGGATGGTAAATATCCTGCATTAGGAATAAACATTGTATTTAGGGAGCCTTGGCCAAATCCAACTATTTTAATTTGTGGAAAAGGTTTCAAGCCGCAGAGGTCGACAAGCACAGATATGGCTACTGATCCCGCTTGGCTAGGCCTGGTGCCCTCGCAAAATTGTTTCGAAATTTATATCTCCAAAGTTGCCAAAAGTAATAAAATGCCTTAGCTACATCACAGTTAGACACTGATTTTTAGTATATCAGACTGTTCTTTTGATAATGATAGCAATTATCCCTTTAGTTTAATGCCGATTAATAGTGCTAGCTCACTGAGATACCCTGCCGCAGTTTAACATGAATACCCCACTCAGACACAGTATACTGACTCCGAGCCGACCAGTCCTTGTTTTAGCCCCTTAATGCCGAGCGCCAGACAGGGTAACAACAAGTACCATCTTTTAACGTCTTTTGGTATGACGCGGTCGGGGATCGAACCCCAAGCCTTCCGCTCTCCAGGCGGACGCTCTACCACTAGACCACGGAGGCGGTCGCTTTGTTATGAAATGCAACAGATCAACATGTATTGTTATTAAAAGAATGCAACAGATCAACGGTACATTATTAAAAGAATGCAACAGATCAAAGGTGCATTATTATGACATGCACCTGGTTAAAGGTGAATTGTTATGAAATGAAACAGATCAACGGTGCATTGTTAAGAAATGCAACATGATAATGTTTTATTGGTGTTTAAACCGCACACACACATTGTCACAAACTGCAGCGCAAATCTCAAAACACTTCCTCCTAATATTCATTTGTCAGTACACGTGTGCCCCAGGGGTGTAAGGTCCCGCCATTATTTGTGCAGATCTGCGTGTTCTAGCCGGACCAGGATCTGCATGTGATGGGTTCGAATCCAGACCTGACTATGACACTTGGTTTGTCTGTAATGTGTCAGCGGGTTTCAGAACAATTGTAAATATCAGCTTCCCACGTCACACATGACCCCTAAAACTTTGAGGAGAAATCTGTTGACTACTAACACTGTGATGCGACCAGGCTGTTACCTGCCACCCGACGTGTTCTAACTGAAGAAACTACTCTCGTCCCAGGGACCACGTTACGTCACAAGTGACATATGTCAATCTGAACGACAATCGTGTATTTATGTATGCGGTAAAATTTTAATGTGTCTGATAAAAGTCACAAACAACAAACTCAAGGACAAACCGTCTGCATATGTGAGCGATGAGTAAGTAATCAACACACCTTTCATGTGTTCCGACACAAATTCGTTCAGGCAACAACAAATTAATTATTTTTTTCCTCGAAATTTAATCTTTTTCTACAAGAACATGAGAACAAAATGTCTAATGTTTCACTTTTCTAGGTGCTTAATTACCTACGTACCAAAGCAATGACTCACTAAACAAGGCGTCGGTTGAGAGTGGGTGAGTGAGCTTGATTTTACGCCGCTTTTAGCAATATTTCAGCAATATCACGACGGGGGACACCAGAAATGGGCTTCACACATTGTACCCATGTCGGGAATCGCGTCGGTTGAGAATAAACTCTCCGTTAAGACTCATTAGTTGGTAGTCCATCAGGTTTACAAAATCCATAACATTTGTTTAGAGAAAATAATTGTTTTTTTCCACGTTGTAAAAGCAATAAATGTTCCCCCAAAAGACTCCTTCGTGTTCTCAAGGAAATGAAATATACGAAAAACAAATAACTTATTTGTTGTGAATTTGAATCAAAACGCCAACACCAGAATGATAGGCGTAAAAAGCAACCTGCATATTCTTGTTATATGGTTATTCACATATCGTATTGCAACTTGTGCAATTTATGGTGTTATAAACTGTCCAACAACACCTGCATGATTGTGACTCCAAAACATTTTGCAACAGTGTTATCCAAATGCATCTACTTAAATGAATTCTATACAGTGAGACGCCTGCTCAATACCTCTTACCTGTTATGAAGCTGACAATGAGCCCGACAATGACGGTAGTGGCTACGGCAGTGGCTGTATACCACATGTACGACAGCGTGTAGAGGCCCATCAGGGGAGTGCTGTAACAGTAATAGGGAGAGAAAACCTTACAAAAAGGGCGTAGTTTATCATATATACTGTGGACTATTAGTATGGGCCATTGCATAATGACAATACATGACGCTACATGTGGCATGTTTCAGACCACGATTTATTTCTAGATTAACATTGGAACAACGCTCAGTTGATATTTTTTGTCCCGTCGTACCTTTTATGAATTGACGTCTTTCACCGGTTTAAAATCAAAATCAAACTTTATTATTCAGCGACGCAACAACGAGTTACAAGGAAATACGGATTATCTGCCCTGACTGAATGAGTTGTGTAAGCCCCGAGCCATTGGAACTGCATCCAGTTGGATGTCAATGGGCAGATCATCCGTATTTCCAAGTCCTCGCCTCCGTGGTCGGGTGGTCGAGCATCTGCCCGGAGAGCGGAGGTTGAAGGTTCGATCCCTGGCCGCCTCATACCACAAGACGATAAAATATGGTATTTGTTGTTACCCTGCCTACCTGGCGTTCGGTATTAAGATGACAACTAAAGGTCTGGTCGGTTTGAGCCAGTATACCGTGTGTGAGAAGGGTATCCATGTTAAACTGTGGCCTGGTACGATCTTAGCGGACTAGCACAAATACAAGCAGCCACACACACCCGCGCATGCACTTGCCATAGAAATGTCATAATCTTGAACGCAAAGTCAAACCCCATTTAGTTGTCTGATGTTGTCATTAAGAAGGAAATTGAAGATCGTATAAATGTCAAATCTTACCCTAAATGATTAATAACTGTTTATCTATTATTCATGATTTAATGTTAACAACTTACGACATCATGAAGATGATGACGTCGTATGGTTTTGTTCTAAGCAATTGATCAATGTGATATATCGCTTCAACTGACTCATCAGCATAACGACGCGATAAAATACACATGTGAAAATATCGGATAGTCATAACTCTCGATTCATCTTACATATGAATTATTTGTCTCAACTGGCTGATGGCTGAGAAATTACCTTTCGGGCGCTGCAGTAGCGTTGGAAAGAACTGACGATGCATTTCCGGTGAATGTCGACATAGTTGTTGTTGCAGTCGCTGCAATTGTAGTGATGTTCCAGTTGCAGTCCACCATGCTGATCGGAGCCAACGTTGCTACCACAGGTTTGTAGATCTGGAAGCCGACGCTGATCCAGAACATGAACACAAGACTTGTGACGATCCCTGCCACGGCGCCCTGACGGAGAAACAGAGAGAGAGAGTGGTCAAAACTCTCCTGACAGAGAAGCAGAGAGAGTAGTCAAGATTCCCCCGACGGAGTAGCAGAGAGAGTGGTCAATACTCTCTTGACGGAGAAGCAGAGAGAGTGGTCAATACTCTCCTGACGGAGTAGCAAAGAGAGTAGTCAAGATTCCCCCGACGGAGAAGCAGGGAGTGGCCAATACTCTCTTGACGGAGTAGCAGAGAGAGTGGTCAATACTCTCCTCGTGGAGAAACAGAGAGAGTGGTCAATACTCTTCTGACGGAGAAACAGAGAGAGTAGTCAATATTCTTCTGAGAGAGCAGCAGAGAGAGTGTTCAATACTCCATCTGAGGTCAGTCCGGAACAGACAAACCAGTGGTCGATGGGGTGAGAACTGTCTTTGCTTGCAAGGACTGCAAGGAAACCTTCTCTGTCCTGCATTTTTCCATTAACCAAAATAATTAACGACCGTGTCCATACAACAAACACCACAGAGGAGTGTTCATAAAGAAATACATTGATACCTGACAATGGAGAAGCCCCCAAATTACACATGAATAATGATTGTCATGGCACTATTGCCAACTGTAGCGGGAAAGTTGGATTTTCCTCAAAATATCACAATATTCGGCCAAATATACTACTCAAAGAAAGTTAAATAACATCCGCCTATTTTATGTGACGATTGATTATCTGTCATGACCATGGCAGATTTACAAGAGTCCTTGCCCTCATGGTTTCTAAGATATAGAGAAGATAACAGTTTATAGACGGACGGACAACGTGCCACGACTCATGCTTTCTTGATTTTTAGTCTGGTAAGTTATAAATGTTACTATGATGTCATCATTCTTTACTTTCTTAACGTTTTTAGGCGTACTTCTTTTTGAAGAGTAATATCAAGATTTCAACTTAGTTTCAAGTAAATCACAATACTTTTCTTACATAACAAGCTGAATGAAATAAGGAAAGGCGAACATGAAATATACCCTGGGATATTTTTAACGTTTATTTAGATGAAATTTATAGAATTTAATCTCAGGACAATTTGTTTATCTTTTCTGTACTGTAATACGTGGTGAAGTCCGACTCACGATCTGATTGGCCCACGGGAAGAGCATCCCCAAAGTGAATGTCCCAAGTAGAGGTCCTCCCAGGATCCCGTACAACGCCAGGGCGGCCTGCAACACAAATCACAGTGAGTGAGTGAGTGAGTGAGTGAGTGAGTGAGTGAGTGAGTGAGAGGGGGTGGAAGGGTTTGGGGGTTAGGTAGTGTCCTCAGAATTGAGCCATATGTTCCAGCCATATCAAGGCCGAGGCCACCCGAAATGGACTTTTACATTGTGCCCATGTGAGGAATGGCACCCAGGTCTTCGATGAGCCAAAGCTTTAACCACTGGGCTACCCCACCTCCAACACCCAAAAGGTATGTTGATTTATTACTAGGTTACCTTACTTTTCTCTAATAAAACAAAACCTAACTAGGAAATATAGTTTCCTACAATCTATTGGTGTGCGAACTTTGATAAATCTCTGTACACAGAAAACTATGACGTTGACATTGGTAGTATGCGTCAACGAATGAGGGTACACCTAGTCTAGACAAAATATTTGTTTATAAAACGAGCAAGAAAAACATTGTGAAAGTCCAATCTTGCATCTTTGAACTTCCAGAATTTAATCCTTGTCTGTTTGTTTGTTGTTTAACGCCGCACTCAGCAATATTTACAGCTATATGACGGCGGTCTGTAAATAATCGAGTCTGGGCCAGACAATCCGGTGATTGACATCATGAGCATCGATCCACGCAATTGGGATACAATGACATGCATTAACCAAGTCAGCAGGCCTTACCACCCGATCCCCTCAGTCGCCTTTTACGTCAAGCATGGGTTGCTGAACTAACCCGGGTCTTGACGGGCCTTTAAAGGGGCTCTCACACTTTGCCGAGTTGCGGAGTACTCGTATGGAGCTCGTAGCGAGATCGTACTCAACTCGGGGTAACTCGGGATACCTCGTACTGATCTACGAGAGTTTTAGAACTACTCAAAACACTCGGGCCGCCAGCCAACTCCTAACAAACTCGTAACACACTCGTCCTACTCGTAGTACCCTCGTGGCGACCTCGTGGTGTTCGTACAGAACTCGTATAAGGATCGTCGGCAAAATTTATTGCCGAGTTGACCGAGTCTAATAAGAGCTATACGAGCCTCCATGTTAAACATGTGACAAATTCCCGCCGAATTATTTAGCAGCTCGTAGCCACCTCGTACCAACGTCGTACCAACGTCGCACCAAACTCGTACAGCACGTGCCGAGATCGTTGTGCTCGTATGCAACTCTTAATAGACTCCTATTGGACTCCTACTGGACTCCTATGAGGCTCGTAACACACTCGTAGCGTACTTGTATAATACTCGTATACATGTAGTCTCTTCCCGAGTCCCAACCAAGTTTGGCTCGGGAGAGCTCGGCAACCACCTCGGCAAAGTGTGAGAGCTGCTTAAGCCTCGTAACAGAACACAAAGTAAAACTTCAAATTAAGATGCCGTCTTTTGATTTACCCACATGGCGTTTTGAGTTGATCGTGATTGAGTCGTGTTGCATTGTATAAAGGGTGGGAATGTAATATGGTTGATTCTACACACATATTTCCAGCTCCAGATATCATACCTTTCATTGCATTCTTCCACTTGAAGGGCTCTTAACGGCATAGTGGGCACTATTCATGATCGAGATGGTATGCGATAAACATGGCTCGAGAATACATGCATTTCACTTTTCTTTAACATCGCAGCCAATGCACGGTCTAGTTGTATTGTTATAAATGTGGAGTAGTTCTATAGTCCTACCTCCAGAATGCCACCAAGCATTGCGGCCACGTATGTCAGGCCGATAGCAGCAAACCCGATCACCACGGCTGAAAGGGAGATCATTAACTTTCAAGCTTCAGCTGACTATTGTTCAGTCAATTGTGTTTATTCATGGCAAACTGAGAGGCCATAAGCCCATAGTTCAACATATTTACAAGTTATGCGTGTTTCTTCTACAAATGCATGATCTATGGGCAGTGCACTATTTTGTAATAATGTAACATTTGAGGCTTACATGAGTATGCACATATTCCCGAGGCAAGAGCGTCCACTAGCCTCTTTTATCAAAGGGGGCACGGGTGGCCCAGTCGTCTAAGGCGCCGCGATTCGCTGTGCAGAGTTGCGTCCCTTGGGCACTCCAGAAACCTATGATTGTGGGTTCGAATCCCGGTTCGCCCCGATTATGTTTCTAGGTTTGTCAGCACCATACCCGTGCTCGTGGGTTTCACCGAAGTGGTAAACGTCTGAGACCTGCATCACTTCGGGCTTTCCTCCAAACATTAAGCTGACACGCCGTGATATAACTGGAATATTGTTAAAAGCGGCGTTAAACCCAACTCACTCACTCACTCTTTTATCAAAGTCTTGTTTCCACTAGGCTTTGATATAGGCTAGTGGGCACGCCTGCCTCGGCAAGATGGAGTATACATACAAACTGCTATTTGGTTAAGATGTAAACTTTTTTGGAATATATTTGTTTCATAATTGAAGATAGAGTTTACATATAAGCATAAAAAGATACTCATTTTCTACAGCATGAAGGTTACGAAACGTACAGGCGTTGTTAGACTTTTGTAATATGCCTTTATACATCTTTAAATCATAATACCCTGATCTGAATTGAGATAGCGAGACTCGAATATTTTTTTATTGGAACAGATACTAGATTTGTTTCGAGTATAAATTGTTTTTTTAAGAGAGAATAAGTGCACATTAGAGGTCAAGGTCATCAATTGTTTTTCTAACCACATTTGCTGAAAAAATCTTTAGCTCTTGGAGTAACAATGACATTAACATTTTGATACTTCCAACAATCTGATCAATCCATGCGTACCAAAGGCCTAACTGAAAAGGGTTATTTTGTTATAAGTTGCCCAATTATTTTTATTGCGGGAGTGACTGGCATTTTGATTGAGATAAAATACCATGTTATAGGCTTTTGCTGGATATCGCGTGGACTCATAGCAACCGCGAAGTATTTTTGTGTTTTATAGATAGTGCTGAGGGTTACAGGCCGGCAACGCCACATTTCGAAAATAGATAGCCCAAATTGATGTGGCGCTCCCGGCAATGGTTATGGTTGCGTGATTGTATAATGTGGCTCTCACGGCTATGCTGTCAAAACATGCTTTGTGATTCTAACAGGTTAAATGTGAGATACTCATTTAAAGGTATGTCTAAAGAACACCACGCTTCGTAATTTAAATGTGAGATACTCATTTAAAGGTATCTCTAAAGAACACCACGCTTAGTAATTTAAATGTGGGACACTCATTTAAAGGTATCGGTAATCGGATTAATTAATTACCCGATAGAATAGGTGAAATGCACTCAGCTGGAAATGTGGCCCTACCGGCAATAGCCATTTCTGAAATGTGGCGCTCCCGGCTAGACACCAGTGCTGAGTATCACACGAAGTGTTCAATGTACATGTATATAACATATTTTTATATTGTTGTACACGATAAGCGTTCAGTGTATATAATGTATGGATATATGCACTGTAAAACTGAGTTTAGAATTTGAAGACATACAAGACATTTAAATCCTAAACGGAATACAAATTTGGTGTGTTCTATCTCAATACGTTTAGGGTCTAAACACATGAAATGAGTTTTTGTATTACCGCCTGAACACAAGATCCCCGCACTAAACATGTTTAGATAATGTTATATCACTGGGCATTATATGGATGAGATGCACAAAATGTATCGCAATTAGATGTGCAATCAGATTTGTGTAACACATTTGTATTACACATTTGTATAACACATATACCACCAGGACTTACAACGAACTTGGTATAACATTAACATGATAGTGTATAAGAAAACCAAGCTTAGACAATGGTGACTAGATGAATTGACATTTGTGTGTGAGGGTGGTGGGTTGGGGTGTGTTGGTGTTGGTTCGGGGTGGGGGTGAAAATACGGGTTTTTACCACATCTAGATCCTAAACACGTTTAGCTGTTAAACACAGATCCTAAACATGTTTAGACCCGAAAGTCGTCATAATTATGGGACAAGGAACGCGCTTAATACATATTTCACAGAGCGTCAAGTAATAATAAATATATAATTTCCAACTGATTCCATGGAATTTGATCGGCTTACCAAGCAATTTTGCTTTAGCGTTTATGTTTCCAGAAACCGACAAGAATAGGCCACGCCCACAAGCGGATTTTTCTTCCCTGATTGGTTGATAATAGGGTGGGCGGGACTTGGGTTGCGATATTGCACTGAACGACGTCACTGATTTCGTATTGTTGTCTTCATGTTTTTTTGTGATAATGATTTATTGATTTATTGATTTATTGATTTATTGATTTATTGATTTATTTATTTATTGTTTGTTTGTTTGTTTGTTTGTTTGTTTGTTTATTTCTTCTTCTTTTTTCTTTTTCTTTTTCTTTTTTTTAATTTATTTATTTCTTCTTCTTTTTTAAGAATTGACTTTACTACGACGAGATTTCTAGCGTTTATGGACTTATAAATGTAAAACCGGTGTTCACACTGTGAAGATTCGCGGATGTCAATTCTTAATTGTTAAATGAAGGACTGACCGAGAATCTTGGAGATGATGGTTGCTTTCTTCTCGCTGATCCTAGTGCAGCAGTACTTCCTGACCAAGTCGGTCAGGATGACTGCGGAGATGGAGTTGAGTCCCGACGAGATGGTGCTGTGGATCAAGTCACGGGGTTAGGCGAGACCTTTCAGTTTTTGGTTTACGTATTCGACCGATCAAAGTCCAAAGCATAAATAAAATGACAAACAAATGATTTGCATTTGTTTAATGTACCTGAGCCTCTAACTATGATTGATCAGAAAAATAAAACGATTCACTTACAAATATCCAACAAAAGGTTGTTGTACAGCTATTAAATAGTAATCATCAAACGCATTGTACAGATTGTCTAGCCACTATAGTCACCCTGTGATCAGAAAAAAGCCTTCGCTGACAGAAGTAGTGAGTGAGTGAGTGGGTTAGTTGAGTTAAACGCCGCTTTGGATAGTACATCACGGCGTGTTAGCTTAATGTGCGAGGAAAGCCTGAAGTGATGCAGGTCTAAGACGTTTACCACTTTGGTGAAGTCCACGAGCTCGGGGATGGGGTATAGAGTTACGATCATCAAAGCACTACGCTTATCGTAAACCTATGTAAAGTATTGGGTTACAATCATCAAAGCACTACGCTTATCGTAAGCCTATGTAAAGTATGGGGTTACGATCATATTATCACTACGCCTATCGTAAACCTATGTAAAATATGGGGTTACGATCGTCTTAGTACAACGCCTATCGCAAGCCTATGTAAAATATGGGGTTACTATCGTCTTAGCACAACGCCTATCGTAAACCTATGTAAAATATGGGGTTACGATCGTCTTAGCACTACGCCTATCGTAAACCTATGTAAAATATGGGGTTACGATCGTCTTAGCACAACGCCTATCGCAAGCCTATGTAAAATATGGGGTTACGGTCGTCTTAGCACAACGCCTATCGTAAACCTATGTAAAATATGGGGTTACGATCATCTTAGCACTACGCCTATGTAAAGTATGGGGTTACGATCGTCCTAGCACAACGCCTATCGCAAGCCTATGTAAAATATGGGGTTACGATCGTCTTAGCACAACGCCTATCGTTAGCCTATGTAAAATATGGGGTTACGATCGTCTTAGCACAACGCCTATCGTTAGCCTATGTAAAATATGGGGTTACGGTCGTCTTAGCACAACGCCTATCGCAAGCCTATGTAAAATATGGGGTTACGGTCGTCTTAGCACAACGCCTATCGTAAACCTATGTAAAATATGGGGTTACGATCATCTTAGCACTACGCCTATGTAAAGTATGGGGTTACGATCGTCCTAGCACAACGCCTATCGCAAGCCCATGTAAAATATGGGGTTACGATCGTCTTAGCACAACGCCTATCGTTAGCCTATGTAAAATATGGGGTTACGATCGTCTTAGCACAACGCCTATCGTTAGCCTATGTAAAGTATGGGGTTACGATCGTCTTAGCACAACGCCTATCGCAAGCCTATGTAAAATATGGGGTTACGATCGTCTTAGCACAACGCCTATCGTAAACCTATGTAAAATATTGGGTTACGATCATCTTATCACTACGCCTATCGTAAACCTATGTAAAATATGGGGTTACGATCGTCTTAGCACAACGCCTATCGTAAACCTATGTAAAATATTGGGTTACGATCATCTTATCACTACGCCTATCGTAAACCTATGTAAAATATGGGGTTACGATCGTCTTAGCACAACGCCTATCGCAAGCCTATGTAAAATATGGGGTTACGATCGTCTTAGCACAACGCCTATCGTAAACCTATGTAAAATATGGGGTGACGATCATCTTATCACTACGCCTATCGTAAACCTATGTAAAATATGGGGTTACGATCGTTTTAGCACAACGCCTATCGCAAGCCTATGTAAAATATGGGGTTACGATCGTCTTAGCACAACGCCTATCGTAAACCTATGTAAAATATGGGGTTACGATCGTCTTAGCACTACGCCTATCGTAAACCTATGTAAAATATGGGGTTACGATCGTCTTAGCACAACGCCTATCGTAAACCTATGTAAAATATGGGGTTAGGATCATCTTAGCACTACGCCTATGTAAAGTATGGGGTTACGATCGTCTTAGCACTACGCCTATCGCAAGCCTATGTAAAATATGGGGTTACGATCGTCTTAGCACAACGCCTATCGTTAGCCTATGTAAAGTATGGGGTTACGATCACCTTAGCACTACGCCTATGTAAAGTATGGGGTTACGATCGTCTTAGCACAACGCCTATCGTTAGCCTATGTAAAGTATGGGGTTACGATCACCTTAGCACTACGCCTATGTAAAGTATGCGGTTACGATCGTCTTAGCACAAAGCCTATCGTTAGCCTATGTAAAGTATGGGGTTACGATCGTCCTAGCACAACGCCTATCCTTAGCCTATGTAAAATATGGGGTTACGATCATCTAAGCACTACGCCTATGTTAAGTATGGGGTTACGATCGTCTTAGCACAACGCCTATCGTTAGCCTATGTAAAATATGGGGTTACGATCGTCTTAGCACAACGCCTATCGTTAGCCTATGTAAAATATGGGGTTACGATCATCTAAGCACTACGCCTATGTTAAGTATGGGGTTACAATCGTCTTAGCACAACGCGTATCGTTAGCCTATGTAAAATATGGGGTTACGATCACCTTAGCACTACGCCTATGTAAAGTATGGGGTTACGATCGTCTTAGCACAACGCCTATCGTTAGCCTATGTAAAGTATGGGGTTACGATCGTCCTAGCACAACGCCTATCCTTAGCCTATGTAAAATATGGGGTTACGATCATCTAAGCACTACGCCTATGTTAAGTATGGGGTTACGATCGTCTTAGCACAACGCCTATCGTTAGCCTATGTAAAGTATGGGGTTACGATCGTCTTAGCACAACGCCTATCGTTAGCCTATGTTAAGTGTTGGGTTACGATCACCTTAGCACTACGCCTATGTAAAGTATGTGGTTACGATCACCTTAGCACAACGCCTATCGTAAACCTATGTAAAGTATGGGGTTACGATCATCTAAGCACTACGCCTACCGTTAGCCTATGTAAAGTATGGGGTTACGATCATCTAAGCACTACGCCTATGTAAAGTATGGTGTTACGATCACCTTACGTGAAACGTGAAACGGGTCTAGGTCATCAGGTAAGATGAAGATGGTGCACATCAGCCTCCCCAAGTGTGGGGATCCACATCTGGATGTTGCAGGGCTTCAGTGACCAGAGTATAAGACCTAGAGGATAGTTGTCGTTTCAGATAACATGTTTATCTCATCAAGTGACCTAACCGAGTGATAATGTTTTACTTTGCCTTGTCACGAGATGTAAAACATATGTTATTTGACACGAATAAACAAATGTTGGTGGTGGTAGTAAAAGTAGCAGAAGTAGCGGTAGTAGATAGAGAATAGAGAAGTAGAAGTAGTGGGAGTAGTGCTGTTATCATTACGTTCATTAGTAGTAGTAGTAGTAGTAGTAGTAGTGGTGGTAGTAGTAGTGGTAGTAGTAGTAGTGGTAGTAGTAGTAGTAGTAGTAGTAGTAGTAGTGGTGGTAGTGGTAGTAGTAGTAGTAGTAGTGGTAGTAGTAGTAGTAGTAGAAGTGGTAGTAGTAGTAGTGGTAGTAGTAGTAGTAGTAGTGGTTGTGGTAGTAGTAGTAGTAGTAGTAGTGGTAGTAGTAGTAGTAGTAGTAGTAGTAGTAGTAGTAGTAGTAGTAGTAGTAGTAGTAGTAGTAGTGGTAGTAGTAGTGGTAGTAGTAGTAGTAGTAGTAGTGGTAGTAGTAGTGGTAGTAGTAGTAGTGGTAGTAGTAGTGGTAGTAGTAGTAGTAGTAGTAGTGGTAGTAGTAGTGGTAGTAGTAGTGGTAGTAGTAGTAGTGGTAGTAGTAGTGGTAGTAGTAGTAGTAGTAGTAGTAGTAGTGGTAGTAGTAGTAGTAGTAGTAGTAGTAGTAGTAGTAGTAGTAGTAGTAGTAGTGGTAGTAGTAGTGGTAGTAGTAGTAGTAGTAGTGGTGGTAGTAGTAGTAGTAGTAGTAGTAGTAGTAGTAGTAGTAGTAGTGGTAGTAGTGGTAGTAGTAGTAGTAGTAGTGGTGGTAGTAGTAGTAGTAGTAGTAGTGGTGGTAGTAGTAGTAGTAGTAGTAGTAGTAGTAGTAGTAGTAGTAGTAGTAGTAGTAGTAGTGGTGGTAGTAGTAGTAGTAGTGGTAGTAGTAGTAGTAGTAGTAGTAGTAGTAGTAGTAGTAGTAGTAGTGGTAGTGGTAGTAGTAGTAGTAGTAGTAGTGGTAGTAGTAGTAGTAGAAGTAGTAGTAGTGGTGGTAGTAGTAGTAGTAGTGTATAACTGCGTGTCTTACCTCAGCGCTCCACTGAACATACAGGCGAGAAACAAGCCTGGTATTCCGGGTATCCGGCCCAGGACGTCCATCACAAACAGCGGCAGGAGCTGCGATACAAAGTTACCGTGAGGAAAAATTATTTTAATTATTTGGATTTCGATTTTTCCTCAAAGCCCTAGGATCGATGGCTGAAATAAAAAAACATTTCTAAAATGAAATTAACCTAATTTGACCCAAGATTTACCGAAGTAAACTTTGGTTGATCAATGTCAGCACATGTCAACTGATTGATGTCACACTTCGGATGACCAGAGTCACCTATGTTTAACATGCATTATATGGACAAAGTACAATGAAAGTTTTGTCCGGTAATAAAACACTAGTTTTCATTTATCATATTAATTTACAAGGCTATGATGCGTCTCCTCCTAACACTATAGTTTGCATTTAGCCGTTCTATGTCAGGCTCTGTCCCAACTTGTCCTTGATGAACCCAGGTTGCATCTAGACATCCCTGTTTGCCCGAAATGCGGTAACCTCAAAAGTAGTGTGATGGTTGTTGTCACCTGATCGCCGGCAGATATGAGTCCAAGGCTCAGCGGGTCACACTTGCTGTAGAAGCCGTAGATGACGATGCCGATCATTGCGGTGAGGTAGAGGATGATGGCGAGGCCAGGACAGTTGATCCAGTAGGCGCTGAAGAAGACCACATGACTTATCTATTGACGGTGCGTAAACACTGAAGAGCGCGCCCTCAACAAACAAGTCGATTGACAATGCGCCAGATTTCATTCATGAAGTAAATACTCATGGCGTTATATCTTTATATTTATCCCCGTCAACGGGTCAGTGTGCACTTGATTTCCATTCTCAGCTCCCTGGGGAGTATACAAGCCAAACTACCTTTGAGGTGTGAGAAGGTTAACAGTTACATTACCATCTCATCCTACCGGGTACCCATTCACTGCTGACTACTCATTGGGATAATTAGTTTTCAAAGAATGAAAATCAGTCTTCGGAAGATTACATATCAATATTGCTTCTACTGAACTGATTCTCCTACTCCAACTGAAATTGATCCCTATTTGAATTTGCTTAATCAGCAAATGGTACTCACCCTAGGGAAAAAATTATAATAGTGCATGGGTTGTTTTGGTGAAAACAGGCATTGAACCAGAGGTCACAAGCGACGGATTATCCAGAAGCATTAAGCCAAGGGAACATCTTCGGGGTCACACTAAGTTAAGTTTTGATAGACTTTCTTGTTTGTGCATGTCTATGACCTCTTTTGACCCTAGGGGAAGACAAGGACTCTCTGACCACACGGGGGAGACAAGGATTTTCTGACCACACGGTGGAGACAAGGACTTTCTGACCACACGGGGAGACAAGGACTCTCTGACCACACGGGGAGACAAGGACTCTCTGACCACACGGGGGAGACAAGGACTCTCTGACCACACGGGGAGACAAGGACTCTCTGTCCACACGGGGGAGACAAGGACTCTCTGACCACACGGGGGAGACAAGGATTTTCTGATCACACGGGGGAGACAAGGACTCTCTGACCACACGGGGAGACAAGGACTCTCTGACCACACGGGGAGACAAGGACTCTCTGACCACACGGGGAGACAAGAACTCTCTGACCACACGGGGGAGACAAGGACTCTCTGACCACACGGGGGAGACAAAAACTCTCTGACCACACGGGGAGACAAGGACACTCTGACCACACGGGGGAGACAAGGACTATCTGACCAAACGGGGGAGACAAGGACTCTCTGACCACACGGGGAGACAAGGACTATCTGACCAAACGGGGGAGACAAGGACTCTCTGACCACACGGGGGAGACAAGGACTCTCTGACCACACGGGGAGACAAGGACTCTCTGTCCACACGGGGGAGACAAGGACTCTCTGACCACACGGGGGAGACAAGGATTTTCTGATCACACGGGGGAGACAAGGACTCTCTGACCACACGGGGAGACAAGGACTCTCTGACCACACGGGGAGACAAGGACTCTCTGACCACACGGGGAGACAAGAACTCTCTGACCACACGGGGGAGACAAGGACTCTCTGACCACACGGGGGAGACAAAAACTCTCTGACCACACGGGGAGACAAGGACACTCTGACCACACGGGGGAGACAAGGACTATCTGACCAAACGGGGGAGACAAGGACTCTCTGACCACACGGGGAGACAAGGACTATCTGACCAAACGGGGGAGACAAGGACTCTCTGGCCACACGGGGAGACAAGGACTCTCTGACCACACGGGGAGACAAGGATTTTCTGACCACACGGGGGAGACAAGGACTCTCTGACCACACGGGGAGACAAGGACTCTCTGACCACACGGGGAGACAAGGACTATCTGACCAAACGGGGGAGACAAGGACTCTCTGACCACACGGGGAGACAAGGACTCTCTGACCACACAGGGAGAAAAGGACTCTCTGACCACACGGGGGAGACAAGGACTCTCTGACCAAACGGGGGAGACAAGGACTCTCTGACCACACGGGAGACAAGGACTATCTGACCAAACGGGGGAGACAAGGACTCTCTGACCACACGGGGAGACAAGGACTATCTGACCAAATGGGGGAGACAAGGACTCTCTGGCCACACGGGGAGACAAGGACTATCTGACCACACAGGGAGACAAGGACTCTCTGACCACACGGGGGAGACAAGGACTCTCTGGCCACACGGGGAGACAAGGACTCTCTGACCACACGGGGGAGACAAGGACTCTCTGACCAAACGGGGGAGACAAGGACTCTCTGACCACACGGGGAGACAAGGACTATCTGATCAAACGGGGGAGACAAGGACTCTCTGACCACACGGGGGAGACAAGGACTCTCTGACCACACGGGGAGACAAGGACTCTCTGACCACACGGGGAGACAAGGACTATCTGACCAAACGGGGGAGACAAGGACTCTCTTACCACACGGGGAGACAAGGACTCTCTGACCACACAGGGAGACAAGGACTCTCTGACCACACGGGGGAGACAAGGACTCTCTGGCCACACGGGGAGACAAGGACTCTCTGACCACACGGGGGAGACAAGGACTATCTGACCAAACGGGGGAGACAAGGACTCTCTGACCACACGGGGAGACAAGGACTATCTGACCAAACGGGGGAGACAAGGACTATCTGACCAAACGGGGGAGACAAGGACTCTCTGACCACACGGGGAGACAAGGACTCTCTGACCACACAGGGACACAAGGACTCTCTGGCCCCACGGGGAGACAAGGACTCTCTGACCACACGGGGAGACAAGGATTTTCTGACCACACGGGAAGACAAGGATTTTCTGACCACACGGGGGAGACAAGGATTTTCTGACCACACGGGGAGACAAGGACTCTCTGACCACACGGGGAGACAAGGACTTTCTGACCACACGGGGGAGACAAGGATTTTCTGACCACACGGGGAGACAAGGATTTTCTGACCACACGGGGAGACAAGAACTCTCTGACCACACGGGGAGAAAAGGACTCTCTGACCACACGGGGGAGACAAGGACTCTCTGACCACACGGGGGAGACAAGGACTCTCTGACCACACGGGGAGACAAGGATTTTCTGATCACACGGGGAGACAAGGATTTTCTGACCACACGGGGAGACAAGGACTCTCTGACCACACGGGGGAGACAAGGATTTTCTGACCACACGGGGAGACAAGAATTTTCTGACCACACGGGGAGACAAGGACTCTCTGACCACACGGGGGAGACAAGGACTCTCTGACCACACGGGGGAGACAAGGACTCTCTGACCACACGGGGAGACAAGGACTCTCTGACCACACGGGGGAGACAAGGATTTTCTGACCACACGGGGAGACAAGGATTTTCTGACCACACGGGGAGACAAGGACTCTCTGACCACACGGGGAGACAAGGACTCTCTGACCACTCAGGGAGACAAGGATTTTCTGGCCACACGGGGGAGACAAGGATTTTCTGACCACACGGGGAGACAAGGATTTTCTGACCACACGGGGAGACAAGGACTCTCTGACCACACGGGGGAGACAAGGACTTTCTGACCACATGGGGGAGACAAGGACTCTCTGACCAAACGGGGGAGACAAGGACTCTCTGACCACACGGGGAGACAAGGACTCTCTGACCACACGGGGGAGACAAGGACTCTCTGACCAAACGGGGGAGACAAGGACTCTCTGACCACACGGGGAGACAAGGACTCTCTGACCACACGGGGGAGACAAGGATTTTCTGGCCACACAGGGGAGACAAGGACTCTCTGACCACACGGGGAGACAAGGATTTTTTGACCACACGGGAAGACAAGGACTCTCTAACCACACGGGGAGACAAGGATTCTCTGACCACACGGGGGAGACAAGGACTCTCTGACCACACGGGGAGACAAGGATTTTCTGGCCACACGGGGGAGACAAGGATTTTCTGACCACACGGGGAGACAAGGATTTTCTGACCACACGGGGAGACAAGGACTCTCTGACCACACGGGGAGACAAGGACTGTCTGACCACAAGGGGAGACAAGGACTCTCTGACCACACGGGGAGACAAGGATTTTCTGACCACACGGGGAGACAAGGACTCTCTGACCACACGGGGAGACAAGGACTCTCTGACCACACGGGGAGACAAGGCAGTCTGACCACAAGGGGAGACAAGGACTTTCTGATCACAAGGGGAGACAAGGACTCTCTGACCACACGGGGAGACAAGGACTCTCTGATCACACGGGGGAGACAAGGACTCTCTGGCCACACGGGGGAGACAAGGACTCTCTGACCACACGGGGATACAAGGACTCTCTGACCACACGGGGAGACAAGGACTCTCTGACCACACGGGGAGTCAAGGACTCTCTGACCACACGGGGGAGACAAGGACTCTCTGACCACACGGGGGACAAGGACTCTCTGACCACACGGGGGAGACAAGGACTCTCTGGCCACACGGGGAGTCAAGGACTCTCTGACCACACGGGGAAACAAGGACTCTCTGACCACACGGGGGAGACAAGGGCTCTCTGACCACACGGGGGAGACAAGGACTTTCTGACCACACGGTGGAGACAAGGACTCTCTGACAACACGGGGAAGACAAGGACTGTCTGACCACACGGGGGAGACAAGGATTTTCTGATCACACGGGGAGACAAGGACTCTCTGACCACACGGGGGAGACAAGGGCTCTCTGACCACACGGGGGAGACAAGGACTTTCTGACCACACGGTGGAGACAAGGACTCTCTGACAACACGGGGAAGACAAGGACTGTCTGACCACACGGGGGAGACAAGGATTTTCTGATCACACGGGGAGACAAGGACTCTCTGACCACACGGGGGAGACAAGGACTCTCTGACCACACGGGGAGACAAGGACTCTCTGACCACACGGGGAGACAAGGACTCTCTGACCACACGGGGAGACAAGGACTCTCTGACCACACGGGGGAGACAAGGACTCTCCTCATTAAGCCGCCATTAGGCGTTGCATGCACATGACACAGGGGTGGGGTGCGTTCTTACAGCTGCGCCTTCTTGAGGGTGGGGCAGGCAACTGCTCTCTGCACCTGCGCCTGGTTCACGCCGTACACGAAGGTCCACAGGAAGGTGCCGCCGATGACCAAGGACCAAACGCTGTGCCGGACGGTGGGGTCAGGGCTGAACCTGGAGGTCAAAGGTTTCAACGCTGATCATTGAAAGAATTGGGTTGTATCATTTCTTGACACACCTAATTACCATGCTTTTGTTTGTTCTGTAGACGATGTGAGTACATCAGATAACTGTTCTAACTACGATGTACATCGTTGAATCTCACTTGCAAAGTTGACTTTTGAACATAATCATTTCAATCAAATGTAAACCAACAAAAAAAACAGAATATCAAAATTGTACATTAATTTCCACATTTCATTTTAGGGAGTCGACGGATCAAGTCTGGCCCAAGGGTAATATCAATTTAATCATACATATTATGTATACAGAATCTCGACTCTCCAGAAGGGGTCCTCCCATTTGTCAGACAATGGAAAAGACAGTTGAGTGACTTACAGCACATTGACGTTGATTTGGAAGTAAATATTACCATATATCCTCAACCATAAAAGTTGTTGCTTTATGCTGTCTGACAAATGGGGTGTCTGACAGATTGGAGATGGGCCCCAGAACAGTGCTCGACCGGAAGATGGGTTTTTCGGACTAACGGGATTTCACTGTACACCTGTTACCCGAGACACTTACTCTAGAAACTCTATCCTGGAGTTATTGTAGGCGATGTCCCACGCCCGCCGGAACCCGCCAATCTCTATGGAGCCCTGAATGAGCACTGCTAGAAGCCCCACAAGCATCATGAACGTCTGAAACGTGTCCGTCCACAGCACCGCCTTCATGCCACCCTACAGCCGACATGGATCACTTCATTTAACGTTATAGATCATAGTTGGGATTTTTTTCATTCTCTATGAAATATATATTTTTTAAATAATTTATAACTTGGTTCCATATCGACGCCATGCACTCTCAACTAAAGTCAGGGTATAGTTATATTATCCTCAAAACAGAATCTTATACCAACACTGTGTCTCAGTTTTGACTATTTAGCTACTTGCATGTCAACTACAGACGCAGATATGTCGGGGCCCCCGTACTTACAATGGAGGTGTAGAAGGTGCAGACAAGCCCCACAGCCCAGATAGAACCCCACAGATTGAAGTCTGTCACTGCAAATATATTCAAGAAAGAAATGTGTATTCCTGGAATACGTATCTGCGTTAAGGATTTGTGAGAGGGAAAAAAGAGTCCGTGTCCCTGGAATACGTGCCTGCGTTCAGGGAAAATCCGGTAAAGAGAATCTATACTGGGAATACGTACCCGCGTTCAGGGAAAATTAGGTAAAGAGAATGTATACTGGGAATACGTACCCGCGTTCAGGGAAAATTAGGTAAAGAGAATGTATACTGGGAATACGTACCCGCGTTCAGGGAAAATTAGGTAAAGAGAATGTATACAAGGAATACGTACCCGCGTTCAGGGAAAATCAGGTAAAGAGAATGTATACTGGGAATACGTACCCGCGTTCAAGGAAAACTAGGTAAAGAGAATGTATACTGGGAATACGTACCCGCGTTCAAGGAAAACTAGGTAAAGAGTATATATCCCAGGAATACGTATACCTGTGTTCAGAAAAAATGAGGCAAAGAGTATATATCCCGGTATACATACCTGCGTTCAGGCCAATGAGGTAAAGAGTATATATCCCAGTATACGTGCCTGTGTTCAGGGAAAATGAGGTGAAGAGAATGTATCCTGGGAAAACGTACCTGCATTCAGGGTAAAAAGAGGTAAAGAGTATATATCCTGGGAAAACGTACCTGCGTTCAGGGAAAAAGAGGTAAAGAGTATATATCTTGGGAATACGTACCTGCGTTCAGGGAAAGAGGTAAAGAGTATGTATCCTGGGAATACGTACCTGCATTCAGGGAAAAAGAGGTAAAGAGTATATATCCTGGGAATACGTACCTGCGTTCAGGGAAAGAGGTAAAGAGTATGTATCCTGGGAATACGTACCTGCATTCAGGGAAAAAGAGGTAAAGAGTATATATTCCGGTATACGTACCTGCATTCAGGGTAAAAGAGGTAAAGAGAATGTATCCCGGTATACGTACCTGCATTCAGGGGTAAAGAGGTAAAGAGAATGTATCCCGGTATACGTACCTGCGTTCAGGGTAATTGAGGTAAAGAGTATATATTCCGGTATACGTACCTGCATTCAGGGAAAAGAAGTAAAGAGTACATATCCTGGGAATACGTACCTGCGTTCAGGGAAATTGAGGTAAAGAGAATGTATCCCGGTATACGTACCTGCATTCAGGGAAAAGAAGTAAAGAGTATATATCCTGGGAATACGTACCTGCGTTCAGGGCCAGTGAGGGGGCGTAAAGTACGCAGGCCATGTAGATTGTCTGGAATAGTCGCAGATGAAATATTTATTAGCGAGTGTGCAATGAGATGGCGGATGGGTATATTTCATTTCATGTAGGGTTGGCTCATGGACCGCTACTCAAGGTAAATAAAACAGCCTTCAAAACGAAGATAACATATATAAACCTCGATCAACATAGATTGTGTTGAAAGAGTGTGGCATATTTTATGGCTGTTTTATGATTTGGTTTAAATATTTCTACTACACATACAGACGCCTGGTTTCTCCTCACACAGCATGTCCGTGTGTTGTTTGTGGTGATCTGAATGTCCTTGAAACATCCATCACTTACCATTTGTACAACGTACGTTAGGGCTCCAGCCAATCTGGCCGCTTGACCAAACCTGAATTCCAGATACTGAAAAAACAGGGAGAAATAGCATTTATCGAGTTATTGCGTAATAAAGTTATACGATTTCCAGTGACAAGTTCATCTTCGCAGTAATCGCAATGTAGACAGAAAATACTAAAGCAGGTTTAGGAATGTGTGCCAATGTTATAACTACAGAACTGTCGGGTCAAGTTATCACCATGAGGTAAGGCATCTTGAAAATCGGTTTTATGAAATATTTATTTCTTTTTCAAGCCATCATTCATGTAACTTCTTTCAGTGGCGTTTGGAAGTGGTTTGTCAAATATATCTTTTTTAAATACATGGGTTATTAACTAGGGCAAGTTATTATAGATAAACAACTTCATTGCAATTGAGGCGACGTTTCGGTGTGGATTTCAATGTTTTAGTGTGTACGGAGTTTACACGTTTACACTTTACGCGGGTTTTTACAGAGAGCACATCTGGTTTTACTTTTACAGCTCCATAAACGCAGAAAATATTAAAGTCAATTCCTAATTAAACGCCTCATATAATACGCTCACGAACGCACCGTGAAGACTTTAAATCTGAATCAACCACATTGCATCTAATATACTGTGTTGCCTCATGCCGGAGTTAGTGACATTCCAGTTAAATCACGGAGGCATACATATGATCGAATCTGGAATAGGGAATCCATTGACACAATGCAATAAATATCACGGATACGGAGACAAGAGTGAGTGAGATTAAACGCCGCTTTGAACAGTATACCAGTTATATCACGGCGTGTCTGCTTAATATGGGAGGAACGCCCGAAGTGAGGCAGGTCTCAGATGTTTACCACTTTGATGAAACCCAAGAGGACGGGTAAGTGATGAAAAAGGTATATGGCACGTTCTGCTCAGTTTAACTAATAAATATGTACCATGGCGAATAATAATTAGTAGCAACTTATTCCATCAAAAGGAAAATAACAAGCAGTATTTAAAAAAGCTATTTACACAGCAGCTGCCAATAATGTCCTCGTAAACACAAACCCGGATTTTATGTCCTGTGAGTCACACAGAAAACATGTACCGACCTGACACTCGGTATATGTCGGCCATGGTTTCAATGAATATATATCACTCGCACGACCGAGGATATTAACTTTCAGTCAGTCATTCTGAACAGGTATGACACCAGAGTCAATAATGATACATCCATATGATAGTCCGGTGTCTGATCCGTGAAGATCCGGGTTATACCAGGTCTTCAGTAACCCATGCTGGCCGTAAGAGGCGACTATGCTTGGCGTAAGAGGCGACTATGCTTGTCGTAAGAGGCGACTATGCTTGTCGTAAAAGGCGACTATGCTTGTCGTAAGAGGCGACTATGCTTGTCGTAAGAGGCGACTATGCTTGTCGTAAGAGGCGACTATGCTTGGCGTAAAAGGCGACTATGCTTGGCGTAAGAGGCGACTATGCTTGTCGTAAGAGGCGACTATGCTTGTCGTAAGAGGCGACTATGCTTGTCGTAAAAGGCGACTGTGCTTGTCGTAAGAGGCGACTATGCTTGGCGTAAAAGGCGACTATGCTTGGCGTAAAAGGCGACTATGCTTGGCGTAAGAGGCGACTAACGAGACCTGGTGGTCAGGCTTGCTGACTTGGTTGATGTATGTCACCGTATCTCATTTGCGTGGATCGATGTTCATGATGTCAATCACTGGATTGTCTGGTCCAGACTCGATTATTTACAGACCGCCGTCATATAGCTGGAATATTGCTGAGTGCGGCGTTAAACAACAAACAAACAAACACACTCCGTGAGATTATTATTTAGGGTTCTGGCGTAAAACTTTTCCCTCACCCACTTACTAACATCGGCCCATGTACAGCTAATGTATTTTTGCACATTAGCTGTATATGGGGCTGTGGCCTTCATACGAACAAAACACGTGACTTAACAAGAATAGTGGTAGCCCATTGAGATACCATGTCGCAGTTTAGCATGGATATACCACGCACTTGTATGTTATATAGGTCCGTTGATGTACTGACTCCAAGACGATCAGTCCTTGTTTTATCCACTTAATGCCGAGTGCCGGGCAACAACAAATAGCATATTTTAACGAAATAAAGGTGAGGTGAGGTGAAATTGGGTTTAACGTCGCGTCGAAGATTATTGCACTTATGTGTATGTACGTGTATGTGTGTGTGTGTGTGTGTGGCTGCTTGTACTAGTCCGGTCTAGCTCACTCAGATACCATGCCGCAGTTTAACATGAATACCCCACTCAGACACAGTATACTGACTCCGAGCCGACCAGTCCTTGTTTTAGCCCCTTAATGCCGAGCGCCAGACAGGGTAACAACAAGTACAATCTTTTAACGTCTTTTTGTATGACGCGGTCGGGGATCGAACCACGGACCTTCCGCTCTCCGGGCGGACGCTCTACCACTAGACCACGGAGGCGGTCACGAAATAAAGGAGAGCAGACTATGAGTGAGTGAGTGAGTGAGTATGGTTTTACGCCGCTTTTAGCAATATTCCAGCAATATCACGGCGGGGGACACCAGAAATGGGCTTCACACATTGTACCCATGTCGGGAATCGAACCCGGGTCCTTGGCGTGACGAGCGAACGCTTTAACCACTAGGCTACCCGACCGCCCCAGCAGACTATGAAATATGTTATTAACCCACAAGGTTTTCTCATCTTATGCATGAGAATTATAACCCGCTAGACTTGTCTATTTCTGTCATCTAGACTTGTTGTGATTAAACTGGATGTAGATATTCTGCAGTTATAGTGAAGGCCAAGTAGGGTTGGTGCTGAACTCTCGTGTTTCAGGGTTGCTCGGAAAAGTTGATACATCCATATTACGAATTAGAGCTGGTGAAACGTTTATGTCTGTCAGCTGTCCCTGTGCCTACATACATTTTGAGAAAAGCTTTATCTGAAACTGTCGTCGCGACGCGGTATCTGCTAGTGGGCTCAGACTGCAGGCATTGTTATGCTGTGTTTATGTGATAAGAATACATTGTGACCCCAATTAACTTCTGACATTAATCAGATAAACCTACTTCAGCCGGCTCGGGTCCGATGCACATACATGTATTTCATGAGGGCCGAAGAGAATTCTTATAATGAATTACCAGGCTCCATCATGCAGAAAGTAGCAAGTAAAAATCTAACAATCTGAAAGTATTCATTTCTTTTGTTTCTGGCGTGTTTTTCTTGTTATCACATTAATTAAAAGAATTGGAGGACCATTTCAGTTTCAACGATCACTCCGAATGTGCACAGAGCGTGACCTATATCTCAGCGTCTGCCCCAGTCTCCCCGTGACCGCACCCCCACGACATGCCTTCTAATGTTTCTTCCGGAAACGGGCATCTATATAAGTGCAATAATCTTGAGCGCGGCGTTAAACCCCATTTCACCTCACCTCACCGATGTTTTGGTTTAGTCTATTGGTTTTTTTAACGCCGCACTCTGCAATTTCCAAGTATTTGACAACGACCTGTAATCAATCGAATCTGGACCAGACAATCCAGTGATTGACATCATCAGCACCGACATACCCAATTGGGATAGATAAAATGCATCAAACAAATAAGCTAACGTGACCAATCGAGATTTTATTGCCGATATCTACAATTATCTGTATTTAAGATATCTTCAATTGTATTCAAGATACTTTCAATTCAATACAAGATATCTTCAATTCAATTAAAGATATCTTTAAAATAATTGAAGATATCAGTAATTCCGAAATAAACGTGAAAACGGCTTGCCATACGCGCATGTGTGTGTGCAGGTAATGTAGTAGTGTGTGTGTGTGTGTGTGTGTGTGTGTGTGTGTGTGTGTGTGTGTGTGTGTGTGTGTGTGTGTGTGTGTGTCTCTGTGTGTGTGTGTCTCTGTGTGTGTGTGTCTCTGTGTGTGTGTGTGTGTCTCTGTGTGTGTGTGTCTCTCTCTGTGTGTCTGTCTCTCTCTCTCTGTGTGTGTGTGTGTGTGTGTGTGTGTCTGTGTGTGTGTGCAGGTAATGTAGTATTGTGTGTGTTTTTATGGACTTTTAAGCTGTTGCAATAATAGACACGTGTGTATAAACATATTCACGAATTCTTTCCTTGGCAAAGTTAATCGACCATGCACGAAACATCCCATCCCCAACACTACACGGGCCTGTATGCACTACGCTGGTCCATCTAACTGATGCATTGACGTTGAAAACACCAACAGCCGGGGTTGTACTTATCACGTAGTTATATAATACCTCACGGCGCAACGTGGCCTTGACATTGCACCACACGCAATAGATTCACGTCGAGTTAAAGCGGGTTCTGTTAAAACAGCGATTAGAGATGAGGGTGTTGGTATTCTTCCATGTAGGAAGAGATTTACAGTTTCGGTTCGATTGTCAACGTCATTCAAAAGTGTCAAACCTAATTCCTGTTTCAATGGCAACTCTACTCGAGAATAATCCCGATAATGTATGTTGGAACCACTGTGGTTAACGATGTTACGTAGCCCGCGCGCTCGTATTTGTCTCGGATTTATTCATTCTTTGAACAAATACTCTGACAAACACCCAGATTACATTCAGTATTATGTTCAACAGCCCTGCTACATCAACGCTCAAGATTCCAAATTCTAGTCCAACCCAGCTATCAGCTGGATACCATGCACCAATAGTCTGAAATGTTTGTTCAAATGTGTTCGTGATAAACCATACACAGCTGGAACCTCTTGCCCAATGAGATATGGCCTTCTTAACACGCGGAGTTCATTTATATCGCGTATAATGTACGACAGACCCTAAATATAAAGGATAGTGTGCAGCAGATGTATTCCATGCGGAACGTGATATTTATTATCATTTGTACAAAGTAAATTAATATAGATAACTTGTGACAGTACAGGTCATAAAGGTACGACTGCACGAAATAAATGCTCGGCTTCAATAAAGAGACTGAAACCCTGTTATACCGTTCAAGTATTGCCACTTCACTGCGTATACACGGGTAGCAGAGTATGCCCTTATGCATTAAGGTTCGTCAGCACCTTATCTGTGTTCATGGGTTTCATCAGAGGTAAACGCCTAAGACCTGCATCACTTCGGTCTTTCCTCCCACATCAAGCTGACGCGCCGTGATATAACTGAAATACTGTTCAAATCGACGTTAAATCGAACTCGCTGGTTCACCGTGTTTTTTTCACATGAAACTGAAGGAAATACGCGTGTCTCCTGTAAGTTACTGACAATACAGTTATTGGTTACGTTCACAGGGTATTTGTTTCAAATGTTGACAGTCGTGCATATAATACTAAGTGAGCTATACCAATTAGAAAAGTTAAGCACGGCAGGCAATTATCTTTGAACATACAGTAAACTACGTTTATAACGAACACGCTTATAACGAACTGTTTTTTGGCTCCGTCCATTTTCTGTATATATGCTGTATATGTTCTTATAACGAACTACGGTTATTACGGACTAAATTTAGTGGTCCCTTTCAGTTCGTTATAACCGTAGTTTACTGTAAATATCCTCGTATAAGGCGTTTGTAACTGCAGGGTCTCATTCCACAGAGCGGCCAGGGCACTGCGATTACTTTCAGCCGTGTTGCAACCTAGCCCTGCGTTAATCGTTCATCTAATTTCGTTTCGTGAAAGAAGGTTCAGCGTGCAAAATGATTTCTAGAGATTTCATTATTTTGGTGGTTTCACATTTGATTTGTTTGTTTGTTTGCTGTTTAACACCGCACACAGCAATTTTCTAGCCATATGACAGCGGTCTGTAAATAATCGATTCTGAACCAGACAATCCAGTGAGTGACATCATGGGCATCGATCTACGCAAATGGGATACGATGACATGCATCAAGCAAGTCAGCAGGCCTGACCACCCGATCCCGTTAGTCACCGACAAACTAGCACAGTCGCCTTTTATGGCAAGCATGGGTTGCTGCAGACATATTCTTCCCCGGATCTTCACGGATGGTTTCACATTTAACGTTTGACTATTCACATGGCAAAGTGATGCAATAATTAACAACACTGGGGGATAAGAAGAAGAGTTATTGCTATGAGGCACCAACACAGGGGTCGTGAAGTAACTAATGAGTGAGTATGGTTTTACGCCGCTTTTTGCAATATTCCAGCAATGTCACGGCAGGGGACACCAGAAAGGGGCTTCAAATATTCTAGCCATGTCGGGAAACGAACCCGGGTCTTCGGCGCGTCGAGCGAACGCTTTAACCACTAGGCTACCCGTCCGCCTCGAAGTAACTTATGTCACGTGCTTATGTCATTGGGTGTTTGTAACAACTGGCATTCTCCTGTTGCGTATGTCGCTTGTTTTCCTTCCCCGATATTTAATCATTTAAATATTTAGAAGTAAGTGTCCTTATAATTTTTAAAATGTTAAGATCAATAAATGGTGAAATATTTATATCAATATGGTTGTAGTCATGTGTTGATTGAAACATAAGGTTTGCTCTACCCCATGTGTAGTCTTATAAAGTATATTTTCATGAACTCGATAGTTAAAGCACGAGGACGCTTGCGTTTGATAAAGTAGTGTCATCGCCTTTTATCTTTAGCGAAGCATCTTAGAATTTGGTATACATAATAAAATTGTTGCTTTGACGATATTTTATACAGGTACTGCTAACTTTCCAAGATGCGTTATGTTGATTTAACTTTTTTCTTTGCATATATGATAAAACAGATGGTTGCGAAGTACCAAAATAGTCGTTAGACATGCATCTTATCAACTACCAGTACTTGTACATAGTTCGCATTTCGAAAGCATGTGCGTCAGTCTATCACTACCATAGCGTCCCAATAACTGGTAGGCATATATCGGTACGCAAATACCTCAATTATCTATCATAAAACCTGTCTCGTGTTACCTCATAGGAACTTGTGATGCCAATTCTGTAAAAGATGGGGATGTAGATGTGAGCTGACAGAAAGACGGCAAAGAAGTAGGACAGGCCTATCCAGCAGTACATGGTGCCGTACTTGTACATCTCGGATGGGGTACCGAGGATGGTGATGGCGGACATGAAGCTGGCTAGCAGTGACAAGGCAACTGGCACAACGTGCATGTTCCCGCCAGCAAGGAGGAAGTCTTTCGTTGTATGTTTATTCCTGTCCTTGATGGCATAAAACAAACCGATACTTGCTGAAACCATCAATAATCCTCCGAACAACACATAGTCAATGGTACCGAATGTACTTTTCTCGCCAGTTTGATAGCTGTATTTTCTCTCCATGTCCATGTTGTATGTCTTCTGTAGGCAGTCAGTTATACACGCGGAATGCTTTAATGGACACTGTCCTTGTTTCAGTGTCAAGGGTCAAATGAGAACTTGTTGAGCGTGTTAAACCGCACAAGGGGTTCAAGGTCACTTGTCTTCAAACGCTGTGGTCAAGAGATTTCGCATGTATAATGAGTTCTCCTGGTGTGGCAGCGGTCAAATGGTCATCGTGGTCACTGGCGGCGTTTATATAAACTCCTGTGAAAGAAACACAAAGAACGTTGACCGTAACACACAATCACCGTCCGAAACTGAACCGTCAAGGCTTGTTAAGTGTAATTTACTCGCGGTTTTTATATAAGCTCGTGTGAAAGAAACACAAAGCACGATAATCATAACACACAATGCACGGTCTGAAAATGAATTGTCAAGGTTTGTCAAGTTAAATGTACTTTGTATAATCTGTCATGACCATTCGTTCGCACAATGGCTACATGTATGTACACCCACAGCTTCGCTTTCACCAGGCGTTTACAAAAAATTAACCACCTGCTTCGCTTAATACGTATCACTACTTGATTATGTTAAAACAACATTTTCAGATCGACACTCACTACACACAATGAATTTCGACCTAATCACTGAAACAATATGTTGGCATAAAAAGTCGGATTATGGAAATGTGGATTATGGAACGAAAGGTTTCCGTTCGTTAAGAGCTCTACTTGTCACACCAGTATGCATGATTAAACAGTGAGGTAGAAACAAGTGGATACTCACAGTGGTCCGTTAAAGTGTGCACGCCGCTTCGTGTTGCATATCCAATATATTCACAAGCACTCTGACAATTGTACATGCACGTGGTTCGTGCACCCCAATAAATAATGTCGCTTGTACACATGAACCTGATCCAGCGCTCTCCGTTCGTGACCTCATTTTTAGGGTTGTTTTGCTCCCCTGTCTAATTATAGACATACGTTCCAGTGACGGTTTCAGGGGAACACGCTGAGAACTGTCGGAGCCACTGGGCCCATGGTATCGAATTCACCACTTGATAGCATGCGGACAGCTGTTTGTATTAAATCACTTCATGTGCATGTTTTCGTCAATTTCATTTTAGTTAGCTCTTGTTATGTCGGCATCGCTTGTCTCGAATTGTTGGCTATAATTGTAGGTTTCCCCTCATCCCCCCTTCACGTGACATATTCACCACTTTTAAATTAGCTGCGAGTATATATTTGCTGAGTTCGCATCGGGTTCTTAAAAATAATCCATATTTTCCACACCATATTTGAGTAAGCACACATAAACATATCACCGCCCCATATTTACTCGGGGTCTGAGACAGCTGATGTGAGTATGCATTTACAGCCAATGATGATGGGAAGAGAGGAAGCTACAGTTTGCATACAGAAACCACTGGGCAATATATAAAGGCCATATCAAAGGGGTTTTTTATTTTATTTTTTTTATTTTACCAAAATTAGATGCAGCGGCCATTTGGAATTTTTCAAAGTTTACAGTTTATTTTGTTGCAGGTAGGGAATGTAGAACCATGTTATGTGAAACATATTATATGTTCTTAGCGTGGCTCTATTTTGGGGGGATTACAAGAGCCACAGTACATATACCCTGAAAGCACTCGACCTATCACCTCGCCGTCTATGTGTCTGTGGACACATGGGGGAGTGGGCACGACAGTTCTTAAGGAAACTATATGTCATTCAAAGTGTTGTCATTATAGCGCAGTAAACTACATGTCATTTGCAGTGATTGAACTATATGTCATTTATAGTGTTGTCATTATAACGCAGTACACTACATGTCATTTGCAGTGATTGAACTATATGTCATTTATAGTGTTGTCATTATAACGCAGTACACTACATGTCATTTGCAGTGATTGAACTATATGTCATTTATAGTGTTGTCATTATATCGCCGTAAACTATATGTCATTTATAGTGTCGTGAACTATATGTCAATCTAGCGCAGTAAACTACATGTCGTTTGCAGTGATTGAACTATATGTCATTTATAGTGTTGTCATTATATCGCCGTAAACTATATGTCATATATAGTGTCGTGAACTATATGTCAATCTAGCGCAGTAAACTACATGTCGTTTGCAGTGATTGAACTATATGTCATATATAGTGTCGTAAACTATATGTCAATCTAGCGCGGTAGACTACATGTCGTTTGCAGTGATTGAACTATATGTCATTTATAGTGTCGTAAACTATATGTCAATCTTGCGCAGTAAACTACATGTCGTTTGCAGTGATTGAACTTTATGTCATATATAGTGTTGTCATTATAACGCAGTAAACTGTATGTCATTTGCAGTGATTGAACTATATGTCATTTATAGTGTCGTAAACTATATGTCAATCTAGCGCAGTAAACTACATGTCATTTGCAGTGATTGAACTATATGTCATTTATAGTGTTGTCATTATAACGCAGTAAACTGTATGTCATTTGCAGTGATTGAACTATATGTCATTTATAGTGTCGTAAACTTTATTTCAATCTTGCGCAGTAAACTACATGTCATTTGCAGTGATTGAACTATATGTCATTTATAGTGTCGTCAACAATATGTCAATCTAGTGCAGTAAACTATGTGTCATTTGCAGTGATTGAACTATATGTCATTTATAGTGTCGTCAACAATATGTCAATCTAGCGCAGTAAACTACATGTCGTTTGCAGTGATTGAACTATATGTCATTTATAGTGTTGTCATTATATCGCCGTAAACTATATGTCATTTATAGTGTCGTGAACTATATGTCAATCTAGCGCGGTAAACTACATGTCGTTTGCAGTGATTGAACTATATGTCATTTATAGTGTTGTCAACAATATGTCAATCTTGCGCAGTACACTACATGCCATTTGCAGTGATTGAACTATATATCATTTATAGTGTTGTCATTATATCGCCGTAAACTATATGTCATTTATAGTGTCGTGAACTATATGTCAATCTAGCGCAGTAAACTACATGTCGTTTGCAGTGATTGAACTATATGTCATTTATAGTGTTGTCAACAATATGTCAATCTTGCGCAGTACACTACATGCCATTTGCAGTGATTGAACTATATATCATTTATAGTGTTGTCATTATATCGCCGTAAACTATATGTCATTTATAGTGTCGTGAACTATATGTCAATCTAGCGCAGTAAACTACATGTCGTTTGCAGTGATTGAACTATATGTCATATATAGTGTCGTAAACTATATGTCAATCTTGCGCAGTAAACTACATGTCGTTTGCAGTGATTGAACTATATGTCATATATAGTGTCGTGAACTATATGTCAATCTAGCGCGGTAGACTACATGTCGTTTGCAGTGATTGAACTATATGTCATTTATAGTGTTGTCAACAATATGTCAATCTTGCGCAGTACACTACATGCCATTTGCAGTGATTGAACTATATATCATTTATAGTGTTGTCATTATATCGCCGTAAACTATATGTCATTTATAGTGTCGTGAACTATATGTCAATCTAGCGCAGTAAACTACATGTCGTTTGCAGTGATTGAACTATATGTCATTTATAGTGTTGTCAACAATATGTCAATCTTGCGCAGTACACTACATGCCATTTGCAGTGATTGAACTATATATCATTTATAGTGTTGTCATTATATCGCCGTAAACTATATGTCATTTATAGTGTCGTGAACTATATGTCAATCTAGCGCAGTAAACTACATGTCGTTTGCAGTGATTGAACTATATGTCATATATAGTGTCGTAAACTATATGTCAATCTTGCGCAGTAAACTACATGTCGTTTGCAGTGATTGAACTATATGTCATATATAGTGTCGTGAACTATATGTCAATCTAGCGCGGTAGACTACATGTCGTTTGCAGTGATTGAACTATATGTCATTTATAGTGTCGTGAACTATATGTCAATCTAGCGCAGTAAACTACATGTCATTTGCGGTGATTGAACTGTATGTCATTTATAGTGTTGTGAACTATATGTCAATCTAGCGCAGTAAACTACATGCCATTTGTTTTGCTGTAAACTAATTAGACAAGAGCTACAAGGTAATGTCCTAAATCAGTGTTTCATAGGCTTTCGTGAGAATAGAAAGACCTGCCATAAATCACATCAAACACTGTTCAGAACATTGGGAATTACAATAGACATTTCTTATTTATTATCACTTATTTATACTATAACATAGCATATGCGGGGATTATATTAGAACGAAACCAACTTCGTTCATTCTGAAATTAATTCCGCACAAATACACTTACTCATATTTTCAACATGCCATCACTCACTGCGGATCAGTTCTTAACCCCTCAAATACATCCAAAGTTATTGGTCAATAAGTGAAAGGGGTTACTAGCCGCATCGTAAATATCCTTGTAAAATTATAATTGTGTTATGCGAGCCATATATATAAATATTATGTATTTTTATATATATTATTATATATATATATGATTTTACAATAAAATGTACACTAATATTTACCATACTTATCCTATCTCACATTATGCATTTCTTCCTTCTTCTTTCGATCCTGGAAACGTGCATGAACAAAGTATCCAGCTTCTAAAACAAATTCACCCGAACACGTACCAGCATCACCATGGTTACCACCCAAACATATGGGTCGGGCACTGTAATCCCGAGCATAACGACATACACGATACGATCACGTGATTGCCTCTGCCACATCATTCTCTTTCGCAGAGCTAACATGCTAGAGATGGGGGGGGGGGGGGGGGGAGATGTTCGGGAGGGCACATAGCGTGTGAGATAGGATAAGTATTATATCCATGTTGGGGGAAAAGGCACAGGCGTTGAGGCCTTCTGCTTGAGCATCGTGTTCCCAGAGTTGAGGATCTAGGATGAGAGAGACGAACCCGGATAGCTGAGTGTTGAACCGGTCAATGTCTGGGCATTGGTAAAGTTGGCAGATCTACCGGAAGTTCTACGAGTGGAGGCGCCGTTCTGGTGGGGACGGGTCTGTCTGAATGGAATAGGGAGTCGGCCATTACGTTGGAATTCCCGGGAATGTGTCTCGCCAGAAACTTAATGTTGAGGAAGTCAATTAGCCAGAAGAAGTCTATCGAGAGCCACAGGAGCGACATAGACTTGGCTGACCACATCTTGTTGATAAACCAGACGACCGAGATGTTGTCTGACTGGATCATGAGATGCGATGCACGAAAGAGCTCTGCCCAATGGGACGCCATCGGAATGACGGCTTTGAACTCGAGGTTGTTGACATGGAGTTGCTTGTCTCGGACAGACCAAAGCCCTGCCACCGTTTACGTACGCGTGTGCTTCCCAACCCACGATCCGTTTGTCGATAAAGAGATATAAGGTCGGGTCGAACGTCCGCAAAGAGATCCCGGCGCAAACATTCGATGTTACTAGCCATCAGTAAGATGTGGATGCAGATTGGTCAGCAGGGGGATTGGGAACTTGGAAATCATCGCTCCGGATGTAGGGAGGGAGGAAGCACTGAAGCGTCCGAAGGTGAAGTTGACACTTCATTGAGTGCTTGCGCCGATGTCAGAAGGCCAAGGAGCTGTTGCCACCGATGTAGGAGGAGCGGCTGTCTGAGTCCAAATGACACGATACGCTGTATGTTCAGCCACCAACTTGCCAGGGCAGGTTTCGAAGAGGGCCTCGATGAGCCACCCGAGTTGATGGACAAGCCTTTGCGTAAACTTGACACAGTGCCCAAGGACGTCTGGGTCTGTGTTGGCCTGAATGCAGTCGTCCATATATCACCCGAACACCATCCCTCGGATGTGTAGAAACTTCAAGAAGGACTTGGTAATGCAGTTAAAGGGCCACGGGACCGAATAAATTAATTTCAAATGGGAGCACGTTCCATTGGTAGTGGTGGCCTTGGAAAACAAACCTAATGGAATGGCGGTGCTCCCGTTGGATGAGAAATTGCAGGTGCGCATCCTGGACATTGGGACTGACTTTGAAATCAAGTGACGAAGGATTATACGGAGAAGCACGATAGACGTCATACGGAAATGTAACAGATCTTCTAGATACAATGCGATGAATGTCTTCATGTTGAAAATTAGGTGGAGCTTCAGGCATTCTCTCTACAGGATCAGAAAAATCGGCGAATAAAATCCTGGAGTCTCGGGGACTGGACCTAGACACTCTGTAGGGTGTTTTGCAAGCAACATATCTATACTCTACTCAAGCACAAGAAGCTGGAAGGCCGGATACAGAGAGCGAGGCGACATGGACGTCCTTGGTGGAGAAGAAGCAAGATGAGTGGATCTTCCAGGATGGCCCAATTCCCTACTTGTGAGTCTACAACAGACACAACTGGAGGTGAAAGGGTCCAGTCCTCCCGAAGCTGAAAGAAGTCACATGGAAGACGAGTTACCTGTCCTGGCAGACTCACCGATGGCCTTGGACAGAGAATGGTACGGTACGTCCGGAAGAGTATACGACCCATACTCTGAGTCAGGAGACAGGAAACACCAAAGTCCTTACAATGCCGATCTCCATATTGTCAATCTTGAGAGAGTCGATCACTGTCACGTGAATCCTATAAGCGACTATCCCGAGAGCGACCAGGAGACCCAGACCGACTTTACTGTGACAATCAATCCGAGGAGAGTGATCCTTAGGAGAGCGACCCTTAGAGCGACTTTTCCAGGAACAGCGTCTCTTGGAGGAAGCACAAGACCCATCCTTGATCCGTCAATCTTCATTAGAAGGTGAACGTGTTCTGTTAGTGGAAGGCCTAAGTCGAGGCATGTCCGTCAAAAGCAGCTTTTTTCCAAACTTTCAAGTCAGCTGGCGGTTCCGATATACACGTAGGGACGTCATCAGTCAAAAAGCTACCATGTAACCGGCTACCGAGAAGATGGGCATGGCGGAATCCGAAGCTGGTTTTACAGTAACAGAGGAGAGGACAACTTGAATTATTTCCTAAGCTTCTTGGCAGGCGATAGTAAAGGCTTGTCCGAGTCTCTTGACTTTGAGCGCCGGTAAATCTCCCTTCTGTTACACTCGTGTGTGAGGTGTTCTCATTCTGATCAGCTTTTTTGTAAACTACATATGCCACGGCAATCACAACAAAGTTTGTTACGTCGACATTTCCGACAGGCCGGGCGACCAGAACTGTCCTTGCCCATTATCCTCAGATTATTTATGTAATCTACATGGTGTTGCAGGAAATCTCGGGAAAAAAAGAACTAGATTCTCTCAAATCCCAGTGCAATCTTTCTTCACAGTCACCTCCATGAGAAAGAATCATGTGGCAGAGGCAATCACGTGATCGTATCGTGTTTGTCGCTATGAACGGGATTCATTAGTTTGGGTAGTAACCATGGTGATGCGGGGATGTGTTTTGATGAATTGTTTTTCAGAAGCTGGAAACTTTGTTCAAGATTGGTTCCACATAGGAACGAAAAAAGGAAGAAATGCAATAGTGTGCAATAGGATAAGATAAAAAAATTTCTCTTTATCACATGTGTAAAGCTTGAGATATCTTTTCGCTCGATGAAGTAACCTTAGAACCCGCGTATGAATGTTAGGTTGAATTAATTGCAGCCATGTTTGTCCGAAGAAGCACCTACCATACCATATTGTGCGAGCCAGTGCATGCCAATAATTATTGATCAAGCAGACATTGCATCAATGTATGTGGCTTAAGAGCAATAATCTAGCTAAGACTATATTCATGTCCAGTGATTGATATTGTGAGCCACGATCCACACCATCGGTGTACCATGTCTTGCAATCACACGATCCACACCATCGGTGTACCATGTCTTGCAATCACATGATCCACACCATCTGTGTACCATGTCTTGGAATCACACGATCCATACCATCGGTGTACCATGTCTTGCAATCACACAATCAACACCATTGGTGTACGATGTCTTGCAATCACACGATCCACACCATCGGTGTACCATGTCTTGCAAACACATGATCCACACCATCTGTGTACCATGTCTTGCAATCACACGATCCAAACCATCGGTGTACCATGTCTTGCAATCACACAATCAACACCATCGGTGTACCATGTCTTGCAATCACATGATCCACACCATCGGTGTACCATGTCTTGCAATCACACATTTTCCACAACATTGGTGTACCATGTCTTGCAATCACACGATCCACACCATCATTGTACCATGTCTTGCAATCACACGATCCACACCATCGGTGTACCATGTCTTGCAATCAAGCAAGTCACCAAGCCTAACCAGCTGATCCTTTTAGTTTTGTCATACGACCTTCATAGTTTGCTCGGGGCCCATTCTAAGCCAGAATTCCCCCCAGTCTTCCCTTGTTAGGGACTGATATCTACTATCAGAAACCTGGAATCGAGTTAGCCATGAATAGCTAATTATGCAGATCTATAGGTCTAGCGTGGGAATATCTGATTTTCAAGCAAGTTGCCTCAAACAAACGAGGAACGAACATCTTACTCAACAAGTTTCAGGCTTCCTTTAAGTCTTGTCTTTAAGCAGTTTTGTTTTTAAAATAAAAAATGGCACCTAGGCAACCACATTTAAATTCCAACTTTGTTGCAATGAACAAATTTATGCCCCTTATAGTAATAAACATCCACACAGAATTTCATTTGAATCCACCAAGCCATTGTCGAAAACGTAAAACATTAATGGACAGTACCGACAATAGACGACTTGGGACGACAGGCCATGTGAGCTAACAAAAGCCCTAAGACAAGATAATGATGACACTCTTTATTCTCAACAAATAAATACATCTTGTATCACAATACAATACTGAGTTTCAGCAGAATTAACAGAGAGGCATTCAGTCTTTTCATATCTCATCAAGCCTTTTCAACATACCGATGACAGGCATTTCCAACAAAGCTTGTGGTTCTTGGACCATATTTCTCCCTACAATCGAGTTATGTAAAGACTGAACTACTAGCTTACTTGGACGGAGCGATTGTAAACATTTCTCACTACAGCACAACGACCAAAACATGATCGAAGTTTGTTGTCACCCAAAACAGCAGTAGATTTTAATAGAAAATTGTAAACACCTGCAAATAACATAATCATGAAATATCATTCTAGAGGTAACAAAATATACATAAATAAAATCTAAATGGTGGGACATTTTGTAATAAGGGTTCAAACACTATCACCATATTATATCAATACAGATCTATCTGGGTCTGGCCTCAACCCTCTTCATAGCATGAACAAAATATATTTACATATATTCTTTTTTTAACTTACATTTTTGTTTAACAGTCTCATAAAAAAATAATCTGATATTTTGAATGAAAACAAAGGCCATATGAGACGTTGCCTGACAACTGTGTTCGATAACCCTTATCAACTTTATTTGAGATTCACACTTCTGTCATGTTTGGCAAAACAATTTCAATATTTATCATTTGTCATCTTCTATAACATTTTTATGAACAGAACCATTATCACTCATGATTATTAAGAAATATGCTTTCATACATGTTTGGACGGAATACAATACTTTCGGCAATATTCTATATAAATACAATTTACAAACATCAACAGCAATGTGAGAGTAAACCATTTGATTTCCAAGAACTATTTCAGAAACTCTCTTCTTTACAAATTGTTCATTTCAACTTTTGAGAAATGACTAGGAAATGTAAAACTGAAATATTAACATCAATTTCAGCAGGTGTTTCACCAACAGCAAGATTAGCATAGGAAATGTACAGCAGAATGAAACCACCTTAATCCTATTGCACATGATTAAGTACTTCAATTAAGCAAAAAGCCATAACAATTTCGGTATAATTACATGTAAATTCATGCAAATGTTATGCATCCAGCATAAGCATTGATTCAAGACATATACACTTTTTTCATTGTAGAATAATTCAATCACCCGATTAACTCATCCCTTGTTGCAAATGGAGGAAGATTTGGTTTTGATATAAAATACCAGTTGTAAATGATGTTGAATTGTTAAATTGGTCCCATACAAAAAATGCAGCATTATAATACACAAAAAATACATTTTGAAAACAAAGTGATAAATTAATATAGTGAGCTACATATCAATAAATATGGCACATTGCTGCTATGGGATTTTTATAAATGGATGGATTTCAACAGAACATCACAGTTAAAACAAGTCAATACTCTTTGATTTAAAATCGAGATATACATCAGCAGTTGGCAGCTTTACGTTGTGGATAAATTCTGAAATTATGGTCTCAAATATTTGAATGTTACCCTGATGAAAATATATTTGCCACAACTAAATTCGGATAATAAAAAAAGGTTAAAAGAAGGTGTTACAGCTGACATAAAGACAAACGACACAAAAAGGTGGGGACAAATAGTTGTATCATCTGCTGCAAGTGCGTCGGAATGGTGACGAGAGGATGTAAATATCGTGTCAGTCCGCCAAGTTAGACGGATGAGGTGGCGATGTCTTCAGCATCATTCTGCAAAAAACAGACCACATCAGACAACAGTCACCATCAAGTGGGTAACAAATAACCAGGAAATCCAAAAAGGTCTATCTTTAAGCCAAAAATCAACTATGATTTATGTAATACCTGGAATAAAGTAACATTTCTTTCTTTCTTTGTTGTTATTTAACGCCAGACTCAGCAATATTCCAGCTATATGACAGCAGTCTGTAATAATCGATTCTGGACCAGACAATCAGTGACTAACATAATGAGCATCGATCCACACATTTGAGATACGATGACATGCATCAACCAAGTCAACAAGCCTGACCACTCAATCCCGTTATTCGCCTCTTACAACAAACATGGGTTGATGAAGACCAATTAATCTGTATGGATCTTCACAGGGAATTATAAAGATAATAATAATGAAAGCATATATCTCGGAATTATGTTGTTTTCGGTAATTACCAATTACAAGAGATATTAACATTTTCAAAAATAATTTGTTATTTCAATACACTTACATGAAAACACAACTTAAAACTCAAAAAACATGCATAATACTATGAGTTATTGCCTCATAGCTTCACAGGGTAGGTTAATTATTAAAATGCTCAAAATTATTCAACTGATAAACAAATGACTACATGAAAATGAAATAACTGATAATCAAATGACTGCAACACACTCAATACATTTGCATATGAAACAACACTTTAGATACACATCTGAAATCTTTCTTTCTAGTTCCTTTGGGTAACGAAAGTAAAGACATTTAAAAGAACAGAAAGCATGCGATATCATGACTAAAGTTTACTTGCATCATGCAGTATACCAGCAGATATAAACAAAATGCTAAAAGATCTTTCCTTTCCAGATCAGACAGCTTAATTCCAAACTGACATCCATTGACTCAGTGACACATCAAAGCATGCAGAATATCAATGTGAACTACAGAGAAAAGCAGGTGTCAAGTGCACTTCAGGACTGATCATGGGTATTTCTGTTTTATATGATACCGTATTCAACGTAATAAGCGCCCGGGTCGCTCTCAAAATTAGAAATAGGGGGCTCTTATGAGAAAATTATTTCGGTGAAAAAAAAAATGGTTGAAAGATAAATTTCGTTGTTTATGCTGACAGCCTGAAATGTTTATGTACGACAGATATATTTTTCCAGATGTTAATTACCCATAAATAAGGGTGCATATAACACACGTATGCGTATTTTACCGAATAAATAAGCCTTTGTACATTGATCAATCGGAAGGGGTGCAAATTGGGCTTGTTCACTTGCCAATATATCAGCAAAAATCACCGTGGGTGCTTATAAGAGCGGGGGGCTTATTACGTCGAATACAGTAACCATGACTAGGCGGAAACTCAGTACAAAATACTCTCCAATTAGAGAAAGCCGAAGTCATAATAATTATTCTAGTTGACTGTTTTCCATCAAAATGAAATAGAATTAAGAAACTATTAAAAGTTATCATGTTTATTATTAGTGCATGGCGTTGGGAAATGAGAAAAAAAAATTATACTGAAATCTTTATATCTTGAAACTAAACTTCTTTCTTTGAACATTGACCTATCATTTTTCTCTGTACTTTTTTCAAGTCGCATCAGCTGATCAAGGATACATTGTACAGAAACTAAGCAAACATCTAAAATAGTTTGTCTTGATAAGCAAGGCATGAAGACGCTGAGGGAGTCACAACAATGAGAAAGCACAGTGGACACCTGCTTGTGGTGTGCACAAATAAATACAGACTAGCACTACAGAGACACAAAACTCAAATTACCTATTACACCTCTGAGGACTGTCAGGAGGGAAAGAAAAACAGTTGTCAGAAATCAATATTGAAAATCATGAGTACAAATCTACCGGTTTCTTTAGACATTAACCATTCACCTATAAGAGGGCAAACAAATCTATGCTAATGTATATGTATGTATAAATGAATTAAGAGAACTCTTGATTATTCAAGAGAGTAATCGTACAATCTCATTAAAATCAGATCTTAGAGTTCGCTACCGCTACACAAAGATCTGAGGACATCCCATTACAAGTCATGTCCAAATGACCTTTCACGAACTTTGACCGACCAATGGAAGGACTGACAAGAAGTCGACAAGAGCCAAACAGAAAGCAGCTTTCTCCAGCTTTACGGCTCTAGTTTCAAACTGGCGACTTCTATTCCAGACTATTAAAAAATATTTTGACAAAGTTCTGGATTCAAAATTTGAAAACTGAACGAAAAACAATTCTTGAATGTGCAGTAGATGGCCGAGATTGTATGGCAGTATTTCCCAAGTCTTTATCCTATTGAAGTGGGAGATAGACAATGATTTTGATGGAATCAGTAGTACAGCTTGTAACTGTCGTTTGCAATACCCTGTGTTTCCATGTTGCATGACAAAAAAACACTTTCTGACTGTCACTTTCCCCGATCTGATACCAAAATCTGAGTGGTCGGATGAAAGGTTGTTCTGATGTGAGCCGTAATGGGATGTCCTCATATCTTTGTTTAGCAGTAGCAAGCACTAAGATCTGATATTATGAGATTGGTACATCATTCATCTATAAAGCAACTAATCCATAACAAAGACTAAATCAAATTCTACGCAGCAAAACTACACCCACACATGTATATCGATTCAGCAACTAACGTCGATTACATAAGTCAAGCAGATGCATTGCTCTAGTCATCATAAAGAAACTTGGAATCCATGGACGAAAAGTCACAAGACATTTCACAAAAAGCAAAAAGTTCTCTACCACTTCATCTACTGCTGCAGTATTGAAAGGTGAAGACTTTAACAGGGGTATTTCTACGAGGCAGGGACACTTACATTCTGTCCTGACCCGGGACGAGAACGAGCTCTCATTCCTCCTCTGCCACTGCTACCGCTAGTTCCGCTGGGTGACGCCCCTCGTGCACTCCCTGCCCCCATAGAGGTCTCGGAGTCCCATCTCTCCAGCTCCTCGCGGACTAAACGTTCCATCTGCTCCCTTTTCATTTCATCACTCGTTCCATCAGACTGAAATGGAGATCACAACTTATATACTTATCAAGCATACAAGGCAACAGGTACAACCTGTAGAAACAGATATAATATAAGTTAAAAAAAATGAGAAACTGACATAAGAACGAGAAAGACTTTCACCATTATTTTATCAATTAAATACATAAAATCTGACAATAAGCAGATTGGTTATTTTAATGAGCAAACAGATGTGGCAAAATTCCACTTGGCTCCAGAGACAGTTAAATTTAACTCTCTCACTCGTCACTAAGTGGATGAAAAGAGTGCGTGTGTATGGTTTTACGCCGCTTTCAGCAATATCATGGGGGGTGGAGTGGGGCACCAGAAATGGGCTTCACATATTGTACCCATGTGCGGAATTGAACCCAGGTCTTCGGCGTGATGATCAAACGCTTTAACCACTAGGCTACACCACCCCCCTGGCCGAAAAGAAACTGAGGGATGTCTAAGTGATGAATCGGAAGACAGATCTTCAGTTGATAAGAAAAAGTATTGGTCAAGTGACCAATTACCTGTGAAATAGATAAACATTAACAGAAATGATGGGTCAAGTAAATTTTGGAAGAGTCAATGCTCCGAGCCTGGCAATCTGAAGCACTGTGAACAAGAATGACACTGCCGTTTTGAGGTGGAGATTGCAAGGTTGTTGTATAGTCACACTTACCTCTGTGATGCTATCTAAAATTTTTCCCATTGTTTCCCTTCTCTTTAACTTGGCTTTCTCCATGGCCTCTAGTTTAACCAGCACAGCATCTATTTTTGATACAATGCTCCCAATAGAGTGTTCCATTCTGTCCACCCTCCGAGATAGGACTGTAAACTCTTCGTATGAAACCCCGCTTGATGTTCTGCCAGTTCGGGATGATTTAGTTCCACTGTCCTCGTCATCGCTGTCTTCTCCACTGTCTTCGTTGAAGCTGTTTCGGCTGCTGGAGCGGCGAGCAGTGCCTGGGCGATGGACCTTCTCCTCCAGTTCGTCATATTCTTTGTTGAGAGCATTCTAAAAATATATTGTCAGATGTCTAAATAATATACAAGTTACGACAATTGTAGATCTAATTGTGTGTGTTTGTTATTTGACACCGCACTAACAACATTCCAATTATATGATGGCCCAGTGATTGATATTATGAGCAAGGTGCCATGCCTTGACAACAATGAGTGAGTGCTGTTTTACGCCGCTTTTAGCAATATTCCAGCAATATCACGGCAGGGGACACCAGAAATGGGCTTCACACATTGCACCCATGTCGGGAATCGAACCCGGGTCTTCGGCGTGACAAGCGAAAGCTTTAACCACTAGGCTACACGACCGCCCCTTGACAACAATGACCAAATTTCATTTCTAATTTTACTTCAAAGCATTTTCTTAGCAGGGACTCAAGAGCACCTTTTGTTCTGTGAGGTCAGCATGCATGCGGCGTTGTTCATCTTCATCAAGCACACGGTCACCGTCGATGTCGTATTTGGCAAACATAGCCTCGATTTCACCATCAGCATAACCACGCCTGGAAACAGATTTGAATCGATCTCTGAATAAACACTGGTACAACAATGACGATTCATTCATTTCGCATAAAAACACAGAATAACATCTATAATGTCTTCATGTTCCAATTTGCCTTTTGCATGTTGGTACTGCATTATATAATGGTCAGTAACACTCACGTCTTCAGGTCCTGTCTCCATTCATCGAAGTCGAGTCGCTTGTCGTCGTTGATGTCGGCTGACTGCAGCGCTTTCTGGATGTCCACGATCTTGTCTCTCTTCCAGTTCAGTTTGTCCATCATCTTCTGTGCTCCCTAGAAAAATACAATCAACAATGGAAGTAAAATGGTATAGCCCTTTTGACCAACCAGGTAAAACAGCATGCAAAATTATTCTTTCATGTCTATGGATAACTATAAATATTATTCTGATATAAGCCTTGATACATTAATCTGACCATCACACAAATATCATTATTTTGATAAATTTTATTTTCTTCATTCCCTCTCAGTGATTGTCAACACTTCCACTGACCTTCTTGAAGAAGTCGGTCATCTCGAACTCATTCTTCTGGTTGGCCATGTCACCCTTAACCTCAGAGTAGGTGTCATTGATGATAGCCAAGAACATGTTGATGAGCACGAAGAAGACAAAGAACACGAACAGCATGAAGAAGATCGGTCCCAGCACTCGGTTAGCAGCCTCCAGCTGGTGGAAGTCGAAGTCTCCCAGGATGATACGGAACAGGGTGAAGCTGGAACACAGAGTCAGTTGTAAGAAAACAATATTTCAGTTGTGTGACAGCATGTCAGCTTAATGAGTTAGGAAAGCCCCAGTGGTTGGTTGGTTGGTTTGTTGTTTAACGCTGCACTCAGCAATATTCCAGCTATATGACGGCAGTCTGTAAATAATCGAGCCTGGACCAGACAATCCAGTGATTAATATCATGAGCATCGATCCACGCAATTGGGATCGATGACATGCATCAACCAAGTCAGCGAGTCTGACCACCTGATTACGGCATGCATGGGTTGCTGAAGACCCATTCTACCCCGAAATCTTCACGGGTCGAGAGCCCCAGTGGAGCAGGAGGAAGACCTGCACCCACTCTGGTATGATGCCAACCAAGGGTCGTAATCAGGGCAAATCTAGGATTCAAACACATAACTTGGGAATCCAAGCACGGTTCAGGAAGCAACTTTGCACAACAAATTGCAATGCAAAGGATTACTAGGTCTGGCCATGCCTATGACAGACATAAGGAAATGTTTATAGATAACTTCTTGACAAGTCACCCAGATCAACATGACACACAAGCTCAGTTAACTGAACTATGTGGAGGGGATGAAACAAGCACCACTGCATATATATTTGAAATAATCTGTTACTATTCAACATATACAAGAATCTCTGTAAAATGTTATTGAAGCTAAGCTTAAGTTGTAAGAGTACAGCTTTAAAGGCCAGCTGGTGACTTACAAGGAGTCCTGGAAACTGCTGAAGTCCTTGACCTGGGTTCCAAAGAGCAGATAACCCAGTTGTGTGAAAGCCAAGAAGATGATGAAGAACATGACAGCGAAGCCTGCCAAGTCCTTAGCACAGCGCCCCAGGGTTGAAGACAGCTGGGTCATGGTTTTGTTGAAGCTGATGTACTTGAAGATCTGAACACACAATGTTTGTGACAGTCAGAAGGGATTCGTAGGGACATAAAACATGTTAGTTCATCTTTCACTAAAGTTAAGATTTCATGATCAAGATTACCTTATTCTTCAAATACGTTTAGCAACTATTCTTCAAAGGCATTGATTACAAACACATTTAGGGCTGTAACAATTAAGAATCAGTAATAAAGTAATACATAACCTTAATACTGTACAAGTACATGACATTACCACTACCATAGCCCAACTTTACTGAGGCAAGAGCCCAAACTTTGCTAAGGAAAACCTCAACTTTAATGAGACAAGCCCAAACTTTACTAAAATAAGAACCTATACTGATTCAAGACCCCAACTTTACTGAGGATGACCCCACACTTCACTAAAGTAAGAACCCAAACTTTACTGAAACAACCCTATTATTGCAAGAGCTAACGCAATTTCGAGAGCCCCTGTATCCCATCTTTGCCTCCCAGACAACTGCCTTACCTTGATCCACGCCAAGAAGACCGCTATAGCAATAGCATTGCTGAAGCGAGTCTCCCAGTAGCTCAGTCTCTCGAAGTCCGCGTACACTTTGTCGTTCTCCAGCAGTGATGTTAACTTATCCCCGACCGCAACTGTCCGATATATGTCAAACGCCACACAGATTAGTGATATCATGATGACCAGGATGTCAAGGATGTTCCAGACGCTCTTAAAGTAGGTCAGTTTGTGTTTCTTGATCTGAAGAAAACAAAAGAAATGTTTAGGGATCAGTGTGGGACAGTGTCAGCGCAATGTGACAGACAGTGAGCACTCAACATGCTCAAGTTGCCAATCCAAACACAACCAAACAAAAAAGCATGACCTATGCTGCCAAGACTCTGAGCAGGGAATGAGCAATTAAAGCTTTGATAAGGAATGCCAACAAACATGACCAAATAGAAAGAGTGAGAAAGGTTTTAAATCACTTTAACAAAAATTCCAGCATATCACCAGATCACAAGGTACTTGGGTTGACCCCAGAAATTGGCTTCAAAATTGGGAATCAAAACTGGGCCTTCTGTGTAATGATCAAACTATTTAAGGACCACCTCTGATCAAATAGAGAGCTCTAATATGAGTGAAGGTATGGTTTAACCCTGAACAGCCTCACCTCCAGCACTTCCTCCACGATGTAGTACAGGATGAAGAGACAGAAGATACACTCGCAGGCCATGATGAAGTAGTCCCCAACAGTCACATAACGGATCAGTTTCACAGTTCGGAAAGTCCATGATGGGATCGCGCCTCCGGTGGCAGGGAACTCAACCAGAAGTCTAAGGGAGACAACTCAAAATTTACATCTGTCATACAACAGAAACAGTCACAGATGTAGAAGGATGTGAAAAAGGAATTTGAAATAAATTTATGCCAAATAATCCTCAAAATCATGATGACCATAAGTCTAACTGGAGGTTACCATGGTTACAAATAAAATATTCATCATGTTCACATCATCATGATCATAATTGATAAAATATCTTACATACAACATACATGTCTATACATACCTGACAACACAGAAGAGGTTGATATTTGCGTTATAGACCGTGAAGTCTATAAACACCGCTCTTGTCCCCCGCGTTATCCATAACGAATTGAACAAGTTGTCTATTATTTTCTGCGACTCATTCATGCTGGCCCGGAGATCCTGAACATACCCTGCTCCGGAGTACGTGGTCAGCAACCCCCAATGTGACGAACCTTCTAGTTCTGATTCCGTTTTATACTTCCACCTACAACAAGGAACAGAAATTAAAACATACATCATAAATACAGACACAGAACCCCCAATGGCGACTGTGGCGCCATGTTGCAGATGATGGATTGTTGTCTAAGATCAGAAGAGAAGACAGCTTGTTTATTATATGTGAAATCGTCCTAACACCTGACAGAATGTCTAACACGTATCTTACCTCAGAATGTCAAACATGCTTTAAACAATTAGTAACATGTGGTTGATCATCGTCAATACTTTACAAGTTTTGTATACACTAAGTCCTTCCATCACCTTTGAATTCATAGGACTGTTTTGAGGTACAGTCACTATTTTTAACCAACAATTGAAGTTACTGCCTTGTTCCTACATGAACGGAATAGTGGAGGAAACCAGAAAGTGCTCACATCAATGAGCACTCAGATTACGTCACCCAAATTTGATCATATTTCCCTTGCAACATGTGCCATAGACTTGCACTCATCTGCCCTACCACAGGACCATGTAACTAATAATAATAACAAACAAACTCGCAGACGTGACCGAAACAAACTTCATCTGTGAGCTTGTTCGTTATTATCATATGCTACATGGTCCTGTGGCCCTACATACTGTTTCAATATCAGGTGAGGTGAAATTGGGTATAACCTTGTGTCCAAGATTATTCCACTTATATAGCGACGTGTGGCTGCTTGTACTAGTCCGGACTGATGCCAATTTCTAGAGCTAGCTCACTGAGACCATGTGGTTTAACATGAATATTCCACTCAGACACAGTACACTGACTCTAATGCCGAGCGCCAGACAGGGTAACAACAAGTACCATCTTTTAACGTCTTTTGGTATTACACGTCGGGGGATTGAACCTCGGACCTTCCGCTCTCCGGGCGGACGCACCACCACTAAACCAAGGCGGCAGTCTTCAATGTCAGGTAAAGGTAAGGTTTGCAAAGAGTCAATGCACTGAGTTGTTCTTATTTGACTTCTGTGAGTTATAAATGGCCTCACACATTTGTCAGCAGATTAAGAAGAAACACACATTGGTACTAATCCACAGTCACAGCTGCTTTATGTGACGGAGGAATAAAGTGTATGTATTCAAACCTGTGAAGTATTTGCCATGGTGGCTGATTGTCCAACATGTGACAGACACAGACAATATCAACCCCTACCATGTATATTAACTCTAGATATGCCACAGAAAATGGCCATTGTTAATGATCGTATAATATAATGTTGGATCAATAGGACAAGTAGCTTGATCTTTTGAATTATTAATACCACACATTCCATCCGTAAAGTGTTAGCTCCAGTAAAAACCAGGCTGATCTGGCTAGAGTTATTGTGAACCAGGTTTTTCGTTATTGAAAAGCAGTCACATACATTCCCAGACAGTCTCACACTCACACTCTGACATTAGACAGTCACAACATGCACATAGTCACAATAAATAAGTCACGAGTCCCTATCAACCTATGCTTGCCTTACGACTTAATGGATCAGGTGGCACGGTGACTTGGTTGATAGTCTTTTAACATACCCCAAAAAATTTGATTACTGGAAAATTACTTGATTATCTGTCCCAGACTTGAACATTTACAGGCCATTGTTATATAACTGGAATATTTTTCGAGTGTGGTGAAAAAACAACAAACAAGTATTTGTCACAGAGTGACGAAATATCCCCCGCCATATACACCATAGTACCAAATATGAAGACAATCCAGCGATTAGTTCTTGAGATATTGTGGCAACACCGTTTTCCAACTCCAAAAACAGATTTGCCTGCTGTGACCTTGAAAATGGGGTCAAGGTCACCAAATCTGACAGGTGTATGCGGTGTCTGTATATACACTATAGTTCCAAATATGAAGACAATCCAGCGATTAGTTCTTGAGATATCGCGGCAACACCGTTTTCTAACTCCAAAAGCAGATTTGCCTGCTGTGACCTTGAAAATGGGGTCAAGGTCACCAAAACCGACTGGTGTCTGCGATGTCTGTATATACACCATAGTTCCAAATATGAAGACAATCCAGTGTTTAGTTCTTGAGATATCGCGGCAACACAGTTTTCCAACTCTAAAAGCAGATTTGTCTGCTGTGACCTTGAAAATGGGATCAAGGTCACCAAAACCGACTGGTGTCTGCGGAGTCTGTATATACACCATAGTTCCAAATATGAAGACAATCCAGTGTTTAGTTCTTGAGATATCGCGGCAACACCGTTTTCCAACTCTAAAAGCAGATTTGTCTGCTGTGACCTTGAAAATGGGATCAAGGTCACCAAAACCGACTGGTGTCTGCGGAGTCTGTATATACACCATAGTTCCAAATATGAAGACAATCCAGTGTTTAGTTCTTGAGATATCGCGGCAACAAACAGGTGGGACGTACGGACGGACGTACGTACGGACGGTCGTGAATACTATATCCCCCGCTTCGCGCTTTCGCGCGGCGGGGGATAATAATCATAGTCACAATCACCAACATATTCCCAGTTGACACAAACAAAATATTCACTAACGTTCTAACATCAACTTAAGTTCCAGTGCCCACTTGCACAAAGTAATCTTAGCGCTAAGGTGATCGTAACTCCCATACTTTAACATAGGCTAAGACCGCTTTGTGCAAGTGGGCCCAGGCCTACACCTGTCTGAAATGATAAGTATAAATACATACGCAGTGTAATTGGCAATTTCACTATTGGGATCATAGTTCCCAAAGGTGTGGGTGTCCTCAATGCTGGTGGAGTAGGAGTCAAAGCATTCCTTGATAACATCAGTGAAGTCGTCGTGGACAATGCAGGAGTTGCTGTGGACCTTCAGTTGTCGGAGTCGGGGCATGCCTAGTAGCTTATTTTCGTAGTATATATAACCCAGCTGTTGCTCTGGGACGGCTTCCTTGTTGTACCAGGTTTCCCAGTAGAGGCCACGGAGCATGGGGCCCTTGGTGAACTGATAAGGAAAAAGCCTATCTTACAAACACAGAACACCTTACTGTGAGAGAGACTAACTTATTGGAATGGACGTACAGTGAGGTATGTTTAACTCAGAGATCAGTCCTCGAATGTCTTTATCCGTTTGGGAGTGAGTATGGTTTTAAGCCACTTTTAGCAATATTCCAGCAATATCACAGTGGGGGACACCAGAAATGGGCTGCACCTATTGTACCAACGTCGGGAATCGAACCTGACACTTCGGCATGACGAGCAAACACTATGTCCACCATAATGCCTCTTATCCATTTGGCAATAACAGAGTAAAAACATTACACCACAAAACAAACAAAGGTTTCGGACCATTAAGTTGCATTCACTTTAAAAAATATTGCAAAAATGGACATGATGGAGTAAAAAGGCGAAAGATCTTAGAGTGAGTGAGTGAGTGAGTGAGTGAGTTGGGTTTTACGCCGCTTTTAACAGTATTCCAGTTATATCACGGCATGTCAGCTTAATGTGGGAGGAAAGCCCGAAGTGATGCAGGTCTCAGACATTTACCACTTCGGTTAAACCCACGAGCACGGGTATGGTGCTGACAAACCTAGAAACATATTCGGGATTCGAACCCACAATCATAGGTTTCTGGCGTGCCCAAGGGACGCAACTCTGCACAGCAAATCGCGGCGCCTTAGACGACTGGGCCACCCGTGCCCCCGAAAGATCTTAGATGTCAACATTCATGAAAAGTATACAAAAGTGTTGACATTAAAAAATTTGAACATCACTAAAATCCCTGGGAAGTTTATCAGTGTCAGTGCTTCTAGAAAGATGAGCTCTGCACCTAAAGGAATAATACTTTTCTCTTTTCTCGGTATCACTGATGAACTGCAACACGTATAGGAATACTTTTTCTGTGTTCCAGTATATTGGGGTAAAATAAACATAACCTTAAACCTACACAGAAGTTCAAACAAAAATTATCTTTCCCTTTGAAATTGATTGCCAAAATGGCGGAAACGAGGAAGTGACTTTTCTCTCACATTGTCACCCCCCTGTATGCATGACTACAAAATGGTGGCGACTGACCATGCTGAGTAATATTAAACGAAGTATGTAGAACATATAAAATCAGTGTCAGTCACTGTCAAACACTCCCAATATATTGCAATGCGTATCATAATACAGATACCTGTATTTGATGTATTGCAATACAAATTGTTTGCCAATACATAGCCCTACAGCACAACCATGGGCACTGGTGTATAATACTACTAAAACATCACCAGTACCCAACACCCCTATCACAAACTTGTACTTACCCTCCAGAAGTCATCAACACTGGTGATTCCTCGGAAGGTTCCTGCGAGTGAGTTAGGGGTGTCCAGGAACAGATCGCTCATTACCTTGGTGTAGTAATACATGGTGGTGCTTGTCATGCCAAATGTAACTGTAAAAAGCAACAAATTGCAGGTACCATGGTCACAACAATACAAAATAGGCATATCGTATTCCTGTAACTCTTATACACTGTGTCAAGTACATTCAATAATCAAAATTTACACACTTGATTAAAACCACTTGAATAATAACAATAACATGTTGAATGAAAGCAATGCTGCAAGAATATCTCATGCATTAAGCTTTTGATCATTTACTCTGAAACAGTATCAGTTTGGCAAATAATCTCAAGCATTTTCTGTTTAGATCACAAAATCCTACCTGAAAATGGGTTTGATTACCTTAAACATGGTAAACATCCCACTGACAGGAATTTGCCACACCATACCATCAGTCAAGATGACCTTCCGGAAGCTAGACAGCACTACATGTGACAGTGTGCAACAGCTGCTACTTACTGACACAGATGATGACAAGGAACACGATGTAGATGATCAACTCTCTCAGGGTGGTCTTCACATACAGCTCCCTGTTTGACTTGGTCTCCTCGGTGTGCCTTGTGGCCCATAGTGCTGGAAGAAAGCAACGCCAAGTCTTACCAACAGCATCAAAGTGCTACATATAAATATACATGAAAATAAATAACAAGATCAGCATGATCAGCAGTGCTAAACTAAACAAAACACCTTAGACAAGATATTATCTACCTTAGACAAGATATTATCTTTGCCATGCTGTACTATGATAGTGATCGTTTGATGAACATTCTATTTCATTAATATCTAAAATGACAATTTGTTTCACTAATGACGAGTAGCATTAAAGATTGAACTGCAGGGTTCGAGATAATTTTTGGAACCACTGAGCATTTATTCCCATGTTATCTTTCACTTTCATTATTGATAGCCTTCTTTGTGTGTTCAATATATTTTACCCATGCTCCTCGCAGCAATAGCCCGTTCACGGAGCTCTCTATATCGCTGCCACCAGTCAAAACTCCCCACTGTGATAGGTGACCCCAACCATACTTGGAGTTCAACTCACAACCAAAAGACCGTTATGTTTACAAACAAGTGACGACTGTCGTGACGCCAATTACACTTACCCCTGCTAAATTACTTTCTTTGTTTGTCAATTTGAATTTCTATTTCATTAAAACTATCATGTTATTGATAAAGTAAAAATGTAAGGGAGAAGTTGGTTGATTTTCCGTTAGTCTGCAATCTCGAACCAATCTGATTATACAAACAACAAAGTAAATTCATCTGGAAAACATGGTCAGTCGTAAACCTTTACAAAATTCACTATGATGGCATTCCCGAACACATAAACAAAAGCATGAACATTACTACATTTGGGGTTAGAGGCCAAATTTCAAGATTCTTGTAATGGCCGCGCCCACACTGGTGGCAGCGATGTTACCGAGAGTGTAACGAAGGTGTCACACGCTGGGAAGGAGCTTGATATTTTACCCCTTGGGGCCAGTCTATCATGGTCTATTGCATGATTGGACATGAGTGACCCTTTATCAAAAATAATTCTACTTATATTAAAACGCTGTTTCAGGTGACTTCTAATTTGCACCTGTCATTGTGATGCCCCAAGTGTCACATATGGCATAAGCTCACAACAGCCAGATAAGAGAGACAGCACTTCTTTGCAATATCCTTTGTTGGTTTGTTTGTTGTTTAACACCATACTCAGCAATATTCCAGCTATATGATGGCAGTCTGTAAATAATTGAGCCTGGACCAGATAATCCAGTGATTGGAATACATAATTGCAGCAATAGAAACTAACATTCTTAATCCACTAGTCCTTATAATGATAAAATATAGAAAAAAATTAAAATTGGCCAATTTCTACTCGTCCTTATGATACATTAACTATTGGGCAGTTTGGCAAGGACAAAAGGACTAGCAAGGACAAAAGGACTAGTGCTTATTTCTAACGCTGAATTGGAATACAAAAGTCAGCAAGCCTGACCACCCGATCCCATTAGTCGCCTTTACAGCAAGCATGGGTTGCCGAAGACCCAGTCTACCCTGGATCTTCACGGGTCCTGCAAAATTCACTCCAGTAGAGTTCACGTACATACGTGAGGCCTGCATTGGATCAGTACATAAATATCTGTAAACATGCATGTACGCAAGCTGAAAGGTTGCATTTGAAAATTAATTATGCAGTATCTTTTCACTATTTATTTTGTTTGTTTTTCAATTTCCTGCATATTTGTATACAAGCAACATTATCATGCCTATTTGGGAATGGTGATATATTGTGCATAATTACGCATATACACAGCTTATCTGGAGGTCTGGTGAAGCCTTGTTTTATATCGTAAGTCAGTGTCCACAAGTTGTTCCCAGTGAACATCATCAAAGAATGAAATCCAGAATACTTTACAGTGATAGAAACTAACAGTTTTAGTCTACTAGTCCTTATGATGATAACATACAGCCAAACCCTAAAAGGGCAAATTTCTACTAGTCCTTATGATACCTGAACTATTGGGCAGTTTGGCAAGGATGTAGGGACCAGTGCCAATTTCTAACGCTGTTTATAATGCCTAACAGGGATTATCCTATGAACATCAAGTGCCATATATAAAGTTAGTACCCTGTAATTTAGATACCAGAGGTAATCATGGTAACACACATTTCAACTTCTGAGTCCCAAGGGTAGGGACCAGTGCCAAATTCTAACGCTGTTTATAATGCCTAACAGGGATTATCCTATGAACATCAAGTGCCATATATAAAGTTAGTACCTGTAATTTAGATACAAGAGGTAATCATGGTAACACACTTTTCAACTTCTGAGTTCCCAGGTTCCTTTTGATTTACATACTGTGCATTACACATGTTACCATGGTTACATGCCTTCAAATGGTCATCATTTCCCATGCAATTGTCAAGAGCAGAGGTTCAAAAAGTACAATTACACTTACTTCATATGATCATAATTAATAAGCAGCATCACACTGGTTTTGTGTGCTCTTCACTGCTTCAGGCACTGAGAACTAATTTTACTGTGCCATTCAATCTTAAATCACCATTCCACAATACAAAGAATTTGTTACCCATGTTAACCGTGTTTTTGGTAACCTGCACATTCCATCAGCCCTGTAAGCATGGTAAGCGTATATGTCCTTTTTTACTTAGTTTTACGTCACTGCACTCAATATGCCGTATGCTATGTTAAAACAATCCAAGTTTCAGAAAATAAGAATTTTAAAAAAAATCATGTTTGCACAGTATAATGATTTTTTGCCCAATTTGCCTGCAAAGGGTACTCTTTTTTTTAACAATGTTATTCATGTTCATATGCATTGTTTGATCAAAGTAAATCTAGGAAAATGTTGCATTTTGCATGTTCTGAAGACTGCTAAATTATGACTAATCCATTTATTACCATGGACCATGATATACACAAAGTTTTCAATTTATCATTGTCTATGGGAACCAGTATTGTGTATTCAATAACAAAAGAAACATTAACCCATCATCTATTTCATTTATAATCATTAATACAGCTTGAACCCTCAAGCGCCTCAGTTTCGTCTTTGCATTATGGAGACAAAGTCAATCCTGCCACAAGTTGTCATGGCACCAAAATTGATTTTGTTATGACATATTCTTCCAACAGCCATGACAATGTACCTAAGCTTCTTTCAAAGCTGGTATAGCAATGGATCAACAAGACTACATGAGAACCAATATAGCCAATCAATAACATCCATTGCAAGCAGAATTTAACAAAAGCTGTTTATGCTCTGGAAAGAGTTTTCGCATAGATAATCAATATTGTGTCCATGGTACCATCACAACACCAGGATTGGGTTACATTATGAAGTTGTAGAACCGGTCCCAGGCATCAAATATTAATTCCCTGAGAATAGCAGTCAGAGATGAACATGACGAACATATCCGAAAGAGACATCAGGAACCAGACATTTTGAAAGGACAATCTGAACCCATGTTATTCATGATTATGATAAAGTAATATTTTATTTACTGAAACCTTAAAATCATCAGATACATGCAGCAAACATGCCCATAAGATTAATAATACTATTACATGATAAGAGCCTTATTTCGCATGAAATGTTCTTCCTCACTTAACTACCTAAACAATTTGTTTGCAGTTTTGGAGTTAAAATGCTATGACAGGTCTGAACAAATACGATTGCAGGCATAAATATTTATTGAAAATTTGTTGTCACACATGTCAAACTCCTTCAAAACATTTCAGTCAGATTGTCGTCCAAAATGTCCAAAAGATATTTTTCAAATTTGGTAAAGACAGAAGAATGTCATATCAAAGTTCATGAAATCATTAATACCAACTGTCTCTAACAAAATCAGAGTACCATGTTTTGACAGATAGATTTACTTACATCTAAGACCACGGACGAAGGTTCCCATGCACCCAGTGTTCTGTGGCGTGCTCTTGGTCCTAACGGCGGGCACGTTTCCTCGGCGGTCCTGGTCCATGTAAACTTGATCAGGGAGGTCGGGGTCATCCCGAATATCTGGCCCATACCCCTCCATGCCCTCATCGCCCCACGCCGTGCGGGACTGGCTGCTCGACGGCCGATTCCTTGACATCACACTATCACGAATTTACAAGCACGTAAAGTTTCACAAAAGGTGAACAGATTCTATATGGACGGAGTTTGACAAGGGGGGACGATATGTCCCAAATTTAGCGAGTACCACTCAGAAGCTTGTGGTCGACGCGCCCGCAAGGTGGAGACTGAGAAGATGCGCGAATATCAGCTACCGATGCTGTTTGACAGATCGATAAAAGTTTTGGGCTCACAACTTTCTCAGCAACATGGCGGAAATTGCATGACGTCATACGACAACAACGTGTTGATTGGACAAGAGCCCCCACAGTGCTCGTCCTGAAACGTTCGATTGATTTCATTTCCCATCCAGCTAAAACCAGATAGACTGGGCCTGCTCAGATAGCAATAGGCCCAGAAACACATACGATGTTATAAAACAGGAACAATGAACTTTTCTGTCGCAAAAGCTTGCAATACAATGAAGAACTTAATGCGTAGTTGGAAGATTTCGAACCGGTTTAAGAATACAGTGCCGTATACGTACTACCACTCCTCGGACAGTTTAGTTCCACACAAACCGGTTACAAAATCAATTTTTCGACAACTCACAAACACACCTATGTTAAAATAAGGTGGAAAAATCTTAAATCTGACATCATATTTTAGATGTTTTGCTTCAAAAATACATGAAAACACATGAAGTCATCTATCGCATTTATCTGAGTCAATTTCTAAAAAATGTTTGGTCCGAAACATTAAAACTCCTCCACACAAACAGAATCTCTGCACTTGAATACAGCAGACGTAAAATTAACATATAGTGTTTATAAGTTTCAACAAAAAGTACACAATCGCGTCACTATGTTTTCTGGTACACCGATCATGCACTTGATTGCCTGGTTTGATTACAGGCCGCACTCGCAAGGCAGAGTACTGCTGTGCGGAATCAGGAAAAAAATACTTACATTTTTTATGCAAAGTGTGTGAATGGCGGTGCTTACAGGTAGGGCAGGACATGTTTACCCTTTTCGCGAACACCTGGTGTCATCACAGATTTTCACTGTCCATTCATATTATTTTCCATTCTATTTTGCCCTTTCTACCAAACTTTAATCCAGTTATAGATGGATCATCTAGACTGGTTATTCTCTTGTATTGACGATTTATTTTTTATAATTATGTTGTTGAACGTTTTCGCATTCGGTCTGGGACGAGGATCACACGTTCGGTTAAAATCTTCCATATTTTAACTAATTAGCATCACTTTTTTAACCACTTTGTCTTCTTTGTCTTTGACATAGACTTAACTGATTTGAATAGTGGACCTAATGGTATTCATAACGTAGTTAAACCCAACGTATATTATTAATAATAATAATAATAATAATAATAATAATATAACGCGCTAAATTCCATAGATTCAGTGGAAGACATATGTCCCTCCACTTACTCTCCGTGAGTGTAAATACTCAGCAAAACCAAGAGTCGCCTGTCTTTTTTCACATTCCGCGATACACACACCCACAGGATTCACGGGGTGGACTGTTGTTATATATTTCAGTCATGTACAGGGATTCTTGGATTCCGGGGTAGAATATAGCAGCCAATGCCTGGAATGCCTAAATCGGGTACTCACTCAGTCACTCGATCGGTGTCTTGGTTTATTGCGTGGCACGTGGCTCATACTATCAATCACTGGTTTATTTGGTCCAGATTCGATTATGTACAGGTTGACGCCACATAGCTTGAATATAGCTGAGTGAGACGTTAAACAACAAACAAACAAACATTTTTCGATGTGAGTGAGTATGGTTTTACGCCGTTTTTAGCAATATTCCAGCAATATCACGGCGGGGACACCGTAAATTGGCTTCACACATTGTACCTATGAGGGGAATTGAACCCGGGTCTTCGACGTGACGAGCAAACGCTTTAACCATTTGACTACCCCACCACCCCCTTATCGAGATGAAAAGAAAACCCAACGTGAAAAATTAATTATTCCGCGTGTTCTCAAGAATTTCGCAGCATCGTGTTTGGAACACATAGACTGCTCATTCAAGTTTCCGGAAATTGAGTTGCATTTATTTATAGCTACATGTCAGTGTAAAAAATATTATAAATAAATTGATCGAAATACCTAAGAACAAACATAATGGAGACATTTCATATTCACTTTGTGGTGACAAAAATCACTCTGAGATTGAAATGGAGGGAAGCGTTAAGGAAGGTCCCCGGTACCGCTTCCATATACGTCAATGTGGCCAAATCTCTCTCTCTCAGTCGGACACTATAAGCGGATCGCTATAAGACCCCCAACGAGAACGACGCCAATTGCCTTACACTGGGACCCCAGTGTGCTTTAGACTATTTTCTGACTGTTATCTGACATGGAATGTTTAGCTGTTTATCGACATTCAATTTCCCATTTGTCAGACCCGCAGAAACCAGAAATGATCAAATCAAATACATACAGTTGAAGCAACGTCAGAACGCAATGGCTGTGCTGATTAAGCTGTACATGTCAGCGTAGCTCACCCTAACAGTTTGAATTATGAAGGCAAAAATCTACCAACTCCGCTATATCTATTTATATATACATTATCTATCTAAACCTGTCCGCCAGTCCATCCATCTGTCTGTTTTCCTTTCTACCGACCTTTCTATCTATCTACAACTGTTCGTCCGTCCATCCATCTGTTTATTTGTTCGTCTTTCTACCGTCACATCTATCTACCTACAAATGCTCTTTGTCTCTCTACCATCACACATATCGACCTACAACTGTCTGTTTGTCTCTCTACCGTCACACCTATCTACCTACATCTGCCTGTTTTTCTCTCTACCGTCACACCTATCTACCTACAACTGTCTGTCTGTCTCTCTACCGTCACACCTATCTACCTACAACTGTCTGTCTGTCTCTCTACCGTCACACCTATCTACCTACAACTGTCTGTCTGTCTCTCTACCGTCCCACCCATCTACCTACAACTGCCTGTTTGTCTCTCTACCGTCACACCTATCTACCTACAACTGTCTGTCTGTCTCTCTACCGTCACACCTATCTACCTACAACTGCCCGTTGTCTCTCTACCGTCACACCTATCTACATACAACTGTCTGTCTGTCTCTCTACCGTCACACCTATCTACCTACAACTGTCTGTCTGTCTCTCTACCGTCACACCTATCTACCTACAACTGTCTGTCTGTCTCTCTACCGTCACACCTATCTACCTACAACTGCCCGTTGTCTCTCTACCGTCACACCTATCTACATACAACTGTCAGTTTGCCTCTCTACCGTCCCACCTATCTACCTACACCTGTCTGTTTGTCTCTCTACCGTCACATCTATCGACCTACAACTGTCCGTTTGTCTCTCTACCGTCAAACCTATCTACCTACAACTGCCTGTTTGTCTCTCTACCGTCACACCCATCTACCTACACCTGCCTGTTTGTCTCTCTACCGTCACACCTATCTACCTACAACTGTCTGTTTGTCTCTCCACCGTCCCACCTATCTACATACAACTGTCTGTTTGTCTCTCTACCGTCACACCTATCTACCTACAACTGTCTGTTTGTCTCTCTACCGTCACACCTATCGACCTACAACTGTCTGTTTGTCTCTCTACCGTCCCACCTATCTACATACAACTGCCTGTTTGTCTCTCTACCGTTCCACCTATCTTCCAATCTTTTGACTCGGGGACGAAGAAGGGTCTCACAAAGCTGTCTGATGACCAAGGATCGTGATAAAGCATGCCAGTCCTGTAGGTTACAATCAGACGGGGTCTTCCGACCCGGCCAATCGCAATCCTCAATGACTGATTGGCGGTAGAGTGTTTTCATGGACTTTGCAGCACAAATAAATGTCCACACAACACAATGTCTGTTTCGCTATGTGTATATGCGTGTGTCTGTGTATGTGTGTGTTTCTCTATATACATGTATATGTGCGTGTGTTTTGCTCTGTGTCTGTGTATGTGTCTGTGTGTGTTTCGCAATGTACGTGGATATGTGCGTGTGTTTTGCTCTGTGTCTGTGTATGTGTCTCTGTGTGTTTCGCTATGTGTATATGTGTGTTTCGCTATGTGTGTTTCGCTATGTGTATATATGTGTCTGTATGTGTGTTTCGCTATGTGTATATGTGTGTTTCGCTATGTGTATATGTGTGTCTATATGTGTGTTCGCTATGTGTATATGTGTGTCTGTATGTGTGTTTCGCTATGTATATATGTGTGTCTCTGTGTGTTTCGCTATGTGTATATGTGTGTCTGTATGTGTGTTTCGCTATGTGTATATGTGTGTTTCAGTATGTGTATATATGTGTGTCTGTATGTGTGGTTCGCTATGTGTATATGTGTGTATGTATGTGTGTTTCGCTATGTATATATGTGTGTCTCTGTGTGTTTCGCTATGTGTATATGTGTGTCTGTATGTGTGTTTCGCTATGTCTATGTGTGTGTGTGTGTGTGTGTGTCTGTGTGTTTCGCTATGTGTATATGTGTGTCTCTGTGTGGTTCGCTATACGTATGTGTGTGTGTGTCTCTGTGTTTTGATATGTGTACATGTGTGTGTGTCGCTATGTGTATCTGTGTGTGTCCGTTAGTCTCTCTCTCTCTCTCTCTCTCTCTCTCTCTCTCTCTCTCTCTCTCTCTCTCTCTCTCTCTTGAAAAGTATAGAATAGCGTCGCATTATTAAATTGTAGTTAAAATAGCGTTCGTGCCCATATCATCTCCTACAACTTCATAGCACACATTGTTTCGAAATGTACAGTCGGTGTATGCATAAGATCTACACAATATCTTATTTTCAACTTGTTTGTTTTTTTGTCAAGAGGATATATTAGTCACTGATGTAGGCACACGTCCCGTTTTTTTTATAATTCAATTTTATAATTTTAATATAATTTAACAATATATTTTGAAGTTTTTTAACATATGTAAGTTTTTCTTTTACATTGACAATATACATAGACTGTTTTAGGACTCATCGACCACCGAACACTTTCAAAGAAATTTCTGTGCTCTCTAGTTTATAGTGTCTAAGACGTGCAATGTTTTAACAAGACAGCTCAACGTAAGAAGACTGCATAAAAACGATATTTCAAACAATACTCCACTCCAAGTATATTTCTTTAATTGTCTCCAAACTCCCAACCAAGAAGGAAATCAATACACACCAAACCATAGGTAGTGCTTTAATTCTGTAAGTCTTTATCTCATTTTCTTTGAGATATGTTTATTGGGCCGGTGCCAGACTTGC